ATGCAAATTATAAGTGTTGCATTAAAGTATTTCTTACTCTTAGATTGGAAATGACAAAATTTAAATCTTTTTAGCCCAGACAATTTATGCAAACATTGGTGATTATGCTTCGAAGCCTTAGTTTACAATTGTCAATGATCTGTCTTTAAATATATCAGTATTTTAATAGTTCTTATGATTATATTATTATATTTAATATCGTTGTATTATTATCAAATATTGGAGAGGTCTAAAATTCTAACACAATATTATATAAGTTTATTGGAAAGTTAAATAATAGTTAAAGTCTTGTGACAAATATGAAAAAAAAAACCCACAACAATAAGTTTTCAATAGCTCCTTAGTCAAGTTACAGACTTTATCAACCCTTTATCAAAACTTAAATTCACTTGAATTCTAAAATATATATTCTGTATTAATTATTATGCTTTTGTAGTACAGTATATTTGTATGTTGAATTGGTTTGAGTGTATATTTGTGTATTCTACCTAAAACTGGAGCAACTGTAGGCTTTCTTATAGTGATACACACTATAATATTGGTGCTTTTAAAAGCAGACACCAAAAACAATTTAGATCCATGTCACTAAGATAATGTTGGGCAGTCATTAAAGGTTGCCTGTTTTCTGGTGACATAGGAAAGTTCGTTAATGCTACAAACATTCAAAGAGGGTATATAAATATGTTAATTATGGTAAATAAAGAACCACTGACCTGATGGTCAACCAAATACAGACCAATAGACTCTCCAGGTCACTCTGTCCTTCAGTTATCAAGTTAATATGGAATCATTTGCATACATTTGGTTTTCTGGAAGATATCTGAAGTGTGGAATATGTTATAATAATTTTTGTTTGTTTATTGAATACTTTGATGCAATGTTGTAAGGTAAATATTTCTGTCATCTTTGGATTCATCTTGGTTATTAAGGGTGGGATTTAGGTATGGGGTTCCTAAGTGTAGGGATTTAGCTATATGGACATATTAGGGTATATTATTTATTGGACAAAAAAACTTGAAAAGATTTAGACATTCCACTTAAATGAAATTGATAAGGAGTCAATTCAAAGATCTAAATCTTCATATTAAATTGAAAGCACAGAATTGGTTAATTAATAAGAAGTCTTTGATGGATGTAATGCCGCAAGTTGTGGATTATATTATGACATTGTGGTCTTCAGTGACTGTCATGTTGGATGTCAAAAGTACTAAATCATTACATTCAGTAGATTTTTTTGTGTCACCTGCTGCAAAGTATTTTAAGGGATATCACTTCTCTGTCGTCTGTCTGTTCGTCAGTCACAAAACTGATGCAGTTTCATCTAAACACTACAGGAATGATCAGTACCAAGTCTAGTTGTGCATATTGTCAGCATTTTCCAGTTTAATGTTTTTTGTCAGGAGTAAATGCCTTTCAATGATTTTAATTTTTTTAAAGTTTTTCTGGTCTACTTCTCTTATACACCAATGCAATGAAGCTTTACAGGATGAGCGTATTACATAGGTTTTCTGGTTGAACAATTTTTGGCCAAGTTATGGCTCTTGAATAAAAAAAATGGATTTTGGCCTGTTGATGATTTTTTGTGTCTCCTGCTTAAAAGTAGCTGCAACATGCTACAAAGTAGCCACATCATATAGGGAACTGCAAGATATAGGGATTGAACTGCCTAATCACCCATCAATACAATTACTTAATTAGCTATTATCAAGCGACACATGTGATCACTGATCGCTCTTGTTAGGAGAAAAAGGAAAGAAGCTAATGTATAATGTTTCACATTTATACAAAAAATCCACATTGTTTTCCTCCTTGAATCAAAAGAAAAAATAAAACATAGGTATGCTTTGGGTGTTTCCAGGACATGGAATACACCTTGATTGTAAGTGGCAATTATCGTGAGGTGAAAATAATGATTATGTCATTTTTATTCCTCACACAGTGTTTCTAGTATCATTTCATCAGTCGGGAAAATATATTTTTTATATATTTACCCGTTTTCTACTTAAAAGATGCTTGTTTTTACTTGATTTGGACAGTTTCCAGAAGTTTTGGGTACAATGTGTGGATTTGTATAGTTGATGAGGTTGATATGAATGTTGGTATAAACTGTCAAATGGGTGAGAAATTCGGAAAGAAAATCAGGAAAATTAGGGAGGAAAAAATGGTTTAGTTACAATAAAAAGTATGTTTGTTTTTTTTGTTGTTTTTTTTTTAAAAATAAGTAAATGGTGCAAACCATGATAGAGTTAGCAGATACCGTTATCGTCTGCTGTTTTGAAACGATCGTCATAATTTGTCGTCTGCTTCGTTTCAAGGTCAAATATGAAATATGTTGTAATTTAAGGCTCATTTGTCTGGATGTGATAATTTTCAAACTGCATTGTTATGAAGCATTGAATTTTATTCACTTTAGACAGCGATGAATCATGATGATTCTATATGCACATACTAGGTTCCGATTGTGTTGTGTCGGAAATATAAACGTATATCTATAACATTATAATGAGTTGTAATATTGTCAATTGCAAATAGGAATGGAAAAAAACAACAACATAATATTATTGAATTTATTATTGAATTTATTTTACAATTCATAAGTTTTTTATTCAAGGACAATTGTATATTGCATGAAAATTAGCATGAAGGCATGGCGATAAGTGTAAAAGCATGAATATAAGCGTCAAGTATAAATTGTCCCAAATATAAGTTATAATTTTCTCTGTTTTGGCAGCAGAAATAGTTGCAGAGTTGATTAAATTGACAGAACAATATTCCAGATCAACAGACATTTCAGGCGTAAATATCACAGGGGACATGATGTTTCTTTGATCTCAATGGTCAATATTTATTCTCCCCTTTTTATGGCAGATATTTAGGAGATATTTATGGAAATTGGTTTAGATTAACTGTCTAGTAGTTCATGATTCATAGATGAGTGGTGGACATTGTCCAATCTTTTTTGTCATTTCTGAAAAAAAATTTGTTATTTGGACAAACAAATTTTTTTGATTTTGTTTTATACTTTTTAGATCATCTGTCGGCTCTTAAAGCGTGACTCTAGTAGGCTGCCACCCTAGTGTTACTTTGAGCCTATTCTTGTCCTGCAGTAGGATAACATAGGACAACATACATTTAATCATATATGTGCAAAAAGGTTGTGACATGCATGCGGATGATATATTTTTACATCCCTAGTTGACAAGTAATTGTTGGGGTTATATCCCTGTATTTCAGCCACTATTAAGCAGCTTCTGTAGAAACAGAAACATTCACATTAAATTTTCGAAAATTCAGAGTATAAACCTGTCAGTGAAATATTATCTTTAAATGATTTTTGATATTGTATAAAAGCAAGGAAAAACAAGGAAAACCAGACTCGTTTAACTTGATTGTTGGTATTCAGTAAGTAAATGTCAGATTTTTATGTGTAGAAATATGATTTCCCATGTGGTATTTAACATCCATCAGAACTAAAAGTATGAGCATCATGTCAGAGTGGAATAGTATATCTAATAACAAACATTGTTTCCATTTATTTAATATATAAATCCTCACTAAAATGTCCAGTTGGCCCTTTGGGATCTATTGTAGATATATTCCTAGAAAATAATTGATGGAAAATTTAAATTTTATATCCACGTTTCAGAATTTGTTTTTTTTTGTTTTGGGGAGGGGAGGGGGGATGTACTTTATAAATGGATTGTGCAGCATTGTTGTTTGATTTGGCTGTTCCTTTGTTGGCCTGCAGATGGATGAAGTGTTCAGTAATTTTTAACATTGTTTCTGCTATGTGGTTTGTGTTTTCTGTGTCTGCTTGGAGGTTTGTGTTTGAGTTTCTTTGAGATAATGAGACTGTGCTAGGAATATGTGGTTTCAGGTGGAATACTAGAACATGACCCTGTTGGTGGTCACATGTATTTTATACTTTAACTAGGTACTTGCACCATTGACCTGTTTACACTCCCTTGGATTCCAATGAGAATAAAAAATTATAAGAAAGATGGGTCTAATGAGATCATGCCTGAAAACTTAATGTAGTTCAATGTAATATGCCTACAAGATTTAATTTAAAACATATTTAGAACTGTAGGTAATTTAATGGTTTTTAGTTATTTTATAAAATAACAATGTATGTTTTTCAGGAAAAGGGAAGAAAAATACCTTAACTTAATTGTCATGCACAAAAGACTATTTAAATCATAATATTTTTTTAATTTCATTTTTTTCCATCAGAATACCATTGGGTGTTATAAATAGCTTTATTTAGTTATTGATGTGTTATCTTCTGGGTTGTTTTTTGTGGATCGAGGCAGAAAATATATCCTAATGTAATTAAAATGTGAAAATTTCATGACATATTTTGAATTTTATAGTTTTATTGTAATTTGTAGTATGTAATTCTACATGGCATCCGTTTCTATAATTTTCAAATAAATTTCCAGTGTTTTTAGTACTAAATTCATTTCCAATGCTTGCAATTACTTTTTTTCCTAATAAAGGAAATACATGTATATACATTGTAGAAAAATTTTAAGAATGGTAATGCCTCATTGTGAATTACAAAATTATTTTTATTGAGTTTCTTTGTTTGTTTAAAATGGGTGATATTTTGTTAGGAGCAAGAAAAAAATGTTTAAGGGTACAAGCAGACATTGATATAAATGTATAAATTTCTTATATGAAAAGAAGTTTGATAGTTTATCAGTTTCATTTACAATTTGCTGTTTTTAAAATATTACAAGAAGTTATAATGTAAATTGAAGAAAATAAGTCAATTATGCAATTAGTTAGCAGTTAGTTTTGATTATGCATTATTTTAACATTTTAAATATTGTAAACTTTGCATTTTAAATTTATTAAGATAATTGATTTGTGCATAGAAAATTGATACAACTTATAAAATAAGATCAGCCATGTTTTCAAAATTTAAGGGAGGGCTGTGTCTTGTTGAATTTGACACTTTTGTGAAAAGTTTGTAAAATGTCTTGTCCTTTTTCCAGGTACTATGCCATTGCCCCCGCCCAGCGCTCCACCACCACCCCCTCCACCAATAGAGGACATTCCACAGCGCGGTCAGACCACGCCTCAACACCAGTTGTGTAAACACCATCAGTTACAGCAGCAAAGATCGTTGCAGTTTGGACCACAAGTAAGGGGAAATTACTCCGATGTGGAGAATGCTCGTAGAGGACTTCCGATAGATAATCACGAACACCTTCGGAGATTACATTCAGATTCGGATTGTATGTGCGCGCACACGCGCGGGACTAATCATTATTCAGATGGTGACGCATGTGATTATGAGCCACATTATCTAGTTCAAACTCCAAATGGAAGTATTTTTATTCCACAGTCACAAGGTGAGTTACTTCCTTTTGTATCATCTGCATATTCATAACATCAAAATAAACGACCCAACATCGTAACTCTTGACCTGCAATAGATTACTTCTGCTTTGAATTTGGAACAGCCTGTTTGAAGGATTTTAAGAAAAAAATATTATTGACCTAACTGGTCAGGCTGCTTCTAAGTACAGACTTGCTTGGCTCTATGTTGGTTGCAAATACCAATGCTTATCACTTTTGTTCCATCAGGTTAAGTGCTAAAGTGAATTAGTTGTATTTAAATTAAAATGCAAGATTTCTGAAATTTCATTTAATTCTTCACTTAAATTCATAGATAGTCTCAGTCATTCTGTAAACTAGCTGGATAGCTTACTCACATGAAAGAATTCAAAGTCCCTGTTGCGACTCGAACCCATAGTTGTGAGAAGCAAGTGGTTTAAAGTCAAGGATCTTAACCACTAGGCCACGGTCGCCCCTGGAATATGGGCATCAATCAATTATATCTGTGGTCGATCAAAATATTCTATTATTTGTACAATATATTACTTGCTTTTGAAGTTTCTTTTATACAATAAACCCATATTTTGATCTATTAGTGCGATGAAATGATTCCAGAATAAGCATGCTTGATAACATAATGTAAATGCGAACGTTCAGTTCAATATAATGTAGGAAATTTGAAAATTAAAAATGCATTTTAGAACAATGTTACGTGAAAAAAAGGTATTTAGATCGTAAGAATGCACTAGCAGTAAACAATTACCAGATATCTAGAGTAAAGTGCCATTTAAATTACCAACAAATGATCTGTAGGTTTACTGCGTGCAACCGGATATAACTATATCACCATTGATTCAAAAAATTTCCGATTCAGAATTTTATTGAAATATTCAATAATTTTTCTTCTTGGAAAAAAAAGTCAATTAAATTTCATTGGAAAAAAATCATTAGTTCTGTTCATCTCATTGTTTTGAGAGAACTAAATGTTTTTTTCAAGAGCGTCAATATAGTATAATACGACTTCAAATCATGCGGTTATGACATTGGTGGAATATAATGGCTGTCACTTTCCAGTCCATGTAATATTCATTCGTCACAGTAGTCATCGTCGTCACAATAATCGGAACGCAAGCATTTTCATTTGTTATTATTACATGCTGAAAGTGTTAATGTTAACAGTTTCAACAAAGCAAAACTTTGCTCATGTTCAGTCAATTGAGTCAATAAAAAATATGCCCAGTTAGAGAGAATAAAAAAAATTGAAAATTACACGCTTCTTATACTATAATGTATAATGATGGTTGAATTGATTCTGTATAGTGTATGAAAGAAAGTAATGTAAATAAAAGAAATTTTGGAGAGCTATATTATAATTACCCAGGCATCTACACCAGCGTCACGCTTAAATTTATGTCCAAAACAACTGCTGAAGGAAACAGGCTGAAACTTCACACACTGATTTGAAAGCGTAATAGGAGGTCACTGTTTAGGGCCCACATCGCAGGTCAGCCCTCAATTTTGGCCTGCACTGTTCGATATTCTTAATCTTTGTCCAGATTGAAAGATTAACAAGTCAGTTTAACCTGTTTAGTATGATACAGCTTCTTATAAACTTTCGCTGTCTGGAGAAATCGAAACAAGGTCTATTTGATTAAGTTGAAACATTTTTATTCTGACTATGTTTTTTCCACTCTAGCATTAGGCAAATTTTTCTAGTCTTTATAAAGAAAATCATCACTTTCCAGGAAGTCTTTAATTTTCTCAGCAGCAAATTTGGCTAAAAGGCAAAAATGAAATTAAATACTGACACTTGATTTTTTTCCGTAAAGTCTGATTTAGTTTCATGGGATCAAAAATTAATTTGAGTAATTTAAATGCTTAAGTGAAAGTTATTCACCGGCTAATCTGATCATATTACCAGCAGATTTCACGATCGCTCGGAAATGATTCTCAATGACGAGACTCGCATTGCCTCCGCTGCCTTTGTTTTTACGCCTCTAGATTTCAAATTAGCTAAAACGTCTTTTAAAAATAGTGACGAAAATGAAAATTCATGGCAATCATGGAATCACTTTGTAGCAATTTCATTAAAATTCTCCGATATTTAGATGACGTAACGAGAGTTGAGGACTGTTGACAGATTTAAGATTAACCGATTTTAATGTTGAAGATGGTTACATGGTGAAATTGTTAACATTTAACTGGAAGGTCCAAAATAAACATTTTATTTTGATTTTGGTATTTAAAAAAGAAGTTCGGCTTTCTTAACAACGTATTTTTGCTCAGAGCACTTTATATATAGATGTGCAAAGCTTCCTGTGGCAGAGTGGTGAAGTTTGCTGATTTTGAAGCAATTGCCAGTATATGTTGTTGGTTTGAATTCCACCAGGGAATTTCCTTGTGTGGAAAGTTATCAAGTTTACTTACATAAAGTCAATGGACCGTACAAAAGGAATTTACCAAAATCTCAATCTGAACTGTGGTCTGCGCTGTTTACATTAGTAGATTCAGTTGCCTGCAGCTTAATGCCCAAGACCTGTAACTCTTTATCATGAACTCATAGTGAATTATTTCCCTTTGTGGGAGCATTGCTCTAGTTATGATGTGCTGTTCACTCACAGCTATCATTTGACCTACTATTGTCCTAAATTTCCCTGCATTGTAAGAAAAATTTTGTTTTTATAAAAAAAAATAATAATGTCGGAGAAAAATAAATGGGATAAAAGTCAATTTTATGTGATTTCTCCCTGAACAAATTTTAAAGTTTTGCAAGATCTATGATGTAATTTGATACCGGAATGTAATGTGAAAGTTTGTTATACTGTTTCCAGAAGCAATTTGTTGAGATAACATCGTAATCATATAAGAGAGACAGTGGCGGCCATGATCACTATGATTTGACAATGATGGATTACATTGAAATACAGTTAAAATTGTTGTAGCTGGTCCAGAACTGTGGAACCAATGATGTTCCAGTAGTTAACAGGAAATTAATCCAATCAATCACTGTCACACCAGGGGGCGCTGCTGTGAGTAGCTCTGATCATGGTCATTGGGAAGCTTGGAAAGCTCTTATGACCGTCTGCCACTGCTGGATTAATAATATTGAACATGTTGCATTATGGGTAGGGAAAAAAGATGTCATTTTAATGTTTAAATCAACTCAACTGGATTTGTTCATTATTATTATAATATTGGGAAATAATTGATTTGAAGTTTTATTGATCATTTTGCCATTAAGGAAAACATGAACAATGGACTGATGAAAGTTTAATTTTGCTTTTCAAATATAATGTAAAAGGAAGGAATAGGCCACAGCTTCAGTGCAATATAAAAATCTTTATTTTTTGAAATTTATCAAAGTTGATGAAGCATAGCCTGTATTCAAAGAAATATATTTAAGAATAATGGGGTGGGTTTTTTTTTGGACTGAGAATTTCTATGAAATGTCATTTTCTCCTGTTATTTATTATAAGAAATCTTTTTAAGTAAATTGTGAATTTATTGCTAAAGAAACCCGATTATATAAATGGCAATTTTTTTTTGTTGAAATCAAAAGAAAACAAATGGGAGCAAATCAATTTAGTCAGTAGATGGCACCGTTTAATTTATTGCTTTCACCCAACTTGACTGCAATAATGCCAGTCTTTATTTGATATAAAAGAATTTTGCGTTATCAATAATTACGACCTGTCTCGTTACTTTTGGAATTAATTTTTTTAGCGATAAGACCTAATGGCTTTCTGTTGTTTGCACAAAGGACTTGCGTTTTTTAATGTTACATATTCAAAACAGATTTGTTTGAAATGGTCATGCCACTGAGGAGTGACTAGGAAAACAATAATGGATTACTAATGGACGACATGGGACTTTAAATGTCTTTTAAATGGCTTTAGATTCGATGTAGATAACTGAAAATTACGTTTTGGTAGTTCCCGTATTAATATTTGAAATTTTCATTAAAGTAGTCCCTTTGAAATAAGAGCGTTAAGTGAGTGGTACAGGATGATGAATGAGGAAAATTCTCTGATCTGAAAAGTTGACAAAAATAAGGCTCTAAGGGAAGTAACTCTTTATGGACTAATGAGAAAAACAATTCATTATTACTCCCCTTAATTCTTCTTTTTTTGCTCTTTCTGAATCATCGATAAGGATGCGTATTGATATCTAAGCAATTAATTTGATTAAATTTCTTTTGAATTTGTGAAATAGATCTGTTCTTCTAAAGGTTAGTTGTTTTTTTGTCCAATTTGATATACAGTTTCTGTTAAGGGTTTTTGGTGTGTGAAAAAAAAAATGTAGATAAGTGTGTAACGTAATAGTAATGTCAAACAAAAGTAAAAGAAACAATTTGAAAAAGGAAATTGACATTAAAGTATCTCATTATTTGATTTCTTATCGAACTATTTTCCGTTTTTGTTTCATGTTTCGAGTATCAAACATTTCTGGCTCATTACTCCTATTAACAGATAAGAAATAATATCATCTACTGTTGTTTGAACTAAATGAGCATCTTATAAACATCGCTATAAATGGAAAATAGATATGTCACAGAATGATCTTGATACTAACAAGTTTTATCGCTTAACTTGCATTCATTTTGAAAATTATCTTTTTTGAAAGAGATTTCAGTACCTTATATGGTATAACTTTGCTTCAAATTAATAAGTAAAAGCATTTCATGTGAGAAAGCTTTTCAGCTAGCGAATGGAACATCGGTAATTCTACTCAGGAGCCTCTTTGTGCCTGAAAAAATGCATAGTGGGGCATGTGAGGTCTTCCTCCACCAGTTAAGCTGTTAAGTTGCTGTAAATAATGGTTGAATAGCCGAGTGTAGTTGCTGTAAATAATGGTTGAATAGCCGAGTGGTTATCATGTCAGACTAGTAATCTAAGGATCTCTAGCCGTTGTGGTTAAAACTCTGTCAGCGTCAAGCCATGGTAGCCGTTGTGGTTAAAACTCTGTCAGCGTCAAGCCATGGTTTCCTTTAGCAAGAAACTTTACACCCACTGTTAAGTACTGATTAGTTCTATGAACATATTTGAGAGTGTATTTATAAGCTTGTAGTTTCCTACGCAATCAAAATCAAATTAATTTCTGTATTAACTGACTTGCTATAAAAAGTAAGGGAAGCAACTCTTTCAAGAATAATCTAGTTGTTATACAGTGTTGTCTCCTACTTAAAATTGTGATATAAGGGAAGTAACTTTTTGGAGAAAAGGTTTAAATTTCTGTTAGAGTAGTCTCTCTTTGACTTGGAATTAAAGCAACATATAGCAATGTTAAAGGAGATGCTATTTAGAGTAAAAGTTTGTATAACCGAAAACATTGAAACTTTAACTTGTCTTGTTGCTTTTAATGATTATAAATTTTTTTCTTTTTCAGTACTCGGTCCAGATGGGCAGCCAAGGTTTCCCCGTACGGTACCTCGATCAGGTTCAATACCCTTGATGAGAAACAATGATCCACAGAGTCCGAATGGGGGCGTGGTACGGCCCCTAGAACCGGCAACAATGCCAAGACAGTTCGCTGCGCCCCCTGACCAACAGCCACAAAATATTGTTTTTAATGACAGGTAAGAAATGTATACAGATGTTTATTTATAGAACAGTTTGCATGATATCATTTAAATTCGGCACTTTGTATTACACAATCATATCATCACTGAGATACTGGCTTGGTTTACAAATTATTGCTGTTATGTGCACATGAATTAGGTTTAAACTGTTCGCTCAATTTAAATAATTAATTGCACTATTCTTGTTAAGCATGTAAAAATTATCTTGCGTAAATTATCAAGCACAATTTGATTATAATTTTGCTTTAACAAGTGAAATCATTTCCTAAATACTGTCAAGTTTTCTTTTTCCTTATCTTTTACCTGAATGTTTATTGCTTACTCCAGTCAGGTAATAATAAGTTTTTAATTTGATTTTGACTAATTTAGTGAACTTAAATGCACAGTCATAAACTCAAAAACATTTTTTATCACTCCCTGAATAAATTTATATTCCTGTCATATTTCACAATAAATTTAGGCCAGATAAGAGTTACAATTGCAGCAATTGTTTAAAAGTACTGGTTTGGCTAATGAGCCTGCCCAGCCAAATTATGCTTGTAAGGGAGAAAACTCTTGCCTGCTTGTTTTGATCACAATCAAGATTGTCTCCCTTCACTCACAACAAAAATGCACACTTGATTGTCTCCCATTACTTGTTCCATTGAGAAGTACTGTATTGAAAAAAAGAAATCTGTTAGTGCATATATCATGTATGAATATCTACATATGCATGACATAATTACAGCAGTTTTGTTGTTTGTTTTGTTCAGTCTTATAATGGATGACATAATTACAGCCAAATGATAAAAACTGACTCTTATTTCAGAAAAAGTAATTGAAAATAATATCAAGTTTTGCCCATAGGGGTCTAACCATAGAAGTTGTCAATAGAACAGCAGATACTGTATACAAGTCTGACTGAAAAATACTCCCTGGTTACGAAAATCAATGCCGAGTTTTTCTGATATATTTGTGTTGTTGTTGTTGTTGTTGTCAATTGGATGGGGTTGTAGAATAGAAGGAAAGATTGAGTAGATTTTCAGAAAATTGTGACAAGGTTTTATTCTTCCGGCCATGTTAAGAAGATTCTGTTACCAACCATTATTATATTGCGGCCAATTCATTCAAATTAGCGCGTAGTTCTTTTGACAGTTCTCATTTCTGATGCTCGCACAAGATATGCATGAACAGCTTCATGTCTCTCATTGACAGCTGTTAATTAAAATAATTTGTACCTATTTGGACGATCTTGTACAAAGAACTTTGTACGAGTTTTGGGTTATTGTGTGAAAGAATAGATGACTTTGTCACGGCATAGTCCATTAGCAAACAAAATCTCGAGATGATGTTTAACTTAAAATAAGATGTACTGACCTAGGTTAATTTTTTTTTTATAAAAGTCGCAACTTTGAAGAATACAGTAATGACTGGTTATTTTATAATGATGTGTTTCTCTACATTTTAAAAGAAAAAAATGTTACATTTTGCAATATCGATGATAAGATAAATATGACTTTTAGTTTCCTGTCGTGCCTTTTGCCCTTTAACTGCTGAATTTCTTAATGGACTTGTCCAGCTTCCATTTTGGGACAGTCTATTATTAATATTGGGGATATCAAGAGGAAAATTTTAAGTTTGTTACCGGCTGTTAGCCAGCAGTTTTGAGCCTGCTGAGACTGCCTAGATGTGCAGGCTAGCCTTTCTCTATTCTGATGATAAAAGGCTAATCACTTTCAGTTCCAGCTGTTTAATGAATATGATCTTCTTAAACATAAGAAGAATAGAAATTAAAACCCTGTTGAGACAAAATAGAAAGTTTTGTACAGTAAATGTTAGATATGGTATATCTTGATAAAAATTTTTAACCTCTTGTATAATTGCCATACACTGTACTATAGACAATTATTAGTTCAAGTAGTGCTTAGTAAATTAGTGTTTATGTAAATTCATACTCATTTGAAGTTGTTTTTTGGTTGTTTTTTTGTGTGTTAAAATATACATGTATATGTTAACCTTTAACCTGCTGAATTTGTGTAATAGACTGACCCTTCTTTGACTTTGGAACAGTTCATTCCTATTTTAATGGATTTCAATATCAAAATACAAAAGTTAAGCACAGTCAGACGGCACAGATATGCAGACTGGCCTGGCTCTATACTGGCAGCAAAGGCTGATCACTCAACATTCCAGCAGTTTAATGGTTAATGCTAATATATATAGAGATTTTATATAATGCATGCTTGATTTAGAGGTGATTTAGCTTGTTAAACTTTGGAAATAATAAGTTGCATATACATGTATAATTAGCAACTTTGTTTTGATAGTCAAATTGTTATGAAAGTTGTGTTTTGTGCTGGTCCACACCCTGCTGAATCTTTGTAATGGATTGCCATTGCTTATTATTTGAGCAGTTAATCAGTTATTTAAGAAAATGTAGTATCAAAGTACTGAAGTATAGATACGGAAGTATCTGTACTGGTGCTATAGGCTAAGTTATTATTGCATCTGATTCATACACTTGGTATTGTGAACCTTAAGGTCTACACGCACTTGTTAAGCTGTGAAGACGCCAAATTATATCATCCAATGGATCTCAAAGATGCCAACTTATAAGAATTACAAAATACATTGTAATTCCATGTTATGAATGAACCACTTTCTGAAGAATTGTAATCTAAAGTAGTGAATAGCAGCTTCTGCCTTTTAACTAAAAAAAATCAAATATCAATATAGGAAAATGGTTTAATCATCCCCACTCCAGACATTGGAGATGAATTTGTGAGGTGGACATATCTAGGTACTGTGTGGACCATTTGTAGTTTTATCTTATGGAATGTTGGTGTGCCTATTCAACTCTACTTATGCACAAAAGGGCACCTTACTCTACCAAGAAAACTTTGATGTTGTCATATGACCTGAAACTGAAAAATACATTAAAACCTTCTAGACTGGTTATTTGTGCATTTGTTGTGTTTTTATTGCTCAATAAAAGCTCAGAATTAGCCATTCAGGTACAGCAGAATGAAGCACAACTTTATAACCTTTGACCCTGCATATAAGATAGATTGCTCAGCACTTCCTGCTTGCACTAACCTTGTGTTGTTTTTGTTCTCTCTTTTGCATGTCAGAGTGCCAAACGGATCCTGTAATCCCCAGAACCATGAATACCAGGAGGCATGGGACACGTAAGTTACCTCCCTTTATCTCTTCTCACTTTCTAAGTGTTTATTTCAATTTTTGTTTATTAGTTAGCTCCCTTTGTTTTAAGTACACCATTAAAAGTATTAAAAATAGTCTTTTAAGTAAGCTTTGCACTTTTAATTTTGTTGCAAGAGATGTTCTCGTGTATAAAGTGTAGTATGGAATTCAGAAGAGTTAGTTTCCTGGAAATCAAACGCACTGAGTATTCACCATAGTCTGTCACTTCTTACATATTTTCCATATTTTCATTTGATTCACGGAGATGAGTTATCTCCCTTAGAATCAAGTACACCTTGATCTACCATAAAATCTACCATAACTTGCTATCTAGAGGTTTAACCTCATTTGAGTTACTCCCCTTAGATTCAAGTACAATATGTGTATATTTAGTTACCGTCAAAGATAATTTCTTGTGGATCCTGTGGAAGTGTGAGCCTTAGAGGAGTTAACTCCCTTAAATTAAATCAAATTACACCATTCCATTTTCATAGTTGCTTTTTGAATTTTTTTAATTATTGTTGATACACAGACTCTTTTGACACTCCTACGTTAATCATTAGATTGATAGTTTAAAATAATTTACAAAACTGAAATTCAGAGAAACCCGTGGCGAAAATTTAAGAACATAATTTTCCAATTTGATAATTTATCATTTTGAAATAATTAGTGCAATAATCAAGGACAATTTGAATAACTAAAGTTGCGATGCAATTTGAGAGCGTGCAATGCGTGTGCTGAAGAATCAATACTGCACTGTTAAATGCCGGCATTTTTGCATGACAAAAGAAACATAAACGACACAATGCACTCACATGTGCAATGTTTGCATGACCTGGTAGGCCTTAGGGAAGTATTTTTGACAATTTATCGCGGCCAATTATTGAGCTTGCATTCAGACTAATGAGATTTTCCGAATGGATAATATAATTTGTTGAAACGTAAAATTTTTTGTGTGTGTTTTTTGCCCTCCATCTTCATACGCTGACTGCCCTTCTGCAAAGTTGGTCGTAACTTAATTTACTGCAGTACTGCAGGTTTGTTTTTAACAATCAAGAGGAAAAAGAAGTTTTGTATTTTGTTAGTTCTTCCATGTGATGTTGTGGTTTTTACGCATGTATAAAGATATATATAGGATTATTAATGAGAAACTAATGAAGATTGCGTGTAAATGAAATGCTAAGTTAGCTAAGTCAATATTTAGTTTTCTAATCCATTAAGTATTTTACTTGTTTTAGATACTTGTCAATTTATATTTATTTGAATCAATGAACCTGCTACATGTACTTTTTACTTTATATATATATGTATTGGATTTCTGTTTACATCATTCTGCTAATGACAATTTTTTTTAATCAGTTTTAAAATGTTTCTCATGTAAGGTTATTAACGCCTAACATTTTGTTGAACTGATGGCCACTTTACAATTACATTTTGTGTTTCAAAGTCAGTTGTGCGTGTAAATGTGTTAAATTTTGTTGAATAAATTTAAAGTGTTCACATTATTTCAGTCGCAAAATTGCTGTCCGTATACATGTACATTTTGTTACTTCATTTGTCATATGACTTGCAGGAATTATAGAAAATTAGTAACAATTGAATTCACCTATAAATCAAAACATACACCTACTAGATGTTCTAGGATAAGTGTCAACTCGGCAGTTTAGAATTCAAATCCGTTCTGACACAAAAGATCGCCTGCAGGTACTTGACACAAAAAGCGTTGCAAATTATGATTTACATTTATCAATTCCCAGGTGAGATAAATCTAATTGATTCCATGAAATATTTATTGCCCGATCAGCAATATTTTAATTAATTTTGATACAGTATTATTTAATCTCAGCAGAACGCGCCTTAACATAGCAAGAACTCGGCATCATTCCGTACCAATTAAAAGAAAAAGATTGAAGTTCAGCAAAGCTCAATTACTTGTAAAAAATTAATGAATATTTTTTTCCTGTATAGTGTATTGTACTTTTTACTTGCGCTTCATTTAACAAGCTAATTTTAAGGTGTCAATCTTGTGTGAGAGGATAATTTTTTTGCTGTTGGACCGTTTTTTAAGCCATGGAAATGGAATCAGAGTATTTTGATTGAATTGATTATTGAGTACTATTTAGAAGCCGTTATTGTTTAGATATTGTTGTGACAGTTGTACGTAGAAAATCAAATTCCGTATGTAGGACCGCTTTTTCAGAATTGTAAAAAATTACATGTTTTTTTTTTTTGCATTGAATCCAGACGCCATTTTATACTGCTCTATCCTATATTAGATTTGTAAAAATTTATGCCCTATTATTCTTACTTTATCCTATTTAAATGATTTCGGGTTCAAAACTGAAATATTATCTTTGAATTCATTTTGTCATGTGTTGCAAATTATAATTTTAATGCAATTTTCTCTTCTTGCTTTTGTCCGATATTCTAGATATATTAACCATTGTCTGAAATTTACAAGAAAATGTCACTTTTCTAAAACACCTTTTGGATGATTTTATTGATTTTCAATTAAAATAGTTATATTTGACCTAAATAACCAAGTTCAAAATCAGACATTAAAAATATGATAAAAGAAATTTTTATATGTCTGAAATTAATTTGATAAAAGTCTATTGTGTTGGCTTTATAAGGGAATTGCCAAAGGATTGAAACATTTTTGGCGTGCCTTTATTCATCGTAAAACACCAATTACGTATAAAAACTTGTTACGCATTTGAGTTACGACATTCTATACAAATTAAGAAGGTTTTCTAGACTATATGCAAGGCGATTGTTTCTTTTATTATCTTGGCAAATTTGAATTATGGCAATTTCTTCGTGTTTTAATATCTTTATCTGCATGAATCGAGGAATATTTTGGAATGAAGACAGTCTTGTAATTATTGATTGAGCGGAAAGATGGATTCAGTTATTGCGGAAAATTGTGTAAATCATAATTTTCACTGATTAGCCACAGACAAGGCGGTGATTTGCGTGAACAAACAGTTCTCCCGATGTGATAGAGCTGTTAAAATGTTTGTTTTCTGTTCAGATAATAATCATTGTGGCTTAATTATTGTTTTTTGACATGGCGTGGAAATAACTCCTGTGAAATTTTGAAACTAAATTTCTGTTTTCTTTTTATTTTAGATAATAAAATTTGAAAATTTTCAAGCGAGAAAATTGATGACTTAAGTTTCTGATTTGAAAATTTGTTCAGGGAAAAATTTGTATTCAGTTTAAGATCAGATTTAGTACAAGAAGTGTGCTTTGAGGGAGAATGTCTGCCAAGTCTTTTGGGAGCAATTAATTTAAATACGGAAAGTCAATGTAAGCAAAAACGTGTAGAAAATTGTTGAAAAATTGAGACAACATTACTCTAACAGGAGAAAGTAATGTAAACTAGATTATATGTTATGAAGTTCCTGGGAAAATAAAGGAAGAAAGATAAAAAACATACGTATCATCATTGATTGTTACTGTCTTGGATTAAGAATAGGGTTCGAGAGTCTATGAGTCTATTTGTCTTCGGTAATCGAGGTCTGTATGGGTCTAAAATCAATCTGACCTTTGTCTCCGGTGATGATAGTAGATATTTTCAAAACTTTTATCTTCTAGCTATTTTAGTGGAATTCTTATTCAGGGGAAAATGATCATAAAATAAATAAATAATTATAATAATAATATTATATAAATTGTGCTGGATTAATTTTTTTTTACTTTGATGCTCTTGTTATATGCTTTTTTTAATACTTTGTAAATAAAAAATTCCATTTGATCAGTAATGATATTTGAAATATCAGAACGACGGTGAAAATTGGTATGCAGTTTTTTTATTGAGAAAAAAGTCAGTATGCTATCCTAGGGAAATGTAGCTGTTTTATAAACGAGGGGAATATTAAAGGCTTCATTAATGTTATTTCTACGGGCAGTGTTCACCTATAGAAAAGCCGAGAGCTGATGATCGTGATATAACGATGTGTCGTAAAATTATTTGATATTGAACATACAGTGGTCTGATGCTATCATAGAAAGTTGACAGAGTTCTTATATTTCAAAGCCAGATTTTTTAGAAAGTGTTATAAGCACCCACAGAATTATTTTTGAAAAAAAAAATCAGGGTTTTATTTTTGAAGTTCCTTTGTAACTTCTGGATGATCAGTTTTTATTCGGGAATTTATTGTGCATTTTGTGCTTCCATAGGGAGATATTCGCAGATGAGTGACAGAAGTGATTTTTGAGCAAAATTCAATTGTCTTGAAAAAAAAAAAATCACTAGCTCTAAGGATATTTTGATTATTCTTAAAAAAGTTGATCTCTTGGACTTGGTGGTGTTTGTTATTTTTTCATAAATATAAATTATTCAGTGTGCGAAATCACAGGAACAATAATTTGAAAGTTGGGCAAGTTTTAAACAGGTTTTGGAATATTTAAATAGGATACTTCCCATTAAACTTTAAATATTGAGAACTTAACGGAGTGGAGTTTTAAATATAGTAGGCTGAATATGGTTGCTAGGAGGAAAGTTGCAAAGTAAGTTTTTTTTATAACTTTGGTGATAATTGACTATATTTTGTCAATGATTGAGATATTTTGTGGAGAATTGACTATATTTTGTGGATATATTTTGCGGAGAATCAACTATATTTTGTGGATAATTGACTACATTTTGACTATAGTTGGTTAATTGAACTGTAAATTTTCATTTACAAATGATTACATTTTGCAGATGATTGACTGTTATTTGACTATGATTATTTGATTGATTATTGAAGTTTGGCATTATTTTATCATTAAATGACTTTTTTATTGGTAATTTACCATTTTTTTCTATCTTTGAAAAATGATTATGATTATAGTATTGACAGAAAAATTACTTCTGATAACTGTATTGTACTGATATCCGTCTATGCCCAAAAGTTAAAGATTTTATTTGTTCCATAGTGAAGATGAGTTCCATGAAGAAAAAGCTGAAGAAAAAATATTAATGTAAAATTGGGATAAGAATTAATATGTTGGGGTGAAGAAATGCGGAGAGCATTGAATTTAAAATGCCTAGAATCTAAAAAAAAAATTGTCTGTAACAAAATAAAGAAAATCCCGAAAGCAGAAATTATGGACCCCAAAAAGCAGAAACTATTGTTATTGCAAAGTCCAACTAGACATGTTTCATATGTCTTCAATTAACTGTAAATTTTTTAACACAGGGTTATATATACATAATATACACCAGCAAAATATTGGCCATTATAACAGGTTAATCACTATAATAGTGTAAAAGTTTTCAGTGTCCGGATATTTTTATAATCGAAGTTTTGAAGAATTATTTTGATATTTTATTTTGTATATTTTCAGGCAAAATTTTGTTTATCCGCACCAATTTACTACTACAAGTCCCACAATTCCTTTCTACCCAAGCGGACAGTTGGCGAACTACGAGAAGTTCAACAGTTCGAAACACGAGTGGAAGGAGAAGCTACGGGAGCGGTGTTCGTGGCGATGTCTCGCAATAATTGTTCTAGTCTTAATGTTGCTCATTTCACTCGGTGTCATAGCTTATTTATTAAGTAAGTATATACATGTATACTGTATAAGTGGTTAAGTTAGTGACATGAAAATATTGGCAAATTAAGAGAATTGACAAACATCGCTAAAATTTCCTCTAGCGTAAATATCAGCCAACCTGTCATTAAGTTCTACCCTTGCAGGATTCACTTATATTTTCTCACGCTAAATGTGAATCCCCTGTCCGTACTCAGGACACAATGTTAATTTAGTCTTTTAAATGCTAATGATTTCTTATGCCACCAGTATACATCCATGTCATATCATGTAAGTGGCTAAGTAGTTAAGGTGTCTGCTTTTCAACCCAGGGATCCCAGGTTTGATCCTTTATCGAGTCACAACCATGTTTCCTCATATGATGCCAGATTGGTCAAGCAGCTTTCGTAACAATTGATCCAGAAAACAAATATGTTAAAGTAATTTTTATGAATTGTAATTATAAAAGACTATATAAGAACAAACTTGCCAAAGATTTGTATCTATTTTTAGAATGATAATTCTGTAGTCATACCCCATGAATCTTGAAAATTCTCAATTTATCTTATGGCATATTGAATTGTAATTTAGTAATTTGTGAACTGGGTGAAATAAGTTTCTTAGCAAACATTTAGATTAATATTTAGAAAAGCTGGGAATTAAATTTTGTAATGAAATTTACATAGAAGATTTGATTTGATTAAATTTTAAGTGTCACAATTAAATTTGCTATGCTTTGTAGTATTGCAGATTTTAAGTGATTACAGTCTGTTTGCTATTGTTCACAAGATAGTGTGCTCGTTTAAGATCTGGGCGAGCCTTGTCTTTTGACATGGGCGTTTGGTTGAATACATTTAATTGCATTTTTCCGCCATCACTGAATTTTAAATGATTTAAGTGGAAAATTTGGCAGTTACTTGTGGAAAAAACAATTTTGTTTTGGTTCTGAATCCAGGTAGTTCAATAACAAACTGCCCGCCAATGCTCTATTCAATTGTAGTTAAGTCAAAACAATGAAAAAATTAAATTGGAAAGCAATCTGTTAATAATATGCAATCTAAATTATTTAAAAGCATTAATTCTTTTTTTTTTCCTTTTTTGAAAGATGCAATTTATTTTATTGCTTCTTTTTATTGCCGATAAGGAAATGAACTTTAGTTCTGCCCCAGTAACAGAATTAAATACACAATCAAAAAAACTTGATGAGTTTAAAGATACAAAAAAAATCAGACCTGAATATTGGAAATGCTCTGCAAGTTATAGAATTGAAGTACATATTTTCCTCATTGAAAGATTAATGGATTTCTCGGTTAATTTTGTTGAAACCTATTACCCAATGTGCATCAGTAGTTTTTATGCATTTTGTTGACTTTTATTTTTTATTCCATGACAGTGAGTTACTAGGTTTTTATAAGGGAAAATAAATTAGATTCTGATATGGGAAGATGCCTTTTTAGATTAGATTTGAAATTGGAAACGAGGGAAAGTTTTTATTTCTGCTTGAAGCAATGTCAGCTTGTTCAACCTCCTGTAAAATTTTCTGTCAGATTTCACGTTTTTTTTCGTTGGGAATCCCATTTTAAAGAAGTTTCTCTTTTTCTTTTTTCGATGAAGAAATGTAAAGAAGATTGAGGCTGTCTAAATGTAATTTGAGGTATTTGTCATATTTGTGATGATGTATGCATATATTCAGTTACTGGGGTGTTTTTATAAGCTAGATAGGGCTGTATGCAGCAAAAGGAGGGTTATATTTAGCAAATTAGGTTAGATGTAGCAAAGTAGGGTTATATTTAGGAAAGTAGGGTTATAATTATGTAGCAAAATAGGGTTATATGTAGCAAAGTAGGGTTATATGTAGCAAATTAGGCTAAATGTAGCAAATTAGGGCTATATATAGCAAAATTAGGGTATATGTAGTAAAATAAGGCTAACACTTTCTGATCTAAATGGATGGTTAAATTTAAGCTCCATTAGTTTTAAAGTGGCCATTTGCATTATTTCAAGTATTATTATGCAAAAATTAAAAGTTGTTGTTCTGGTGGAATATTGACAGCTTATTTGAAGACATTGCCAAAAAAATAACAAAAAGTTTGTTTTCCTTCAGACCTACTTATTATTGTATGACTGAACTACATACAGACTTCCATTGGTACCATGTCTCGTAAGCCTGTTAAGTGTAAGAAAGCAATTTTCTCCCAACATGTTTTCTTTATCCTTCAGTCCTCCCTGTGAAATTTCCTGTTACATTATATAACCATTTTTTTCTTGACAGGAACGGATATTAATTTACCTACACACTGTGTTAAAGCGACATAAATATTATTCCCGACATTCAAGTCTGTCTGGCGTTCTCGATGTAACATTGGATTCTTGTGACATTATTATGTCTTGACTGTACTTACTTTTATTATGGTTTTATCAAATTTCTAAAAGCATTTTATGGTGATGAAGTCTGGGGAGTTAACAAAGTCTTGGTGATTTACACATGACACTGATACTGTATACAGCATTATGAATGCTTTATACCTTAACACTTATATTTCCTATTTGGTATAGATTTGTCTGTCCATCGTGTTGTCCCGGTGTTCCTTTGTCTTTCTGTAGACAGACAATACAGTGGAAAGAGGAGGGGGGAAAGCCCTGTCCTATATAACATATTTCTAGTTCTATTCTTTTTCACACAAGATCTTTGACCATTTGAAATCGTGCTAGACCTTTAACCCTAACTTAACCCGCTGAATATTCTTAAATGGACTTGCCCAGCTTCCTTTTTTTGGAACTGTTCATTATCAGTTATGGGGATACCAGGGTGAAAATTTAAAGTAAGTCGGTCAAAAAGAATAGAGCCTGGTCAGACTGCACGGATGTGCAAACTTAGCCTGGCTTTGTAGAATCTAATGATGGCAAATGCATATTACTTTTGTTTCCAGCAGCATTAGGGTTATATGTTAAAAGAACAGTCTTTATTTGATATAGCAAAAGAGATTTACATACATAATAACTGCAAATAGATGTTAAGAATCATATTTTCAGCTATAGAATTTACTAGAATTTATGGAGGAAAGTGAAATTATGAGAGAAATATATCAGGTCTGTGTTGTTAAGTGTGTTTAAAATGCCAACTGTCTCATTATTTAAGTTTTAATGTTGTTTCATAAATCATTCTAATACGTTTCTGCAGTATTAACGTAAGAAAGATCATCTTTCCTGCGGAAAAAAAACAAACAAAATAAAAAAACAAGACATTATCTTAAGTATGGGAATATATCATGAATATTTTTCCCCTCTTAAACAGTGTTGACTGTTCCAAGAGTAAAAGCACATTTCAGTAACAAAAGAATGAAATTTAAACTTTCTTCAAAATTACTTACATGATATAATAATATTTCGCAAAATCGGTCCTCAAGGAATTAAAGCTAGCACTTTATGTGAATTGAAACCATATTTTCTAGTTTGAACAGACTTTAAAGGGAAATATTATTATATATATTCACTTATACGCAACCTAATAACCATAACATAATACAACTTGGGACGCGAAAAGAAATTAAAGCCGGAAAATTGCTTAGAAATAAATGTATAGATTTTCATTTTGTTATGATTGGAAAAAAGTTTGATGAACAACATACAGTATATCAAAAATATGACTCAAAACACTATTCTTAAAATTTAAATAATTATGTTAATGAGCACATTTGAAATGTTATTGAGGAAACTCTTGTGCAAATGCGAATGAATCATTGTAGACTTCTCATTATTGAAAGTAGATTATTGACTTTCGATTTTCTTTCATCATCCCTCTCCACTATGTGAGGGACTTTGGATTCTTTCATTTGAGGAAGCTATCCGACTAGTTTACAGAACATCGGTGGTTCTACTTAGGTGCTCATTTGTGCCTGAAATAATATGAGGAGGAACACTTGAGGTCTTCCTCTACCAGTAAAGCTGGAAAGTGGCCATAATTCATGGCCTCTATTGTTTGGTTTTATTAACCTGTCAATTACATACTGATTACACGGTCGATGCACACAGTATATTAATCTTCGGTAGATTTTCGGTAAGTTCCGTGAGATGTACGCTGTACGATGGAATTTAATTTAATTTGTATCTCTCAACAAAAAGTACTCAGCGTTATAGCGCAATAGGGTAAAGCACGAGTTTATACTCTAAGTGCCACACGTGTTTTAAGTTCGAGACCGCGTAGGTCTATGTTTTTATTTTCTTATTAATACTTTCAACAATATTGGAGCTATATATGTTCGTTCTGTTTATTATGTTTTACTTAATTTTGTTATATCTATATTCTTTTTAAATAACATGTTTTAAGAATTCATGTTTAAAATTAAAACGGATTTAAATCAATAAATGTCTTTTCAATGCTGTAAAACACACTACAAACTGTTCCATTAAAATATACGGCAAAAATAAAGAAAGAGTACTAAAACAATGGCAACAGCAAGGATCGAACCACAGACCTCTAATTTATCAGGCATTCTCTTAACCGACTGTACTATTGTGAATTAACGAAAACCTTCACATTAAGCTGGCGTGACTTTCAATCCATGACTAATATACTCCACATTAATTCTCGTAAACTTCACGGACCAAACCGAAGTGGGATCGAATATTTAAATGAGTTCTATAATGTATGCATAATTGACAGGTCAATAAAATCAGACTATACTATGTAAGTGCAAGGTAAAACCAAACCAAAAATATGAAAAAAAAAATTTATTTGTCATGTTGTAATAGTGTTGTTAAAAGTAATTTTCTTAAATTACAGAAACACGATATGTGGACGATGCGGTAGAGGTTGACGCGGGAACGACGTCACATGACCATGGGAGAGGAGGATATGGTAATACGAGTTCGCCCTGTTCCCCATATTGTCTTCTATATCTACAACATTTAAATGTATCATCTGTACCTAGTGATAGTTTAGTGCATGCAGGTAAGTGGGGTAGGAATCTTGTGATCTGCCTCACTAAAAAAGTTCCTTCCAAAGCAGAAAAGTAGTTCCATTAATGCTTGGCATATTGAAAAGAATAAAGTATCGGCATTCAAACATTTAAATGCAATTAAACTGATGTCAAGTAAAAATCTGATTTAATTTCTTATGCATGAATATTAAATTCAAGAGCATTTATATGGGGGTTATCAGGGTTTGTACGGTAATATTCAGGATTTGTTTAAGTACAGGAAGTATACTTTTCTGCTATTATATTAATACTGTTAAATTATCTGGCTTTGTTGTTCTGTAGTTATAGAATCCAAAATTATATGCATGTTTGGATTGCATGTTAGATTGTCTGTGCGTGAGTTTGTGTTGTAACAGCAAGTAACGAAATTTGTCCAATTTAATTGTGCTAGAGCTCGGACTATTTTCTTAATGTATGTACTCTTGACTCCGCTTTTTCAGACACTGAGAGTATGAACCCCAGGAATATATTCTCCTTGGAAAACTATTTATATAGATAGACTGCTTAGAATTTAGCTTAAATAATATTCCGCATACTATGCAGCTAAATGTTTGCTAACTTTTAAAGGCCCATAATAGTGTTTTATTAATGTAAAAAAAATACGTTCTTGAAAGTCATTTTATATGGACTGAAATTAGATCATTAACGTTTGCATATAACTAAATTCTTATAGGGAGATAAAATTTCTTAAATGGAAGTAATTCAGAGAACAAAGTTGAAACTGTTTGTATAGATTGACTTTTACTTAAGTCGTAGTGGGCCTTTAAAGGTTTGTTAGCTTAGAAAATTGACTACTGACATGCTAATTGAGTTCCTTTTACAATAGTTATTTTCCTCTTCGTCATTCTTTATTAATAATGCTATTGGTTTTCAAAGATAACCCTTTATGAATAATATTGAACATATAAAGAACTAATAATTTTATGTTGTACAAAAAAGATGAATTCCTGCCAGACTAATATGTGTTATGGTTATGGTTTTTATGCGGTTTTTATTCTGACGTTTATTTGTTTCATATTGTTTGTATCGTTACTCCTGCACTTGTTAAGATGTTGTTTTTTCCCCCGTATGGAGAAGTTTCTCATCACTATGTATAGAACCGACTTAATCTCCTTATAAAATTGATTATACGCGGCATAAAGTAGTCCCGTAAGATTCCAGAGCGATACCGAGGTAAAGGAAATGAAAACAGTTCATCCAATAAAACGTCGTATTCTCTTAAGGATAAAGCTGGGGGTATTAAAATATATGTAAGAAGTTTACAAATTGATATAAATGTAACATTTATTGGATCTTCGAGATAGAAACGTTTTATCAGATATCAGGTCTTCTAAGCTTTACTGAAATCTCTTCAAGGACATTAAAGTTTGCTTTATTTAAAATTTTCCAGACACATTTCAGCGAAGTTCTTAGAAAAGTAAATTTTTAATACATGCATCTTCACATTGTGAATTATATAACGGTCAAAGTTATAGTCTGAGAAAAGGCCTAGTTTTAATACTTCAGATAATGAAAATTTGTATTTCATGTCAGAGAATAAACTTATATTTGGCGTATTCATGTCAACCTATTAGTATTAACATGATGGTTATAACAACCCATTTAAGCTTTATGGACTTACAGTTTTTGTTAGTTTTAAAGCGGTCCGCTTACGAAAGATAAAAACAGACATGTGGATTCTAGTTTTAGAGTACTGTCAAATTTTTAAAACAGTGAAACTTTGAAGCATTGAATGGTCAGCAAATCAAGCAAAAGGTTTGGAGAGTTGGTGCTGTATTGTTATTCTTTAAATAATTTACTGGCAGTTATCATCTTGTAATTAACATCATTCTGTTTTACTACAAATGCACTCTCTTACTCTGTCAAGTGGATAAACCACTTTCGGGGAGACATTTTTTTCCATTTGTATCAAATTAGATAAAAGATGAACGATTGTAAAAAATCCAATTACTAGTTTTGTCTGTCCACGGCTTATTACGCTACTAGTTGTTGGCCGTCGAATTTGATTCTGAAGGACAACATATGCGGGGGAATCAATCAACAAACGTTTGTCATAAGTGGGGATTGTGTGGAGAAAATAAAACCCAATTTCGCTACTTAAGATGAACAAAGCTTCATTGCATGTAAAATTAGATGATACGTTGTTTGTGCGAATGCTCCTCGACAGAAACTCAATTATCGTTGAGTAGTATAGAAAGTGTCATACTGTCATACGTAATTTTGTAACTTCCATAAATTGGCGATGCCCTCCACTCGTCAAAGAGGCTTGCATGTCTGTCATTAAGTTTATAAAATGAAAGATGATACTTTTTTTTTTAAGAAAAAAAATATGACAAAAAAAAATTTTAAATAGTGAAGCTTTGAAAAAAGGAAGTTTGACACTTTCTAATGAATGTTATAGCTAGAAATTTGGTTTTGATAAAGGCTGAATATTGATTGAAATTGTGTTAGGTTTAGATGATAAGTTGATTATTAAATTATTAAACAAAGATTCTAATATTTATTGATTAAGCTTGTAATTTTTGTTTGATATTTATTTAAATATTTTATCTAAAAGTAAGGAACAGTACAATTTTTCAGAGCTCAAAAGAGTTAAGAATTTTCTTTTGCTCAGATATTTACAATAGACGTTGATAATATTAAATAATATTGCATTGTTTCAACAACAATAAATAAACTAATGGTATTGAAATTTCATGTCAGTCACAATATTTCTTTTCTTTCAGTTGTTTTATTAACCTGGTAAATAACAAGTAAAAGTTTGTGTGTAGACAAATAGAAAAGTTATCATTGGCATGGTTCATTTTCAGGAGGAAGTACGCTAGCTCCGCCTACTTTACCTATAGCCCAGTACCAGGTCGGCGACAAAATGAAACAAACAATACCACCCAAATCATTCTGGACATCGCAATTTAATCAACCGGATTCAAAGTTTGTGAAAATAAATCTGACAGTACCAGAAGATGGCGTGTTTGGAATTTACGGACGACGCGGGGCTTCCCCTTCCATTGCTCAGTTTGATTTCTTCGACATCATTGATGGACGCACTCTTAACTCAAGAGTTAAAAGATCGGCAAAGGTGAGTTTCTTTTTACAGTATGGATGAAAAAGATGACCACAAACTTCTTATTCTTGTTAATATTACAAAGAATGTGCTTGTTTGATCAAATAAGATATTGTAAATCTATTCTCTAATTGAACATTTTCAAAAATTTCTAAATATTTAGATAAGTTATTTGATATGTAAACCAGTCAAAAAATACAATGTATGTAACCATTTCATTGGTCAGTTTTAAATATGAATTTTGAATCAGCCAATTGGATGGAATGCCTTGTAGGCTGGTCTCACAAGTTTTCTTATTTCAGAAATGTTCAATTTAACCAATATTCACCCACACACAACAAACATATTGCAACATTTCAAAGCTTTCCTTGTCAAAAAATCAGATTGCATGATTGTCGTTCTAATCATGCTGCATTTTCCTAATCATACCAATTGACAAGATGCGCTGATTATCTCAACTTTTCATTTTCTTTTCCTGCAAATTAAACCTTGTGTATCCTAGAATAGATGGAATAAATCAGCTCTGGAGTAAAGGAACCATCATTTCTATGCAAACTTGATATAACAGAAGCCTTCTTGAAAACATATTTATCTGTCTTGAAACTCGGGTTTTCAGTAGTCCCTAGGTAGATATATCGGGACAATATAAATAATGAGGGAAGGAAAACTAAACATAGAATTATTGGCAAGGATAATTATGGGATATTAGTCTAGCTGGCAGTTATATATCAACCGTGTGACAAGATGCTGCAAGCCGTAAGACTGTGTTTGTAAGGTTTTTATGATAGACCGAGGCCTGGTATAAATGTTTCTTGAAAAAACATAAGATTAAAGGAAGAAAAAATGGATTTCTAAGATTTATAATGGCATAATGTCATGTATGCAGAAGTAGTCTGTAGAAAGGTACTGTGTGACTTATCTGTAATATTAACATGCTATCAGGCGGGAACTGCAAGGGAGGGAGTGACACATGCAATGTTCTTGCACAGCAATGACATAATAACAATTTGAGTTCGAAAAAAAAAAATCCTTCTTATCAAATGTGTAAAATTTGTAAAGGTTTATGGTAGGGGTTAAGGCATTGTTGCTAATGTCTTGTGAATTCAAGCCACACCATCTCTTTGCCACTGTAGGATTGAACCTTTTAAGGGACTGTAGATTCCTTGATGTAAGCTAGGATGCCATTCATGTCTTGCACTACAGGGTAGTACCTGAATGTGCCTCTCAGACTTACTTACAGATGGCAGGGACACAAAGTTGAGAGGGAGGGATGAGAACATTTGTGGGGAAAAGTTTTGCACTGGCATATTTTTGTGAAGAAGTGTGTAAACCAGAAAACTTTTGGGAACAAATATTTAGACTATGAAACTTTTGTGAATAAATTTAAAACTTTGCCAAATAATTTTTATACTAGTACAATGTATTGCCTGCCATGAATGTTAGGTTTTAAGTGTCCCCAGATATATGTATAGACAACATAGATAATTAGAAAAGCAGAAAAAGTTGAACATAGAACAGGGAGAAAAATGCCTGTAATTATAGGAAATGAGTCTTCCAGGACTTTATAAACATCAGATGGTTGACAAGCCTAGGCTGTGCCAATATGGTTTTATGGTGAATTAAAGATTAGAAAAAAGTCTTTGAGGAAGGGAAAAGAAGATAAGAAAAATAAGTTTTCCTTGAGAAGGTGTTTTTAGAATGAATTAAGAAATTTCTAGGTCTTCAGGGAGTGATTTGCTAGTAAATTCATCGCATTATCTAGGAGCTAATAGTAAGTCTTTAAGAAAATTGTAAGTGGGAAAGACAAACAAGAAAAACCTCTAGGCAAATTGAGATTTTTTTTTCTCCAAGAAAATAAAATGAAAATGCAAAAAAGATTAAGATTTATAATGGAAATGTTGGTCTTGTTGACTTTTATTTTAGACTGAGGTTAATTGGGCTTGATATTAACAGTTGTCCAACTGCCAGGAACAACTAAGAGAATGGTCTTGGAAAGTGAATGCCAAAAGAGCTTATCAATTATATCAAGTGATCTTTTGAGTGGCGGCCTGGCCGAGTGGTAAACATACCTAAGTACATAGGTTGGTTCCAGGAACAGATTGAGAGTGTTTCAATAAGCTTATAGCTTCTTACACAATTGAACATCAACTAAGTGGTCTTAATATTGTTATTGTTCAAAATGTCTGTAATAAAATAGAGAAAAAAACTCAACTAATAACAAATATATCTTTATTTGAATATTGAACCCTTGAAGTAGTGTTTTCTTATTGTTAAATACAACATTGGCTAAGAAAAACCTGTCTCATTACACTTTGCTGACCAAGAGAAAAAGAAGCAAAATAAGAAAAAGCTGACCATAGAGAAATCTCTGTACCTAACAATAGATTATATTTTCTATGAATATTCTTCTATCTAATTACGTAGGTAAATCATAAGGAAAGAAATGCCTGTGTAAAGATTAATATTTCCACCAAATTAATTCTCCAGAGAGACTTACCATTTCTAATTTGCAATTTTGTATATCCTGTCTCGTCTACGTAAAGTAATCTTTGTGCAAGAGATTGTGAAAAAAATAATATCATAATGATATATGTATTGAATCATATAAAAGTTGTTAGTTGCCATTTACAGGCAGAAATGTAAAAGGATAATAAAAAGGAATTAAGAAAATTCATTTTTTTTACGTAGGCACAAGACAAATCTCATAATTAGAAAAGTTTCAGGTCATTTATTTCGTGAAATGTCAAGGTCAAAGGAAATTATGGGGAAAAGATTAAACATTACTTGATTTTAGTTGAAGGTCATGGGTATTTTGAAGGTCACGCAAATTTTGAAACAGGTCATTCAATCGAAACAACTAAAGATGACCGTCTGATTGCAAACAACTTTATTCCAACAATTCCTGATGAAACTTCCACAGTTTGTTATTGTAAATGTAAATTAAATCAAATTCTACAAGACTACTTTTTCCTCTGTCCTTATATGACGTAATCAATGTTTTTTTTTTTAAATTTTGTTTGTTTGTTTTGGCTTATATTTGGCAGTTCACTAAGACAACTGTTATTTCGTGCTGCAAAGTTTGTGCAGTCCCATGGGATTCTAATCACGCGTGAGCTGATCTTAATATTTTTTTTCTCCCCGACTTTAATGAAGACCGATGAGATGCACGAGAAATTTGCTCGTTTTAAACAATGGAAAACAGATTGAAATTTAATGAATTTTGACATCATATTTGTCTTCACGTTGCATGCACTCGGTAAGGTTTATATCCCTAGAATGTCAGTTTGGGTATTCGATAATTGTGAAAATTGAAGCACAGAAACAGCTCGGAATAACGCCTTGAACATTTTTTAATCTAGGTTATAGTCGATCTGACTTTAAATGTCACCATCAGTCTTCGACGAAAGTAGAATTGTCAGCAAAACATTTTCCCCTTTCGACCATTGCGTTCATTACTGCAAAATAACATGCAATTAGTGGCCATTATTCATTCAAAATTTATTTCCCTAGACACTAGATTAGATAAAAAGCGAGGGTTTGTTTTGGAGTATTATCTTCATGACAATGGAGTTGAAAACATATTTATTTTTTTGCTTTATTTACAGAATCATGAGACGGCATTGAACAAGTACCTAGAGGCTGGGGTTTGGTTTATATCTGTGTATAATGACCAGGAGGATGCTCAAACGGTGTCACTGAAAACCGATTTCTACAGTAAGTTTGACACCCATTACTCAATCTTTGCTATAAGTTTTGAATTCTTCTTATAATTATTACATGAATTTTGTTTTAAAAAATGTGGGCTTATTATTTTATGTTTAAGTGTTACATGATCACATGAAAAATTATGAAATCAACCATTTTGAGCCTTTCGAAACATAATTATGCACTTCCTGTCAATACAAGTGCCGCTCATGGAAGAGGTCCAAATGCAAATTTTATAGAAAAAAATTTAAGTGGTATTTCTAAGGCAAATATTTTTACCATATTAGAGTTACTGAGGTCATTGTGTGTTGTGGCAATGTTTTGAAAGTTGTGTTAAAGGGAGTTTGAAAGCATCGGCTGCAGCCTCGATAGTCTTTCCTCGTAACAAGCTGTTTCAAGTTATTTGATCCACCACAATGTTAAAATTCACATTTCCTATGCAGATTTAGATTTATCTTTGCTTAAATTTAAGATAAACTGTGTTTATGCATTGGAATTGGAAGCTGTATGAATAAACGATAGACAAAGTTACAGAAATTTGAATTTCTAGATATCTAAATGCATTTGACAAAATTTGAGAAATATGCAATGTACAATAATTTGCTTTTGCCAAGTTTTCCTTTTTTAAAGTTCTGAATACTGTTTATGGACTGAGTCTTCAATTGGCACGCTCTCTATAAGTATTTTAAATATTCATAAAAAAACATTTTTAAACAATTTTTTTTTGGGGGGTGGGGGGGAGAAATAAAAAAAATTTAGATGTCAAAAATAAGTTAGTATGAACATTTCATAAGAGAAATTTTGTTCTAAATTTATATTGATATTTGATATCACATCATGTATAGTATCTTAAACACTTAACCAACACCCAACATCCATATAAAAATATACTTTTATTGTTTAGTGTTATATATGTAAATCCTATCTACATGATTATATATGGTACAGACCTGCCATATTAAACCAATTCACTTTATACCCATACAATAGCTTGAGGACATAAAGACTTGTTTTACAACTCTTGGCTGTTAAAACATTTTGAAAATGAAAAAAGAATATTTCTCTGACACTTAAGGAATGAGTCAGACTAGCCTCGCACTGCATTAAACTTTTGAAACATCATCCATTTAAAGCAAATATTCCCTTATGTAGTCTATAGAACGGTTTCCATGAACGATATCTGGATAACGCAGCAATTTTCCAGGAGGTCGGCCTTTATTTGATTTCCATTATTTCCATTTACGTAATTCCTGTTATTTTTGCTCCTTTTTTCTTGACCCAGACTCTCTATAAATGACCGGTGATTACATTTAGTGTGCTTCAATACATTATGAAATTAAGCTGTCTGGACCGCAGGTCATTATTTTGAAGAAGCCATGAAAAGTGGAAAGAAATTCCTGAAGTTAGAAAATTATTTTTACATTAAAGTTACAGCTTTAAAAAATATCTTACTTCTTAATTTTTTTTAGACAAAATAAGGAAATGGTAATTAGAATTGAGAGTGTCCAATTTACCATATGTCATCTAAAAAACACAAGGCTGTTCTGAAGTTTATGCTTAACAAAGGTATGTTATAATGTCTATTTATAGAACATTTTGATTTCTATTTTTAGAACCCGAGACTGGTTGCCCAGGCGATTGTTTTCTGCATGGAAGCTGTGTGGATGGACAATGTCAATGTTTTCCTGGTTACACAGGCTGGGATTGTAATCAAAGTATGTACATGTATTATCTTATTTTATATAGCAAGGTCAAATACTAAATGTGAAGGTCATTGTCCTAGAGTATTTTATTATGCAATAAAATATATATTTATTTACAAGCATGAAAAAAAAATCTGGGGATTTAATAATTGAAATGAAAAAGTGTAGGACTTTTTAAACTCCATTCCAGTATTAAATTTGAAACGAGGGTCTTAAGAGCTCAACTAGAATATATTCCTTTCTCCAATATGAGAAACTAAACTCTTTTAAGTAATCACATGACTGTATTCAGATAAATAAGATTAGACCAAAAGAAGAAGGATAAATTTATTACCTAAGATCTTGTTTAATGATGGGCGAATTTCCTCCCTGATTTCATTTTATTTCCAAGACCAAAATTCCCATGGGAGAAACCTGTATTAAAAGATTTTTTGTGAATGAAGGTTTGTTAACATTGATTTTATCAGGCTTGTTAATATTGCGCGGAAGACGTGCAAGTGACAAGCATAACAAATTACACGCAAGAAATGTGGTGAATTTCTGCTTGACTCATGCACACGGCCTGAAGTTTTTTGCTAAATGCAAATGTTTATGGACGGAGGCAAAAGTTTTGCAGTAAGATTCGCGGATTTGTGATACGAACACCAATAAGGCATTTTTTGCCGCAATAAAAGCGTGTTAAAGAACGAAGCCTGCAGCCTTTTGTCACAATTTTTTCTCACTTTATCACCTCACTGGTTGTGTTTTTTCTGTTCTGGTCCAAATATCTGCGATTAACGTTAAAAGTATTTTATTACGAAATTATGTCTTAAAGAAAACTTGATACTCGTAATCTAAATAAATAATTCTTTAGAAAGGTGGAAACAATTTTTGTTCCATAAGTTGTGCTTTTACGCAAGTAGTTATTTATCCTAGGAGATAATTCACTTGTTTTTGAGAACAAATTTATTGAAGTGTCTCCTTATTTGACACGCGTTCCTGTGTCTCGTTTAAATCAGCTGTCATTCTGATTTATTTTGAAACTATTTGAATGTCACTTTAATTGTAGCGGAAAAGTAATGCTGCGATTTTTCTCTTCTTAATATACAGTTGTAATAAAATACATACTGTAGTACGAGCTATTTAATTTAGGTTTCAGACATAAAAATATGTACTTTATGTTGCTTTAATTCAAGATGACTGTAAAATGCATGTAAATTTACAATATATACAGTAGTCTTACGCCACAGGGACAATTTTCATAAGATTTGTATGGTGAGGAATTTCAATAGAATTACGTCTGCTACAAGTGACAAGTGGGCTGAATTATACAGATGTGACTTTTCTTATAATTGTGTCTGATGTAATTATAGAAAACAGCACATGTGCTAAAGAAAATATCCTAGCATTTGTTACACTTACAGACAATGTAAATGGCTTACTCATAATTTATACATATTTATTGGTCAAGGTCACCCTATATTGATTAGGTCAAGGTCATTAACAAAAGTTACTAACATGTTTGTATGCTCATTCAGTTTGTATTTGAGAGATACTAAATAAAAAGGCCATTTTTTTTTCAAATAACGTTCTGTTATTAAGAAATTAGTCTAAGGTCAAACATTGAAGGTCACTATTTCTAAAAATAATTTTCTTTTTCAGAAACATGCCCAGTGTTATGCAGTGGCAATGGAATGTATATCAGAGGTCAGTGTCATTGTCACACAGGCTGGAAGGGGATCGAGTGTGACATTAGGGAGAACGAATGCGTAGTGCCGAACTGTAACGGAAATGGCGTGTGCATCGATGGAAGGTGCGAATGTCACGAAGGGTTCAAAGGGGTCGATTGCGGAGACAGTAAGTGACGACTATGTAGTTATTAATAGATGTTGTTTATAGAGTGGTATCTCATTAGGTAAAGTGTAGAGTATTTTAACATTTATTTTAAACAAGAGATTAACCTGAGACATAGCTTATGCGTAAAATTAGGAATGGAAGGAACTAAAACGGTATTTATCAGGCTCTAGCATAGATTATTAAATTTTTTATTACCAATAAATTTTCAAAATAAAAACACTTTTATATTCCATAGGCATTTATTGCTGTCAAAAATCTTAAATTTTTTAAGACAATACAAGTTAAACTGTTCGATTAAATAAGACCAATACATTAAACAGTTCTGTACAGTACAAAACACTCCTTAGTTTAAATGTTTATTGTGAAGCTTCGTGTTTATTTTTAGCATCAATTTCTCACATTTTTTCCTATCTATTTTATGTGTAGATTTGAGACAACTTCAATTCAATGTAATATTGTCACATTTTGTTGTGTTTTATGGCTAAAAATGAACAAAAAATGTAGAAAACTTTGGTGCTGTCAACTTGTAGTTTTCCTCTCACTTCATGTGGATACAGAAAGCTCAATATGTTATTGCTAGAATTTTCCTCGAATATTAATAGTTTCATGGTTTATCCATTAATACAACTAAATTTAGATTTGAGAAATAACCACCAAAAAATATTGAGTTTTATGTTTCACTTGAAAAACATTTTCTTCCTTCAAAGCTTTCAACCTGTTTTGATGCTTTTGTTGGCTTTTTTCTCTGAGTAAGCTGATTATAGTCTTTCTTTCTTACTATTTTTTCAGTGAACATTTGTTCACCTTTTTCAGTGAACATCTTTTCACTTCTTTTTCTGTGATTGTCTTGTAACCACTTTAACAGCTAAAATCTTGTTACCGCTTTTACTTGATTCATTTTTTTACCACTTTTTCATTGAACAGCTTTTTACCATTTTTTCAGTTTAAGCATCTTTTTATCACTTCTTCAATTGTAAAATGGTCTTTTATCTTCTTTCTGAAGTTAATAATCAACTCTGACTAATAACCGATTCTGACAGACAGGAACTATTTTTCCTTTTACTTTTAAAAAATTGTCAGTTTCTATATTCACTTACTATAAAAGAAATGAACAAGTCTACATTTTGACGTTAAAATGTCTCTTATTTTCCGGTTGTGATGATTATTTATGACATAACTGTAATAGTTTTTATCATACTTTATTGAACATGGTGAAAGAAAATCGGTATGCCTGCAGACTGTTTACGAGGAGAAGGGACTACTTTTTCTTAATGCATTTCACAATTTTATCATAATTTTTGGTAGTTTGATACATTACACATAAACGAGATTTATCTTTTGTCTGCTGGTATAGAAATAAACTCTTAAGACCTTGAAATACTGTTCTTGAAAACCAGATAGAATACTGTTTCGGTATCAAAATTGAAATTTATATGAAAGATAAATTTTGCGTTGTGGAAAAGCAGACAATTTTGGCCGAAAGGACAAGAATACCATCTTTGAATTGTGAAGAATTCTTACTTGAAGGAGCTACCCAAACATAGCTTATTTGTTGAAAGTGATTAAATGAAAAGACATTTTGGCAACTGAAAAATTTTATGAGGGCAGTTTACATTATCCTGCATCTTTTGATCTTAATCATACTGGTTTGAAATCAAACCATACGTCGGAAAGAAATTTAATTTTATATTTTGTTAATTAAGAAAGGGAAAATATTGAATAGAGACAATATTGACCACTGTTTTTAGTTTATTTTTATACCAGCAAAGCTTTGTATTTTGCTTTCTGCTTTTTCTATTGTAACTGCTTTTTGTCTAGTATAACCATGCACTGATTCTACACAAGATGGGGCCCTGTCTTCAGCAGAAGTAACTTTTGGAAAGATAATCTTTGCTTCTTAAAACCAAAGACAATCTTTTCATAAAGGGTTTACAGACTTTAATGTAGAGAATAAAATTAGATTGGTTTTAAGTTTACGGGTTAAAGGTGGTATTACTTTGGAAATTGATTGTGAACTTTTGAATACAAATTGTTTTCTGTGGAAGATAGGGCCTCAAAATCTATTTATGACTTCTTGAAATCTTTTCATCTGAAATAATTTTTCCAGTTGACTGCCTTATGCCTAACTGCTCGGGTAACGGGGTTTGTGCCCTAGGCGAGTGTGTATGTTATAAAGGTTTTAAAGGGACCGATTGTAGCATTCCGGATAAACTTAACATAACACACTTGTGCACGAAAAATTGCTCGGGTCACGGGATATACAATGTAGAGGACGGCAAGTGTGAATGTGAGCGATTTTTCACTGGGAAAGATTGCGATACAGGTAAATGGAACGACGGCCTGTTCGTTTTTTGGAATACCTTTGTTATTATCCCCTATGCATTTGAAATAACATGTCGAAACTTGTAAATTAAACTTATTTATATATGTATTGAAATGAAATGGCATGATAAGAATGCAATCATTAAACTATTTGATCTTGTAGTGCATTACAAAATAATTTATAATACTATAAACATTTGAAATTTTCCAAAGATAAAAGAACGGAAATTTGTTTGAAATGAGTCTAAAATATCCAGATGTATTTTGTGTAACATGCAAAATGTTCACAATTCAAACGGTAATTTAATACAAGTAATGTTAAATTGAGGTAATAAAATTTGATGAAAAAGAAATCATTAAAAAAATGCAGTTTTCAAAATGCAGTTTCCATGTCTTTGAAGTGTTTTGAAATACATTCTTTTAGAAATTTTCGTGTAAATCATACATTAAAGCAGTTCAGCATGGAACCGAATGGTAAATTATTCATTATAGATCTAGTGGCAATTTAATCAAACTGTTCTTTTATTGCTTGATAGCACCGACAATTTTCTCGTAAACAATGATTAATACCGCAGTCTTGTTTTGTAAAACATCGCTATTTGCATCGTCAAATTTCACTGAAATTAGTACGTTTCTTACCTTTGGGATGAAAAAAATGACTAACATTTGATTAAACAAGTTAAGATAGGCGAGTGTAAAAAAAGAATGTGCTTGATTGAAAATAATATTTATAAAAATTCCCCGAGCGATTTGTGATGGATGATGTAGCACTATACTTAGTAGCATCCTTGTTTTTATTGTGACAATAACAATTATTTAGTCAATACTAAATTCTGTTTTATGCTAAAAACCTGTCTAATACTAATATATTATTTATACTAACAGTTCTCTTCAGCTAACCGTTTCATCATTTTATTGCGAAAAGTGTTAATTTTCAGATGTGACAGTAAATAATAGAGGAGGTAGTTAAGGCAATTTGTTTCCTGAATAATTTCTACCCATAATGCATATTTCCTGTGTTGTATCTGTCACCCATAATGCATTTTGATTTTTTTTATAAAGATTCCTGCCCAAGCAGAACTTGCCTCTGCTTTCATTTGCATGTGTTCCCTGTTTACACAGATTGCACTATAAATAGAATCCTGAAAGGGGATGTTACTCTATATAGCAATCTGTGTAAAGGGGGACAATTTTGTATATTCATCAGAGTTATCTTTTCCTTGCTTCTTGCTGTAGCATGCTTTCTGTATGATACATTGTAAATTTATTTTTGTGCACATTTTATTAGAAGCATATTTATTGTTATGTTTGCTGTGAATGGATTTTCAGATGAAATTGAATATTGTCATGCTGATATACAAATAAATTAAAGAAAAAAAACAACAAAGCATTAATTTGATAAATATAATATTTTATGATTTTGATAATTATTATAAAACTTAAAAGATAAATTTTTTTTTATAAATACATGTATTATAATATTATTGTTTCTGTAAATGTCCTAAAGGCAAATATGTGACTGATAAGTAAAGGTGTCTGCTATATTGATTACTGTTTTTAAGCCTGTAATGGGGAAACAACCATGTTGTCCTCATAGTTTTTACATCGGTACTTGCTACTGGTTATATACTCCAGGAAGATGACTCAAAATCTTTGATTAAAGCTTATGATTATTTGTTTTTCATTAAGCCTATGTAAATATATGTCAGCTAAATATGATTTTAAAAAGGTAATAATAAAATTATAAGATTTAGATGAAGTATTTAGGATTGTATCATTATTTCTACAGAACAATGTCGACTAGAGTGTTACCATGGTTATTGTCATAATCAGCGTTGTCTGTGTTATGATAACTGGAGTGGCGCCTTGTGCGATCAGTTAAAGTGCGATCCCCGCTGTGACGGTGTCCGTGGTAACTGTAACAACGGCACATGCCTGTGTTTGAAGGGATACAACGGGAAACACTGTAGTCTGGGTAAATAATTTGTTTTTGTATATTTCATATAGCTTTTCAATTGTGTTGGGAAAATTGCATATTTAATAGTAACAATTTGCAACTTAAAGAAGAGCTTACATTAAACTTAGATTTTCAGTTAGAAGAAAGATTCAATGCCTGTAAAATGTTTAAAATATTGGATGTTTTTATTAAGGTTAAAATTTTTTACATATAAATATGTATAAAATTTCCATGACTGTATAATGTTGGAAAATCGCATAGAGCAAAGTATACAACAAGTTGTATTCACTGTAAAGAAGAAAGTATAAAATACATGTTAAAAATGATAAAGAGAAAGAAAAGGGCCAAGACTTATTTACACACACAGATTCCAGTTTTATATGATTCATCAGGGCTAAAATCATATTGGATTTTGTTTGGCTTGAAAAATGGGTGCATCTCTTTTTGCCTTATTTATAACTCGGCCTCTATAATTGGTTTAGCATATTTTGCTCTATTTGAAATTGTTCCTCTGAAAATTATTAGGATATGCCCTTTGTTTTAACAGAGACAAAATGATTGGCATACAAGCTGTGAAATAGGCTGCTATGCATCAATTTTTTGACCTATAACATTTTCTGCGGCTTCAAATTAGATCACCATGAGGGAAAATTGTAAAATATGCACCCATTTGTGTTCGATACTTATTAAAAATTGATGTGCACTGAAAATTGGATATGGCAATTTTATGACGAAAGTTCAATACTGTAATGGAAGTTGGTATGAAAAAGATGAAAAAACTTTCACGTTTTGTTGACATTTTGTGTCATTTTATGCTGTTACTGTACTCTAAGGGACATAAGATACTGGGGAAATTAATCATAATTTCAGAAAACTGCAAACATTTCAAAAAATTATGACATTTTAATAGTTTTCTGACTGTGAAATTTGCAGATGGTTGCCCAAATGACTGCAGTAATAATGGGGTGTGTACTCTAGGACAACAGGGCTATAGTTGTAAATGTCGCTCCGGCTGGAAAGGAGAAGCATGTGACGTTTCCATGGAGATGCAGTGTAAAGATCATGTAGATAATGACGGAGGTAAAAAAAAAAAAACTTTGGTAGCTTATTTTATGCATGGCCTTGACCCTTGTCAATTCCTTAATTTGGCCATTGCTACTTTGAATTTGGAACATTCCATGACTTTTTGAAGGGCTTTCAGCAGTAAAATGCTAATTTCAGCTGCAGACTTTATATGAAGTTTGTCACCCTACACTGATGCTATAGTGTGGAAATTTATATGTCTTCTACAGTATTGAATTTGTAACTGTTACCATGTTAAAATTAGAAAAAAAATAATAATCTCAAAGTAATGTTTAGATTGACCAAACATTTAATGTATAATCTAATGTTAACTTGTTACATTTTTTTTTTGTAAAAATATAATCTTCATTATTAAAATATGACATCATTTGACATTTTAACCAGATGGATTGAGAGATTGTATGGACCCTGACTGTTGCGCTAGTAAAGAGTGTGAAGATAATCTGTATTGTCGTGCTTCCCCTGATCCCGCTGAAATACTGCTGCGTAAACAGGCCACCTCTGCAACGGCCTCGTTCTACGAGAAAATGAAGTTCCTGGTAGAAGAGAATAGTGTCCAGATGGATACATCAAAGAATGCATTCAATGAAAGGTATCTTATTTTGTATTTAAAAAAACTAAAAAAAAAACTATTGGGATATCCCTTTCTTTATTATATATACATACCTAAAACTGAATTTTGAAGTTATTTGTGTGATGTGTAAAGCTACAAAAAAATCTGATGACTGTTTGTAGGCATTCAAAAAAATTTCATTTTTTATAAATGATAGAAATATTTTTTGTTACATCAACAACATTGATTATTATTAATGAGAGAACAATTTAAATAAAAGATTTGATATCAAAATAATTTTCATACACGGATGGACAGTTTTGTATTTGTTCACTGTTGTATTTAATACTGTAATATATTGCGTTAAATCCACTAAGCAAGATTTTTTTTATATTTTAACAAATCTTTGATGAAAACATTCAGACAATGTGAACTTTATAATTGCAGTCAAGTGTCTGTTATCCGGGGCAAGGTACAGTCAGTGGACAAGACTGCGCTAGTTGGGGTTCGTGTAGATATTGATAAACAGCCTCTGTATGGTTACACTCGTACACGAGAACATGGCCTGTAAGTTAACTGAAACATTCATTTCGTTTCCTACTGTAAAGAAATCTTAGATTTTATTCCCTGTCTTAAACAGATGTAAAAAATTTTGTTTTGGATTCATTCACATTAAATTTTACCAAGTATTTTGTAAATTTTTCGTGTCGTTAATAGATTTAGCAATATGAAAATTTTTGCAGTTGACTAGAAACTCCAAATGTGTAATGGGATAAACAACGATAAAGCTCCAATTCATCACTCTGTCTTCAAAGGTATGAATGTACATGTAAGGAATATTTTGAGTGAAACATAAATAAATAAATAAATATTTATTTAAACATTTCTTCAGGTTTGACATTCTGGTGAATGGTGGTGGATCAGTGACACTGAAATTTTCCCGTCAACCATTCTTGACTCGCACTGTGAGCGTACTGGTACCCTGGAATCAGATCATCACCATGGAAACCGTTGTCATGGCATTAATAGAGAGAGATATGTTACTACCGAACCCGAACCTCTGTGGGATATCACATAACCACTACAAGCTTCAGCCAGTGGTTTTGTCGACATGGCAACACACACAGCTAGGGTCGTGTCCGGAGAAAAGTACGATTATCCCAGAATCACAGGTAAATGTCAGAGCTATCGTTACAAATAGCATGTTATTTTAACATCCATCAGCTGGAATATGCACTGAGGCACGCTATCCAATGTAATGTAGTGAAAATTATTGTAACCAGTGACATGAGCTCATAATCATTGATTATGTAACATGTCTTGAAAATAACTATGCTGTAATTAACTTTGAAATTAAAGTTTTAAAGAGGTAATATGGTAAATTTGTATGAAAATGAGTTTAAGTTGATACAATTGATATAAGTTTTATATGAATTGATGTTAAAAACTGTAGAAAAGATCTGAAATTCATGAAGATAAAACATAACTTTTGTCATCTAGACTTCAATCTAATATAGTAAAGTGAATAACAAGCTCTTGTGATCAATTTAAATCTTATTGAATTTTTGTCATTGTTCTGTGTTTAGGTTTTGCAAGAGAGTATAAGTATACCGGGAACCAGTGTTAATCTGGTATACCACAGCAGTGAGACTCCCGGGTACCGGTCAGTGATCATGATTCAGATGACCACGAAGGACATTCCACTAGCTCTGGCCGTTGTCCACCTCAGGGTGTCGGTAGAAGGAATCCAGTTTGAGAAAACATTTGAGGCGGACTCGGAACTGAAGTACACATATGCGTGGGATAGACGTAATGCCTATAGACAAAAAGTGTATGGAATAGTACCAGTTAGAGGTATTAAACATTATCTTTATTGTAAATGGGGGGAATTCTACTTAACAAATAGCTGACACTGCATTTTCTGTTTAAATGACTGTTTTATAAGTTAAACTAATTGTTTGAATCTCATCATGTCATTGATGTATTTCCTGTTTAAAAGTGCTTTGTAGTTTGTGGGTGACGGAATTCAATTTAATCGGTAGGACTTTAATTGAGTTAATTTCAAATCAGGTAATCTGATGTCATTGTGACTGCTGAGTTGATCTTTCAGGTATTGTGATATCAGACATGTCTGAACTAGTAAAACATTGTCTTCATGAAATAACACTGTTTATTTCTTGTCCTTGTGCAGTTGTAACTTTATAGGCATTATTTTTAGTTTTTTCATAATTCATTGTTTAAATTACTCACAAATAAAATTCGGAAAAAAAATTGAAAAAAAAATAAAATCATATGCCACTTTCACATACACAATTAAATTACATGTATGTACAAGATATAATGGTCTCCCATGATTTATGGTGAATGTTTTTAGGGCATTTATTTTGTAAATGATTATATAAAGTTGTTTATTTATTGCAGTTAACGTCGGGTACCAGTACAGTGGGTGTGGCTATATATTTTGGGAGACGCGAGCTCTACCATGAGCTGGTTTTGACCTGACCTCATCTGAAATTGGACGCTGGAATCTTGATATACATCATACGTACAATTTCCAGGAAGGTAAAGAAATGTTTTTGTAAACAATCACCATTGCGTCTCTGCGGGTAAATGATTAAAATTCAGAGTACAGAGCCAATTCAGATTGTACTTGCATACCGTCTGAAGAGGCTGTGTGCTGTTTGCTGATTAGTATTTAGAATATAGATATTGAAATACCTGAAAATTGAAAGTGGACTGTCCCAATTTCAAAGTTGGGCAAGTTGATTATACAAATTTGGTAGGTTAATGGTGAAGATACTCATTTTAAGTTTAAATGTGTAGTAGTACTTGTTCAAAGGGTTATTATTGATGGACAACTTGATGAATTTCAACAATGTTTTTATAAAGTGTCTTAAGACAAATATTTTCTTTTTTTCTCCAGGTATTCTCCATAAAGGTGATGGTACGAATATATACCTAAAAGAGAAACCTAAAAAGTTAATCAGTATACTTGGTAGCGGACAGCGACGTCGGGCAGATTGTGATGGCTGTAACGGTCCGGCACGTGACAACCGGCTCTTAGCTCCGGTAGCATTGGCCAGCAGTAGAGATGGGAGCTTATATGTGTGGGATTATAATTTTATCCGGAAGTTGTCACCAAGCAGGGAGGAGATAGCCAGCATTTTACAAATCATGTATGGTTAAAATAAAGTTATTACTAAATATAGTTTATCTAGGCTTTTATGACATCATTTAAGTTACGACATCATAATAACATCATTGTTGAACATTATGCCTAGACATTGTCTTATGATTGAAGCCTTAAATGTTTTTACACCTTTAGTGAGAAAATTTTGCTTGATTACCATCATTCAACAGTTTGTTTTGTCGTTTAAGTTGAATTTGTCTCTAAAACTGAATAAGAATGTTTTGAGGCTCCTTTACAATATACAATCACAGAAAACTTCAAAATGTGCATGAATTTAAATTCAAGCTCATTTATCAAATTCTAGCACATCAGTTTTACTGAATGTACACGACTTTAAAATTCAATCATAAAATAAGTATTGTTTTTATCTGTTGTTCCAGGACATACACTTCCCACAAGCCGTATATGACTGTGAGCCCAGTGGACAGTAGACTGTATATCTCTGATTACATGAACAGAAGAATTATCCATGTTAAAACAATGGGACCAGTCCGTGAACTTGAGGATAACTATGAAGTTGTAGCGGGCACTGGTGACGAGTGTACCCCAGGGGAGCGAGATCTGTGTGGGGATGGGAAACAGGCGTTAACTGCGAGATTCTTACACCCTAAAGGTAGGATAGTACTTTTGTAATGCTGAAAATAAATAAAGCCAATTGATTTACAAATGGCTCCAAAGTTATTAAAATTTAAAATCAAATTTTGAATTTTATACAATGTGTGATAACGATTAGTCAGTCATTTTTTCCAAATCGACAAGCTTGTAAATTTATTCATTAAATTTATTGCATAACTTGAAATTTATAACGGAACATTGTAGCAATAAATTATTATGACTGTGTAATTATCTTTATAAACTTTTCTGTAAAACTCCTTCTATAATAGGCAGTTACAACATCTTCTCAGTTGAAAAGCGTTTTTATTTCGTAGTTTGTAGTCAATATTTTATGCTCATAGATTCTGTATTATTTCTGTAAGATTTTCACGTAACACCAAAATTCCTCCATGCTTACTCACCAATCTTGTATGATTTATAAGATTCCTGCAAGTACATTGTTTGAGAGAATGCGGGTGTCACTGGCATACCACGGCTAACAAATTGGTTTTTAAAATGAAAATGTAATAAAAGTAAAACCCGAATCGTGAAAAAGTCATGCATTAAGGATCATGCATGTCATGTATGGAAAGCCTATGACATAAAAAAATCCCCCATGCTTGGAATGTTACGAGTCAAGGGATTTTTTATATCCGTTCTAAATATGATATCATTGTACTAAATTTAATAGTATTGAATACAGTAACAGCGAATACCATTTAATATCAATTTATAATATTTGAGTAATCGCACCACAAATAAAATGTTCCGAGACTTCAAACCTTTACACAATAACGAAGCCTGCAATTTTGTGATTTGAATTGCATATTTATTTTTTTGTCGGAAAACTGTGGCAGAAGTGCAGCATGTTTTGTGTTCGGGAATTTTTTTTACCATGTCATGGAATGAAAACTTCATACTAAAGATGTTAATTAAAAAGGCTTAGAAATATTTGCACGATGATTAATATATTTTCACTTTCACATGGGTCTTCTACTTCCTTTAATGAAATAATTCACAATAATGCCTTTTTTTCACCAGTTTGTTATTGAAATTCATAAATAACTGAATTTTATGAAATTTCAATGTTCCAGGCTCATTTTCAATCATGGTGCTGTGTGAATTTAAACAACATAATTATGGTATTGACATAAACACAACTAAAAACAAACAAAAAACAATTTAAAAAAACTCATGTCTTTCATAATCAAGACTTAATAATTATGTAGATTGCAATAAATTTTCAAAAATTTGTAGCTATATACGGTTATTTCATGGTTGCTATGGAACAATATTTTATTCACGTCATTCAGCTAATTAGCCAATATTAATGAAACCGTGATACCAAAAACTGACATGTTTATTGCATTGTAATTCTGCCTCAGAGTAATAATTTATTACATGCAGTCCGTTCATATATTGATTATGAAGTATTCTTAATACAAAAAAGGGGTAATTTCCTAATAATGTTACATCACTTTATTAAAATAAGCAGGTGATTAAATTGGTATAATAGCTTTAAAATTAACGACTTTTTGACACATTATAACCGATAAGAGTACAGCTGATTCCTGTTTTACAAGATGTGACATTTGTGAGAAATAAATGTCATTCCAGGACAAATTCATCCCAGTAGATAAAAATATAATTAAAGAACAAATGCTATAGCATTTGTAAAAAAAAATATTTAAGAAATTTCATATCATGGGAATAAAACCTGCTTGTTACTCAAAGGGAAATAACTCAACTTTTTTTAAAGAAAAAAATGGAAACCATACAAAACAAGTAGTAAAAGGGAGAGCACTGAAAAATATTTACATTTGAAACAGAAAAGAATAAAATGAAAATGAATTTTTTGCCCAACTTTCAGCAGAATATTATTTTTAGGAATATAATGTTTATTTCAGGCATTGCTATAAATAAAGATGGCGTCATTTACGTGGCTGATGGAGCAAATATACGCAAGATTGACACCAACAAGATAATCTCTACAGTGATTGGCTCACAGGATCAACCGAAGGCGTGGAAACCAATGTCATGTGATGAGAGTATGCCAGCTGATCAGGTTTATAAAAAGTTTTTTTTGTATAAAATAATTCTTTAAAAAATTTGTCATAAAATTTTAGTAGTAGGTTTAAAGAAACACATATACATTAAATAAAAAAAGAAGAATTTGATAGTAAGTACTAGTAATAAATGCCTTAATTAAACAAAATACGATAATATGTGTACAGTTACATAGGTAAAAAAATCAATGTTTCAATAAATTTTTGGGAAGGGGAAAAATATTCATGGAGAGTAGAAACTTGCACAAATTATTATTTTCATAATTCAATTCCAATTTATTTGTTGAAGTTTTTTAGATTATTATGGATGTATTGAAAACCACAAAAACTGTAGGTTTTATGCACCATAAGTGAATTGTAAAAACTTAATATTCTAAATGTTTTATGTTGTACATTTCAGGTGAGGTTAAACTGGCCTACAGCATTGGCTATTGACCCTCTGGATGACACGCTGCATATACTGGATGACAACATTGTACTGAAGTTAACCAAAGATAACAGGGTAGTCACCGTTGCCGGGCGACCAATAACGTGTCCCCAGAAAGATGTCAATTTCTTACCGATAGGTGTTCTAACTGATGATGAGCAGGCGTCCAGTATTGCTGACCATGTGAAACTTGTCCAGCCAGAAAGTTTGTCGTTCGGGCCTAATGGAGATTTATACATTCTCGAGAGTGATACGCATCATATTAACCGAGTACGAGTGGTGACTACAGATGGCCGAATTCATCATTTTGCCGGTACAAAATCTAAATGTGATTGTCAGCAGAGTAATTGCAGATGTTACGATCCTACTGAAAATTCGGCTGCCCAGGCTTTATTTGAAGAACTGACGGCAATTACGGTGACCCCAGATGGCATCGTGCATTTTGCCGACTCCGGTAACCTGAGAGTATTTTCGGTAATCTCTGAACTCCCGACCCTAAATTGGCTTGGTCAGTATGAAGTGGTTTCAACAGAAACTAAAGAACTGTATATATTTAATCGTTATGGCCAACAAATTCACACTGTCAATTTGATGACTGATCAATACATGTACAATTTTACTTACAATATCAACTCATTCTACGGAAGACTGGTTGCTGTAACTGATAATGCTGGAAAGAATGTACAGATTGAACGAGACTATGACAGACAGGCGAAGGAAATCATTTCACCAACTGGCGAGAAAAGTCGTCTGCAGACGGACAACATGCAGCGTCTCCAGAAGTTCCTATCACCTGATAACACCAGCTTTACGTTCACATACGACCCAACATCGGGGCTGCTACAGAGTAAAAAGTTGTCAGATGGCAAAATCTACATGTACACCTATGACGAAATGGGCCGTCTGCTGAGTGCCATCCAGCCAACAGGGGAGATTACCCACCTACACACTGACGTGAATGCAACAGGTTCTATTGTGCACGTGACTACAGATAACAGTAACACAGTTGCTATGGCAACCTATGGCAGTGTACAGTCAGCTCTGCATGGCAAGTCTCGCTAGATTACACTCTCACCTTTCAACTACTGAGGTCAAGGTTACTTTACAAAAGTTAAAATAATCATAAGATTTTGCAATCACTATAAAAGCTATAATAAAAAAAAGGTCATTTTGATACTAGAGAAGTACAAATTTAACAAAAATTGCCCAGATTTTTTTGTTTGGTACCTTGAAATTTGACCCAAATCTGTGTCTACAGTATTAAATTTAGATTTTCTTTTTTCTGAGAAAAATAAGGGAAGTAGATTTTTTTTTCGACATGATTTTTATGGATATTGTTGAAAAGAAAAATTCAGAAATTTGACTTCATATGACCTTCACCTTGACCTTGGTAAGTTGTTCACTGATCCTGGTTCTCTCTGTTTACACTTGCATATCATTATAAAATGGTAAACCAATCATAAACAAGTTTTACTTATGCATAGATTTAAAGTCTGGGTTTTATAATATGGTAAACAAGTCAGTTTTACATACGCATAAATTTTGAAACAGGGCTTAACGGAAAAATTCATACTAATATTAATTCTTGGTAAGGATGATAGAAATGATCTTGTGACGTAGATATGTACAAATCCATAAAAGATATGAAGCTAATGCTGTATGGAATGGATGCGGAATGTAATATATAGTATGTACATGTACTAATCACGATATATATTGTACAAGCAAGTTTTGCATGTCTAAAATGCTGTGTAAGTCTGTGGACATTCCATCAGGTATGATCTTTTAAAATCCATTACCCCCGTCTCCTTTTTTCCTTGAATTATTTTTTCTCGGAAATTTTTATGCTTTAAATTCAAAGTAAAATAAACACTTATTTGATTTGATTCTAATGGTAATATCTTGGACATTGCATGAAAGTATTAAAATGAGGTTGCTTTTAAAAATGGCATTTTTTTCGTGCAAAAAATAAAAATTGGTAAAAACAGGTTTTAGAAATGGTGGAAACTACATAAAAGATGTTTTATACCGTTTAGGCTTGTAAAAGATAATAAAGGTAATTCCATCTTATGTGGGTGAAGTCTTAAGTTAGGTTATTTCATCTTCCATTCATATTATTCACATAACTCCGCCCTTCCTCTTTTCAGGCAGTAGTTTACCCACAATGCCTAGCTTCATAAAGTATACACTCCACAGGCATAGAAATGTTCTGCTTTCGTACATATATGTATATATACCAGTAGATTTTGTGTGTTTAGCTAGTAGATATGCATACAATTTACTTCATCTATAAATAATTTATTCTTGAACTATTATGCTTTGTCTATATGTATCAAAAATGATAATTAGTGTAATGATAAAAAAACTCCCAATAATTGCCAGACCATCATATATGGTGGACGAATTTCAATTCCAGACTGATAACTTTTCTGCGAATAGCTTATCTTCTGTTTTTTCTTGATATGTATGTATTAAACAAATCAAAGAAGAGTAAAAAAAAAATTTAGATAATAATTTATAAGCTGTCCAATAACATTCAAATATCAATATCCATTCAACAACAAATTTTCAGTTCAGTTAAACTTTTAAGGTTTGCATAACTAAGTATAGGGCATATTTTTTTCTAGTTATTTTGCAAAAGTCTACATCCAGCACATCAGCACATTTCACATAACTAAAATGCTCATTATAGTCTGATTCAGAATATTAACAGATAACGGGGACTTTTTGAAAATTAAAGTAAAATTGGCATTGAGCTTTGAATAGTCGAGAGATTTATGTGATACCATTTAATTTTAAGGGCAGTTATTGACTACATTCAATTTTTTCATTATTATTTATTTATCATTTTATTGTTCGTTTTGTTTTTATTGCAAGAAGCTTTTTATTTGGACAATCATATCTTAACGCCAATATTGGGCTTGCCAATACCAATATTTGGCTTGCCAATTAATATATATTTGTGAGCAAATTTAGATATGTTGCATAGTGCATTTTTCAAAATATTTTAAAGATTCAAATTTTAATTTTTCATTTACAATTGCTTTTATTTTGTTTTGTTTATTACCATTTTCTTCTTTTAATTGCCATTTCTTCTCATTATTGCTTTTTTTTCTCAGTTTATTGCCATTTCTTTTTATTTATTGCGATTTTCTCTTTTGTTTATTGCCATTTTTAGCTCGACTTTTCTATGAAAAGGGGAGCTATCCTACTCGCCCCGGCGTCGGCGTCGGCGTCGGCGTTAGCGTCGGCGTCGGCGTTGGCGTCACACCTTGGTTAAGTTTTTCGTACCACCCCACTTTATTTCAGAAGTATTACAAGTATGGCTTTGAAACTTACCATACTTGTTCACCATGATAACCTCCATCTACAGACAAGAGTACATAACTCTGTCAAGGTTTTTGACAGAATTATGGCCCTTTTTTGACTTAGAAAGTGTATTGAGCTTGGTTAAGTTTTTTGTACCACCTCACTTTATTTCAAAACCATTGGAGGTATTGCTTTGAAACTGACCATACTTGTTTACCATCACGACCTTCATCAACAGACAAGAGGACATAACTCTGTCAAGGTTTTTGACAGAATTATGCCCCTTTTTGACTTAGAAAATACATTGAATATGGGTAAAATCCACTTATTGCCTTAACCCTTTGAGATATTGCTTTGAAACTTTTAATGCTATTTCACATCATTACCCCCATCTGTATGCAAGAGAAGGTAACTCTGTCAAGGATTTGTTTTAAAAATTAAGGCCTTTTATCGACTTAGAATCTTGGTTAAGTTTTTAGTACCAGTCCACTTTTTGACTGAACTTTTTGAGATATTAATTTGAAAGTTGGAAATACTTGTTTACCATCATGGTCCCAAAAACATGGGCAGGAGAAGGTAATTCTGTTAAGGATTTTATTTGAATTATGGCCCTTTTTGACTTAGAAACTCAGTTAAGATTTTCATTCTTGTCCACTTGTTGACTTAACCATTTGAGATATTACTTTGGAAGTTGGAGTTCTTATGTGCCATCATGAGACCTATCTGTAAGCAAGAGAAGATAACTCTGTGAAAATGTTTCTTGATTTGTACTTAGAAATTCCTAGTTAAAGTCTTGTGTGCCCTTAACTGTCAAAGTTTTGTTTTATAGGCAAGCACTAAAAAAGTCGAGCGCGCTGTCCTTCTGACAGCTCTTGTTCTCAGTATATTGCCTTTTTCTCAGTATATTGCCATTTTTTTGTTTGTATATAAATTGCTTTATTTGCTACAAGATATATATTCCAATGATTATACTCAGCACTATTTTTTTTTTCTCAATTTTATTTTAGCTGCTTAAAATATATACAGTATAAACAATGTATCCTGCGCAGAAATGCTCTGTTGATTCTGTAGGCCAAAAGACTGACTCAAACTGCCATATCTCCATAAATAAAATACTTCCTTAATATCACCCCAACTATTGTTTGATATGATTTTTTATGTAATTTGAAGGCATATATTTTGGCATATATTTCGGCATATATTCTGATATCTCCCCTATATTTTTAGAATAGACCACTTCCTAGATATAAATGGTCTTTTCTAAAGTGACAAATAGGGATGTATATGTATAATTCCATGTAAAAGAAGATTTATTTTCGAGCTTATAATAACCATAATGCCAACATCGCATGAAGCAAATTTGTTTCCTACTCGATGTAAAAGCTGTGATATGAATTTTGCTTTTAGTAATGCGAAAAAAAGCATCATACAAAATTTTGTTCTGCTATTTTAAGCTAAATCTAATCCTAGCATTCTTATACCTTTACTTTAAAATTTCTTGTTGGGATGTTTTAAAGTGAAGGGTTGTAAATTTGAATGATTTCAATGAAATTGAGGATGGTATCGTTGAAGTTAACCATCAAATTTTTGTTTTTGTTTTCAGGAGCCTCCGAGACTAAAGTTACGTATCTTCCAGATGGAGCTGTGGTAGTTGTGTTTCCAAGCAACCTTACCATTGCTCTTGAATCTGGTGGAAATCCGGTTCTAGAGAATCAGCACCGGATGCATTTCAAGCGGAAGCTCATTGCACCCAACAAGCTTGTGCACCGACTTGAATGGAGATTCTTCCTGCGTCGTAAAGGTCGCCCGAAGGAGAACGTTCAGAAACTGGGTCGTCGTATGAGGGTAGGGGAGGTGTTTACGAGGCATGATAGCATGCTTGACTCGCATGAAGAGGGTGGCTACAAGGAGAAAGCCCTGTTGGTATGTGAACTTTCCTTCGCTTGTAATCATGTACACCTAATACTGCTTCAGTCTCCAACTTAACAACATATTGAATGTGAAAATTTAAATCTTTCTTTGTCTTAATGTTCAATTCATGGTTCAATTATTGTCTCCCTTTAAATAACATAAAGGATGATAACTGTTTTGCCGACATTTTAATGCTGCCTTTAAAGTTTATAAAAAAACAATAACATCATTTTCTTAGGAAAATCATATACCATATCAATTGACTTTGCTTAAAACAATTACGAATGTAAAAAAGAAGCTTTAGGTGTACATGGTCACTTCTACTATTTAATGCTTTGCCCTCCTTCATTTAAATATTTTTCTTCTATAAAATCGCTGTTTTCTTGAGAATAATATATTTCCGATTATTTCCTATATTATAAACTTTGAAAATTGCATGTAATAATATTAAAAACATAAAACATCTCTTTAGAAAGTGGCTTTCATGTGTATAAAGAATGGCTCTCTTTTAAAAAAAACTATGCCTGTTCCGTGTTTAGAAACGCATGCTTTTTTTCATTATCTGTTATAAATCAACCCTTCTTCCTTCATTTTACGGGTGCATTATTTCTAAAACAATGCTTTGATTATTTATAATTCCGTTCTTTGCTGAACATGACTCAAATATCCGATATTAAAACTTAACTATTTTTCGAGTGCATTGTTTATTGACTTCAGTAATATAACTGAAAAACAACAATAAATGCATGCCTGCATTTTAGCTTACAAGTATTTGTATATATATTATACATTCCGCTGGAATATTAACGTAATTTGCAGTTTTGCAGTTCGAATGAAATATTATACACAAGTCTATTTATAGTTCTGCATAAAAATGAATTATTTATAGTTTCTGCATAATGAGTTATATTGAAAGCTTGGCTAGTAGATCTTATAGGCAGTTTATATTAAATCAGAGAGTTCAACAAGTCACTGTTGTAACTTGATGGATATAAAAAGAGTAAAGTTATGACAGGGAGGTGATGAACCCTCTTCATGCCTGTTTAAATAAAATTATTATCTTGTTTTTGATTGAGAGCATTTGGTAACTTGTTTTCATAACTTTGGGTTCAAGGCTATTAAGTAATTTTGGTGTAGAGGCTAGTCAGAGTTCTATTTTTAGTACAGACTTGTTTCTTTTACAAAGGTATTGCTAAAATTTTCAAGATATGCAACACTTCTTTCTAGAGGGGTTGATTTATTGCAGAGGATAAAAAAAAGTGTGTGATTTTTCCTCTTTTTTTGAACAGGTTTTATAGGTTCTTTTACATGTTTTTTCTTTTTCTTACATTAAAATATACAGTATTTATTCAGCTATGAATAGACAGACCAGTTATAAGACAGTCTAAAAGTAGCATTACACATTGTTTTAATTCATACAAGACTGGTAAAATACTTATTTATAGATACATTTCAGAAAAGGTATTTTTACTTTAATATCTTTTTCTGAAGAAATATTACTTTACATTCAAACAAATCTTTTAAATATTCACTTCCATCAATAGGACAGTGGTGTGCAATATATAAATTATATGATTGATAGAGCACTTGGAAATTTATTTAAAATAATTATTTTACAAATTTATATAAAGTTTAATAAGGGAACAAAAGAAGATGTAATATTTCATTGTTAAAAAGATGAATTAATCTAGAAGTAAAACAAAATTCATTCTTAGCAAAGAAGCCTTCTTTAACAAAACATTGGAATGCCTATCTTAATTCTTGTATTTATATTTTACATAAGTTTATGATACCATACATTTATTTAACAATTTATGATGCAAAGTATGTCAAAAATTAGCATGAACTTAGAGCTTTTAGATTCTTTCTGCTTGTCTAGGTAAATGGCGAGAACTTACTAACTATAGAATATGATCGTGATACGCACACGGAGACCATCTTGGATAAAGATCTTCACGAGATTATCACGACAGCATTCGACAATTCTGGTCTCCCCACCCACTTCCTGCCAGCCAAGAATCATCATTCTCTGAATGTGACGTATAATGCAGGAGGGGAGATAATTCACTGGAAGTATGGCGATTTAGAGGAGAGGCGGATATTTGAGAGCGGTGTGTTGAAAGAAAGAACTGGAAATAATGGGGCCCAGTATAGGTACAACTACAGATATGGCAAAAAGGTGAGGAAAATATGAACATTAATTTTACTTACATAATATATATACACATATATTTACACTGACATAATTTTTGTTTTGTGAATGCTTATAGCAATATTTGTTAGCAACAATTCAACATAACAGGTTTTGCAGATGACTCAGGGCCAGCGTTAAAGAATTAGTCTGAATTTTGAACCAAGACATAGAGAGGAGTTGAGACATTTTGCTAGTTTGCTTAGGCTATACATATAATTAGGTGGAATTTAACTGTTATTAGTTGAAGGCCCTTTAGCAAAATTAAGTTAAGATCAGCTCCACACTGACACAAAATAAGATTTTATGACTATGTGTTACCTACTTGGTTGTATTCTTTTTATACAAGGGAGAACACTTCTACCAAACTACTCATTAAATGCTACATTTAGTTATCTCTCTTACAATCCCGATATCTTTTCTATCATTGTTATATTCTGTAAATTTCAGCCAACTGATATTCACCTACCAAGTGGCCTTCAGTATTATCTCCAGTATGACGAGGAAGGTAATTTAATGATGGTTCGAACCCCTGGCCTCGGAAAACATTACTTCTACAGAATTATGATGACAGGCTCACAGAGATACTTTTACGAAGTCCCAATGCTAGAGCTTCCTTATATTGAAGACTATAACGGAATCGGCAAACTTCAGCAAATAATATTTCCAAGCGAGTACAGAAAAATTGTTTATCGGTACAACCATTTTTCACAGCCGACACTTGTTATTTATGGCGATACAGAAATAAACTTTGAGTATGACGCAAATATTTCAATGATGTCATCTGCCGAGACAAAGGGTAGAGGATATAGGTTATTGGAAACTTTCAGATACGATTCTTCCCTTATCAGTTCCTCGGACATAAACTTCCCAGATGATGTCCTTCTGCTTAATGCCAAATTTGACTATATTTATGACAAAAACTTCAGGCTAGTTGCTGTAAGTGGGCTCTTTGGAAAGAACATTACTACATCAAGTACTTTTACTTTTGACGATACAAACGGTTTTCTGAAAAAAGTTAAAAATATGAATATTCAATGGCCGTTGGTTGATCGGGAGAAGATCTATGATGAACATGTTGTGATGAGCCGAGAACTTGACATGTATGGCCGTTTGCAAAATATTCAATATGTCTTCCGTGACAATATCCGGTTTAAACTTGGTATTGTTTATGACGAAATGAATAGGATAAGCAGTTGGAATAGATTGATCGGACAGACGGATGCATGTCAGTTTGGTTACACATATGACATAGACGGAAATTTGATTGAAGTGAGTCAGGACGGAGAAACAAAATGGCAGTATGGCTATGACAATAATGGCAATATAAACAGAATTGAAGAAGATGGGTTGAACTTGGAAATGTCATTCGATGCAGGGGACAAGATTAAAACCTTTGATAAAATGAGATACAAGTTTGATTTAGATGGTTTTATGTTACAAAGACATGATGAAGATTTGTTGTTTAATTCTCTAGGTCAGATGGTATCAATTACGAACTCTGGATTGTTTAAATTTTCCTTCCATTATGACCATCTGAGTAGAATCGTGTCACAGGGCGATCGTCTAGGAAACATCATGCAGTATTTCTATGCCGATGTCTCCAGGAAACATTTAGTGACTCACTCTTATAATCACAGCAACCTTGAAATGACGCAGTACTTTTACGACTCAAAAGGAAAATTGATTGCATTCGAACGTCAGAACAAGCTGAACTACATAGCCACCGATCCGATGGGAAGTCCGATCGTCATTTTCGATGAAAACGGTCTTATTATAAAACAAATTGTTTATGATCCACTGGGTAAGATTGTGTCCGATTCAAATCCTAATTATGAATTCAGTTTTGGTTTCCAAGGTGGAATATTTAATCCAACGACAAAACTGGTGCATTATGGGAAGAGAGTGTATGATACTATGATTGGACGTTATGTAAATCCGGATTATAATGCAATGTTAAGGAATCTACAGTTTCTGATGGAAGACCCGTTAATGATGAACAATTATCATCATAGGTTCCTGGTTAACACACATCTCCAAGATAGAAAGTTCCCTACATTGGGTAAGAACATAAATAAATTTTTATAAAAGTGAAAGTCATAAATAATTTCTTACACTAGTTGAATATTAACCAAAGATGAAATTTATTTTATTTTAAATCATTTTTCCCGCCATTTTTTACGCTGGGAGAGCTTTTGGAAATTTATTGGTTAGGTGCTTTAAATTATTTTAAGTGATGTAAGGTTGTTTCCTTGTATAGGAAATACTTTTGTCAGTTTCAAATGGAAGAAGTCTTACATGTATTTCAATTTGTGTTTAGTTTAGAATTTCATTGTGATGCCACTTATATGATATTTCTTATTTCAACAGATACAGCAAAATGGTTGACCTTGCTAGGATTTGACCTTGACAGTATGGCACCAAATGTTGGATATGATGGCACCGTACGACCACAACCAGATATGTTCAATTTCAATCTTCTACCAACATCGTCAGCTTTTGAATGCACGTTCCATCGAGATATGCAGAATATGCTGTCTATTTCAACTGTACCGCAGTCGAGAGTTTCACCTATTCAAAAATTTGTAACAATATCACCGGCCCCTAAACAGGTGTTGTACAGTGAATTACTTTTGACGTCTATTAATAGCGAAGTAATGACAGCTTATTTGGACAGTTCACCAGCATGGGCCAAGAAATTTAGTGCATTTCTGAACGAATCTGAAATTCTTGATCTGAAATATACAATTCATGGTCGGGAAGTGCTTTATTTTGTTAAACCGGATGCCTCAACAGTGACTGACGAGTTGAAGGCCCTTGGTATCCATGGAAATGCTGTTACTTATGAAAATAATATAAACGTGACTGTGAACAGACACTCACATCAAAATGGGTTCCGCACCCATTCGTACACCGAGACTGATGTACGTTTCCACGGGAACCATTCTGTGATTAATATTCGTTTCGGAAGTCACTTAGACCATGAGAGACAGAGGGTGATTCAGCACGCGAAGGAACGTGCAATTCACCATGCTTGGGCACGTGAAAAGTGGTTAATACAAAATAGTTTACCGACTTACCACAGTTGGACAGAACGTGAGAAAAATGATATAGTGACTGCAGGTTATGCTGATGGGTTCGATATTCAATATGAACGTAATCCAGATGAATTTCCATATATAGCAGATGACTGTAACAATGTAAAATTTGTTAAAGTGAAAAGATAGGGAATAGAAAGTTTAAAAAAAAACTTCATGTAAACATAACCAAAAGCACAAATTGTGATATATATTAACCGTAAGGGACATGTATGCCTGCCTATATATATATTGGTAGGCAATAGTTTACAAAGAATTCCATGACTGTGTTTTGTTTATTGGTTCCCAGCTGCAAATTTATGATTAAGTGTGTCAGTATTGCTGCAGTAACAAGGTAACCATTGGTTCCCAATCATAACTATCATAAGTATGAACTAGTGCCCAGATTTTTGTGGAAAAGGTCTGAACGTTAAAACACTGATCCCCGGCCTATACTCTTAATAAGCTGTTCCCTGTGTTCCTAAGAGGAACTGCAATAGGTACTCAAAACATTTGTTAACACTGCAGGTACCAGGCCACAAAAAGCCAGTATTAAAATATGCTAAGGAAATCACTGTGATTTGAAATATAGCACATTGGCTACAGCATAAAAAATGAGAAATACATTAATTAGATATACATGGTGATAAAAAGAGTGATATTATACTAAAAGAGGGGTGTTCAAAAACAATCTTTATTAACTGGAAACCTGCTGCTGATGTCTTGAGATAGTGACTCTTGTTAGTTACCCTGTAAACAGGGGTATACATTCATGAAAAAAATCAAAATGTATGTGCCAGGGAGAAACTGAGATACCATGAATGATGGATGCTGTTGTTTTTTTTTTCATAGATGAGAAGAAAGAAAAAACAGTTACAAAGTGTTGCTATGTATAGTTTATGTAAACTAGATCTATGTACATGTACAAATGTCTGAAACTATTCAAAAAATGTTATTTCATCGTATTTTTAGTAAGAAAATGTTAAGTATTTGTAAAAATGTTACACAGGCCGAATTTATTTACTTACCTTAATAATCAAATGTTTGAAATATTTTATTAAGGCACAGACCAGGGCCTTTAAGATTTAAATTAGATATTTGGAACCAGTCTATTGCTCTCCTTGTTTTTGATTGGTTGATTTTACTAACTGACATTAAACTTGTTTCCAGTTTTGAATTTTGGCTTAACAGAAATATGCATTTACAATTAAGAAAACCTTTTTTTAATAACAATTCTATTTTAAATGGGCTAAATGCTTTATGAGGTATACAACTTTTAGATATCTGGAAAAAGCACTATTGACAAATATGAAAATTTGCAAAGTAATGTACATGTATTGCTGTGTGTACATAATTGGTTGGCGTCAAATATAAATATGTATAAAAGTTAGTGCTACACAAATCTTTTGTTTTTGTTCTAGTCATAAAAAGGATTATCATTTGCCATGTATATGTTGTGTACTGTGTACATATATGCTCTGTACATGGACATACCATGCGCATATATATATGCTGTGTACATTGATGTTATGTGTAAATACTGTATGTATATATTGAGCTATATAAATATAACATGACTGTGATTTTCAGTTTCGTTCCAAAGTAAATGACCTAACAAAGCGAGAAAAATCCCGCTCTTGTGAGCGGAACTATTTTAATTTATATCTTGCAATACAAGGGGATCGGCATGTAACTAGTCTATATGCCGTATTTACTAATATGCACATACAGACTTATGCCAAATCGACCCCTTCATTTTCTAGGATAATGGCATAGTTTTAATAATACAAAATGTATACAATTCTAGGGTTGACCCCAAAACTGCAGTTACTTGTATGAAATAAAGAAGGACTTACAACAGTTTTGCGGTGAACCCACAAATTGGTGACTTAATTACAACTTAAACGTTGCATTATTTGAAATTTTCCCTCTTTCAAAAGGGGATTCTTTGTAAAAATTCAGAATCATATTTCAATTTTTATGACTTACTGAAAAAAAAAACCACGCTAGTTTTGAAGCAGTTAACTTTAATGAATCAGTATTGTGTTTTGAATGACTTTATTCTCTACTTAAATATTGAAGAAAAGAAAAGTTATTGATATATATGACAAACAAATTATCATAAGTTTCTATGTAAAGTGTCACAAGAAAAAGTTACTAAATTTGTAACATGTAACAGTAATAGCTACTTCATGTAACGACAGTTTGGCATCACTTTGAAAACACTGGTAGTATGGGGGATAGGTGTTATCACTTTTAAATAGCATAAGATTATTTTATTTGTCTGTATGCAAATTATAAATAAGTTATACTGTGGCATGTTTCAATTTTAGTGACCAGTCAGTTACTATTTAATGTTATTTATAACTGTTAAAAATCAAGTGTGCCATTTTACATGTTGAGTGTCCAAAATTTTGACGTTCTGTTGGAATTTGTATTTGTAAATTAAATGTTAAATATTTCTGAACCAAATTCTTAATTTGTATTTGCACAATCACAAAAATTCAAGTCATGTAATTTCATTGAAGTTCATTCAATATTCTAAAAGAAATGTGTGTATTCTTTTTCCCATTCATTAATATTATGTCATTAACTCATTGGTCATTTAAATATTTGAAATCGTTTTGTGTTCAATTAATATTTTTCAAATTTTTGAAAGTTCTGTGAAAATAGTTTTTCATTTAAACCATAGAATTCATTATTAACAAAACAATTAAAATATGACTAAATAAAATTATCTGAAGGCGCAATAATCAGATTTGTCATGTACATTCATTTTATAAAACTGTTTATTTCATTTTATTCATATTATGATATTTATGGTTGTGTTTGAAATGGTGGGGGGGGGGGGGGGGGGAATCAAAACCAAAAAAAAAAATTTAACCACTTTTTCCAACTTGGCTGTGCCAAAGAATTACAATTTTTTTTTTAATTTTTCGAAACACTTTCAAATATATTTGTAATATTTTGTATATGTACTGACTTAAGTTTTTATTCTAAATTTATTGAGAATGGTTTACAATACAATGGTGTTATCAATTGTCTACTGTATTTATGTGTTAAAGTTTCATTTTTTTACTGTTGGCCTATCTTTGTGAATCTTATTATTGATCTCTTTTGTTTTTTTGAAATCCTTTTAATATATGCAGTATTAGAATTGAATGTATACATAAAAATAACTTCTACAAAACTTTGAACTTTGACTTTAAATTCATTTCCTTTAATAGTGTGAAGGTCAAAGATTTTATCATTTCTACAAAAAAATAACATTGACCTTGTAATAATGACCTTTTACATTATGTCAAGGTCAGGAGAAAGGCTCTAACAGTAAAGAATTTGACCTCATTTCATAAGCAAAGGTCAAGTATTTGGTATTTGAGAAGAACATTGACCCCGTTTTTCCAAATTAGATCAAACATGGTAAATTTCATGAAATCTTTGACCTAATTTCTCATGTCAAGGTCATGAACGCTTTCTATAAATAACCTTGAGTCTTTTGTTTGTATTTCAAGGTTATAAGTCATTTTATTCATTCAAGAATATTTCTTTTTTTGAAAGATTTGAGTTGTTATGTCTGATAGGGCTTGTTTTTATGTAAGGAATTTTAAAATGTATGTCTGCATTTTCGCAATTATATGCAGGTGTAAATGTTAAATGATGCTAATAGTTATAACTATGGAAGAATAGATGTTGTTTTTATGGTTGGGTAAATTTTAAGTTGTTGCAGTTGTTCTGTTCTTGATACTTTTAGTCTGTTTTAACGAGTCATTTTATATTTTGTCCATATACATTTTGTATTTTAAATGAAACTAATAAATCTGAATATATTACAACCATGGTTATTGTATTTTTTGTGTCTCGTGCTACACAGTAGATGAAACATGCAATTGGCCATCATGAGGCGACATGATCACTGACCAAATGTTCAATGTCATAGTTCTTTTAGATTAAATATAACAAGACCTGTCTGCGGTGTTCTCAGTGCTGGATAGTTAAATAAGAGCAAGGTAGAAAAAGGGAAATGACTTTGAAAAAAAAAAAAATCAAGGATACTTTACCCATTGAAATGGCGTCCATTAATGACAATAAACATGTAAACCAAGTTTGAAGTAAATAGCTTAAAATCTTTGATTTTGAGAAAATGGACCTAAACAATGGTTTTTGCCAATTCAGACTGGAGGACCATAGTCAATCAAATACAACCAAAGTTTAGAGGACAACACTGCAGGATAACACTGCTGTGCAAGTCAACCTCGTGATTGGGTGTCGGCTTTGGAGGCAGGTCTCCTGTATGTCTGTTCCAGTCATATTGAATAAGATCAAATGAGTATGTTAACGTTTTGTTTGACAGTGGAGATGCTAGTGAGAGCAGTAAAGCTTGTTGCGACATGCTACCCTAGGGTGATTGGTCTAGGTTAAAGCATATTGTTTAGCAACTTATTCTTCAAGCAAATGACATAGCACAAATAATTGTTTGGACTAGAAAATATCTAGTTAAATATAATATTAAAATATATTAGAATTAAAAAAAAAAAAAAAAAAAAAAAAAAAAAAAAAAAAAAAAAAAAAAAAAAAAAAAAAAAAAAAAAAAAAAAAAAAAAAAAAAAAAAAAAAAAAAAAAAAAAAAAAAAAAAAAAAAAAAAAAAAAAAAAAAAAAAGGTTATACCAAAAAAAATTTAAAGGGAATTATTAAATTTAAAAAATTAGGTATTGATCAGAAAATGCAAGGAACTTGCTGTCTTCGGATTGAATATCTGGACAGACTTATTTTATTTGATATTCAAGTTTTTAATCTTATTTCGACAAATAATTGTGATTACTAAAATACTATATGTCAGATGTCCTAGTGTTTGTGTGTCTACACCAAAGTTTAAATAACAGGCCATGTTCAGAAAAACTCAAATCCTTGTTTTATAAGTTTATTTTACTTCAACAAAATATTGATAAACAAAGTCAACATAAAATGTATATTATATCATTATAATGCATCAAAGCATCTCCAAAACCAGAATTCCACCACAAAATTTGCATAATTTTCATTCAAGTTAAGTATATTTCCTTTCACTGTATCCCTGTCACATAAATTGTATTTAACTTTAATTCCTGTACACTGTGTTGATTCTATTTCTATACTTTAGACTGCTTCTCAGATTTTCTCTTCTCCAACAGGTTCTTCAAGAAAAACTCCCCTAAGATAAAAACAAAAGATTTACTTAGTCAAGGTGACTTCTAAAACAAGAAATAATATTTATAATTCAACAGAGCAATTTTCAATTGACATAAAAGATCTTGTTCCATCAAATACTTATAAATAAACATTTTGCGAGTTTGTGAAAATTAAAGCAGTAAGCAAATGAAAAAGGGAAATTCAATAATTAGATAAAGAAAGTTTAATAATCATTCATTGGCTGTACTACAAGTGTAATCTATATGCCAACATTGCATAAAGGGATAGCTTATTTGAAGAAATACAAAAACAATAAAAATGCTTTAGGTTATGATAATTTTTGGCAGGTTATATGGCCGAGAAAAAATAGGTTGTAAACTTATATAACAAAAAGCACTATGAGAGAGTTCATTGACAAATACATACCAGCTTTGTATGAAGATCTAACAAGAGGTCCACTAGCTGTGTAAGCAAAGCCTAACTTATTACCAACATCTTCCCAAAACTTAAACTTGTCTGGATGTACATATTCCTTAACCTTGAAAAGAATATAGTACATGACTGTTTATTCAGTAAGTTGCCAGGAATCAGAAATAAATACCGAGACCTGGTGTGCTAAGGTCAATGAATTATCAAACAAATAATGAAATTTGTATGTGTTGAATTTATCAAACATGTCAAGTTCAGTTTGGTTCTATTTCAATATGGTCCTAATTCAATAGTTTGTAATATTAATAGTGTAAATGCACTTTGGCTAGCAAGTTTCTACAAAATGTACAATTTCTTACATATGCAACTAAAACTAAATCTAGTTTTTTTAACTGATTTTAAAGCACATTATCTGAGCTAAATTTGATGATTTATTGACAATGTATTTTTTATTCCAATTCCATATTTAGTTGGCTTTTTAGTCTTTAGTTTAAATAGAGACTATCTACCTTTATATGTCTTTTTGTAGGCTGCATATACTGTCCTAGAGTCACACAGTCAACATCTATCTTTCTCAAGTCTATAAGACAATTAAAAATAATGAAATAAAAGTGTAAATGTTATTTAATGCAATGAAGAAAATTCTTAGTTAGCTCCTTTTCTCTTAAATGACAAGGTTTTAAATTACAAAATCCCTTTAAAGGTCATATGATAACCTCCCTAATTCACAGCTAGAAGAAAACCTTAGATACTACTCTTAGCATTATTTCAGGCACTTGTGAGCATCTAAGTAGAATGAACAACCTTCAGTAAGAAGGCTGGATGTTTTTAAAGTCATTTGCCAATATTTTCTGTACATGCTTTTAGTCACAGACAATACCTGCCTTTAATCAACAAACTGCAACAGCAACCAAACTAAATAGCCTCATTCAGGCATTTCAAACAATTAAGGTGACAGTCCCGTTATATTATGCTACTATGCAAAGATGGCCACCTTGAAATGTTCGGGATATATGATGATGAAATGAAATCTTTCTTACCTTCTAATACCCGTAGTATCTGAGAATCACTTTCACCAAGACCTAGCATCAGTGATGTCTTTGTAACCATGTCTGGATTTAGTTCTTTAACATGTTCTAATACTTTTAGAGATTGCTTATAGTTGGCCCGTGGATCTCGTACTAACCTAGAAATAACAAATGTACAATTTAAGTCTTTATTTTGTAGGGAAAGTTTTTCTATCTATGGATGTCAGATTTATAACTTTTGTGTCCTTAGTGTATCAAATGTTTGTCTGCAGTTTATAACAACAAGTCACAATTTTTGTAAAGATGATGTATCTTAGGCAACTTCTCAATTATTAATCAAGTGACCGTGGAGATGACATTATTCAGGTAGCAAATTTAATAACTTAGCGCTTATAATAAATCCTTCAAAACTAGTATAAAATTTGCCATATTTTGTGTTTATGTGTGGTTGGGAGGCAGTTTAAGTCACAACAACACTATAATGGTCATATCGTGCATTTTAAGCTTTACTTGTACAGGAAGACATTTGGTCCCCTCCCCATCTATATTATTTCATGCACAAGCCGGAATCCAAGTAGACCAAAAACCAACATATAGTAAGCTAGATAGATAGCAGGATTCAAGTCAAAGATAAGATAAACCTAGTTTTCTTATAATTTACAGTAAACTGGCAGTTCTTTCCCTTTAAAGTTGTGTTCAACACCAGATATGATTTGTGTTGGTACAATCAGATATGATTGCGTGTATAAATTCACTCCAATGACATAAAGGGAAGCCATTTGCAAGTGTTATTATGATAACTTAATGATGGCCAAACAAATCTTTACCGATCAAATGCAAAGTATTCTCATAGTCATTACTTTGCCAAAATATTTCTTTATCATTGATTTTCAATATCATACTGTATAAGATAGATTTGAAGGCGTTTTCTTTTTAATAAAAGTATTTCAAAGGTAAAAAGTTAATGCTAATTAAGAAAAACTAGAACTCTGCAAGTGGGATGTGTCACCTGGTGAACAATATAGTTTAGGAGAAATGGCATGGACAAAAATGAAATATGAAAATTACAGAAGGGCAATAACTCAAAAAATATAAGTGCAGAGCAGCAGTTTTTGTGCACTGCATTTTTTATCAATAAGATCTATCATCCTATGAAGTTTCAAGTCCATAGCTTTCATAATTTGGACAAAAATAAAGTATGAAAATTAATACAGAGTCATAACTCAAAAATAAGAAGTGCAGAGTACTGGTTCTTGTACACTGCACTTTTTCGTAATGAGATCTATCATCTTTTGAAGTTTCAAGTCGACACATTTTATACTTTAGGAGAAATGGCCTGGGCAAAAATAAAATATGAAAATTAATTAACAAAGGGCAATAACTCAAAAAATAAGAATTGCAGAGTACCGGTTCTTGTGCACTGCTCTTCTTCTTAATGAGATCTATCATCTTATGAAGTTTCAAGTCCAAATGTTTTATACTTTAGGAGAAAAGGTCTGGACAAAAATAAAATATGAAAATTAACAAAGGGCAATAACTCAAAAATAAAAAATGCAGAGTACCAGTTCTTGTGCTAGAGGTTGTAAACTAACCATTGTAATTCTGCCACAGTTTCTACATTATGAGCGTACACATCTAGTCCTGACTGAGCTACAGTTTCTACACTTGTTAAATCTCCACGGAAATCTGGCGTCAAACATTCTACCAATAATGATGATTTCCTGTAAAAATAAATAATAACTATAATGACCAACAATTAAATTACACTAAAGAGGTTTCACTCACACAGAAGCTAGAGTTGGAGACAGGTTCACTCATAGCTGTGACAATCTGATTACATTTATTGATTTGACAAAAAGTTAAGGCATTATAATAAGCAGAACTATAAAAATTCTTTCACTTTTTGTTGCATGAAATACAATGACTTTGCAACATTTTAACAAAGAACTTTTTAGAAAGAGTTTATTTACAGCTAAATAAGAAATTTTCTCATGGGATTAAATTTCTCTGATTTCAGGAATCAAAGATTTTAGCAGGAATGAATTTCTACTAAGTCTCTAAATATCATATAAATTTACCATTAAAGAACTGAAAGTAAAAATTCATGCAAATGTAACTCACCAATAATTCAGAAATGTTGATTTTGCGAAATTTTCACTTACAGAAAATATCAGATTGTAGAGTAACTACTTACAAGTAAATGTTTCATTCAAAAGTTACTTTTTATCTATCCAGAAGAAATTGACCGGAGGAACAAAGAACAGTTCAACATGAAACATTTTAACGACCATAAATTCTTTTCCTCTTACAAGCAATGGTGGTCCAATTTCAATTCTTCTGATTCCAATATCCTACTATTAACTCTTAGCAAGCAGGCAGGAAAACTGATTCTACCCATGCAACCAGTGCAGACAAAGATCACCTAGCACATCTGTATCATCTGACCATGGTCTATACTGTTCATTATTCAGTCGGTATATGAGCCGTGTCATGACAAAACAAAAATAGTGCGTTTGCGACCAGCATGGATCCAGACCAGCCTGCGCATCCGCGCAGTCTGATCAGGATCCATGCTGTTCGCTATCAGTTTCTCTACCTGTAATAGAGTTAGTAAGCGAACAGCATGGATCCTGATCAGACTGCGCGGATGCGCAGGCTGGTCTGGATCCATGCTGGTCACAAACCCATGATGTTGGTTTTGTCATGTCGCGGCTCATATAATTATTTGGAAATTTTCACTAAGATAATGAACAGTTTTGACAAAACTGAAAGATGAACATGTTTATTTAAGATATTTAAAAAAAAAAATTCCATCCTTTCGAGCTCAACTTCAGAATGTTTTCATTCATAAAATGTCGAAAAAATCTAAGATTTCCTAGATCAGACTTCAGAAGTGATGAAAATTAAGTAAATTTATGTTTAACTGCATCAACAAATAAAGTAAATTGTTACCCTTTCTTTATTTCTCTAACAGTTTCTGCAAAATGAGCAGCCCCACCATCTGGTAAATCTGTCAATGATATAAATATGGTTATACAGTTGTTCTATGTCATTTAACCCCAGCACTGCAGGGACTAAAAGTAACCAGCCTTTGCCAACGGTCAAAAGCCACCCCAGCTTGCATATCCACACAGTCTGACCAGGCTTCAGACTGTTGGTATCTCAATTTTTGAAAGCTGATATTAAAATCCCTTAAACTTTGAATGAACACTTCAATGCATTTTCTTAATGAAAGCACCAATATCTTAAACAACAAACATGTTTCAAATAACAAAGATTATGCAGTATGAAGATCCATAGATTTAAAAAAAAAAAGAAAATCTTGTCTTTTTTCAACAGATATTTTTAAATCTTTTTAATCAAGATAAGAGGTTTCATAGACAATTTTCAAATCTTTCATTTAACTTAACAGAATCTATTTCTATCTCTTGGGAGTATGTTTTTTTATCTTACAATACAATACATTAAGAAAAAACCCATTTGCAATTCCTAAGATATAACATTTTGGCAAACATTGTAAAAGGTTTTTACAATTTCCTCCTTCTGGTTGCCATGGAAACCCGAATTATATAATGATAACAAAAATCAAAATTTCACTAGAAAACATCAAGCCAAAACTTCACAACTTTTTGACAATGCTTTATAATGTTTGTATCTCAATTTACCAAGCAAGATAAGTCTTTTACATGCATGTTCAGCAGTGGTAAGTTAAAACATATGAAGGCGAACAAAGAAGAACATGGTTTGCTCCATTCTGAACTCAAGACTTTATTAACGTCCCTTACCACTCAGCAACGAAAGGCCACGGATGGCAGAATGATGTCATTCAAAGCACACAACTAGTTTTATATTTAGCAGGTGATAGATGACATTTCAGAACCTGTACAAATACTAGATATTCCACTCTGATATCTGCAAGAACAAGAATTTAAAGTGATGTAGATAGAATCTTATACAAACCATCTCTATCGACTGAGGTAAGCACCACATAGTCCAATCCCCATGACACTATAGCAGATGCTGTATTTCTGGGCTCATTTGGATCAGGGGGTGGGGGATTTCGTGCTGTCTTTACTGAGCAAAACCTACAACCTCTTGTACAAGTGTCACCTAAAACCTGAAAAATATATATGTTTATATTATAAGGAGTCACCAACTGAAGTCACATTGCAAGGTATTTTGCTTAATCCAAGTGACAAACCTGAAAAAATATATACGTTCGAGATATTAGGAGTCTTCAACCTTAATTACTTTGCCAGCTAAGATATTTTGATTTATTTGAGTGACAGACAAAACCTAGCAGATATTTTGAAAGAACTGCAACTAAATGTAATGGTTGTGTCAAAAATAATTTGTATCCTGCATTCTGTCTGTTAATCTAAACCCATCAGCAGTAGTATTGACTTTACTGCACTTTTGTACTTTTGACAAAAGAATGACAAAACTTTGTACTAAACAACTATTTGAGTTTATACAATTTTATTTTAGTTCGATTGTGTTGCAAGCTATAAGCTCATTTAACCTTCGAATCCGTTCCTGGAACCGTCCAGTACTAAGCAATAAGTGTAAATTTCTTGCTCAAGGAAACAACGGCACTAATGTCCCTGATGGGGTTTGAGCCCATGTAGCCAGCACTCCTTAGATCACCAGTCTGGTATGTTAACCACTCGATCACGCTGCCACTTTGATACTAAACACAACTATTTTAATACTGAAATTATAACTGACAGTATTCCAAACTTCAAAATAGGACACACCAATAACACAAGTTTTAAATAATCAAACATGTGTTACTAGAAAAATGTAAACAAATGAAACAAAAATAAACTGTTAACATTACCATTATGGTTGCTGTGGCTGTGCCGTGGTCACCACCACCCCAGCATTCTCCAATGTTTGGACATTTTGCCTCCTCACATACCTGAAATAAAATATTCATGGAATCTTAATTATCATTGATATAATTAATATGATGCCATTATGGTTCATCCCACAACTAAAATCCTATTTTTCCCACCAATAAACATTTTAAGTCAAGATTTAAACTTTTTGAGCCAGACAAGAGCCTAATTGGTGGAAAAATACATTGTAGGTTGTTCCTAAAAAAAATCAATAGACAACAAGAGCAGGCTCGCCTTTTCCTTTTTTCTTATTTCTAAAATCAAACACATCAGAGGAAGAATAATATAGATCTAGTAATACTAGAGTACTCTTAGATTTTTTTTGTAACAAATAAATTCAAATTTCATATTTGACATTGATGGTCAATTAAAGGTCAAGGTCACATTTTTAAATTAATCATCATTTAACGTTTTGTTACATGTGTTCTTTGTCCAATTATGAATCAAATTTGTAAATAATTTTTTTTTTTAAAATAAAAGTATCTTGATATTTAATTTTGATATGCATATTAGAAAATTAATCGGTTGTATTAGTGATAGGGCTGTCATTGATGGAAAATTTTGTATCGATATATCGAGAGACAAATATTGACGATATATCGACTTTGACAGTAGATACAATAAAAATCATTTATATATGTGTTATTAATTAGGGTCATAGTGTTATGCATGCTTGTATTACACATTATAAATACTACAAACCAACAGAAAGTTTGTTTTTTCTGTTATTCTTGTCACTGACATTTGAAAACGGAGATTTAAGTTCAAGTTAGCCAAGAAAACTAGAAAAAAGTACTTCACCTATAAGCCAAAATAGAGAGGTATATTACGTAACTAACAGAAATAAAAAATTTTTAGCTTGTATCGATATATGAAAGTGTGTATCGATATTGTATCGGATGATGAATATTGATGATATTATATATCGTGATATTCGATGACAGCCCTAATTAGTGAGATATACATGTATATCCTGTATCACTCAACCGATCATTTTGCACAAAGAAGCATAAAGATAAAAATAAGTTTTTTTTCTTTTGCCATTCACATTCAAAATTAATGTTTGCTCAATGAGATATTTTCCATATATTTACTATTAAAACCAACAAATGACCAATTTTATATCATACTGAATAAATGCAAAGAAGCTGAAAGCAGGATATTTATTTACCTCAACTATATAAATAATATACAATCTGAACAAGCTTTATTGACACGTGACCTAAATCTTATCCGAAATCTATACATTCACAAATCAGAACACACAAGAACCAAATTAATTTGGCAGCGGTAACAAAATAATAAAAATATATATTGTTTCTACCAATCCCCAGACAAATACCCTAGGAGATAAATTGATAACACTACATGACTGTAGATAGATCTTAATATAATTAAAGTGTCCCTGGAGTCTTACAAGTTTTCATTAGTGTCCTTACAACTTGATTATCCAGTGAAACAGACACTTTTCCTAAAATAAATATCAATATTTCCCTCCGGTCTTCTGTACAAATGTTTTTCCCGGAACAAAAACTTTTCCCGGAACAGCAACTTTTCTTCATTCTCTACACTAATTTTTCCCAGAGATATTAACCTTTCTACAACAAATCATCATTTTATGCTGTTTCCAAAATAAATCTCAGATGATTCAGCTGCAGATGTTATCATCTGATGTAAGAAGTCACCTTCTTTAAGCCACCACTCACTATAGTTTATACAGAGTTTCTTTTTAGTTTGATTTTGTAGGAAGCTATAAGCTTAAAGACACACTCTCAAATCCTTTTCTGACACCAAGCAGGCATTAAGGTTATAAAACTTTTTTTCTGAGTTCTGTCTCAAATCTCTGGATTTTCATTGGTTAATGGAAATTTTGTGGCAGTTTCTGACCAATCAAATACATGTATCTGAGATCTGAGTTTGAGCTAAGAGTATGTCTTTATAACCTCGAACCCAGTACTCAGTTTGTGTGTGTTTTTTTGGATTTTAAGTCACACCATTACTGTTAAAGTCAACTTTCCAGCATTACAAGTGGAGAAAGCCCTCATGTGTCTTTTGTTCATTATCTAATTCAAGAGAGGGCACCTAAGTAGAACCATCAACCTCCTGTAAGCTAGCTGATGGCTTCAGCACATGAAAGAATCCAAAATTCCTAACAGGATTCAAATCCACAGTGGTGAGGGGCAAGTGATTTGCAGTTCGCAACCTTGACCACAGATCACCAACAGCAAGCAAAATGCATAGAACAACAATCAGTAGAGAGCAAGTTATTTGAAATCAGAAGGGTAAAGCACTGATTATGCAAAAGCTTTTTCATCCTTTTCAGTTTTTATTCTAACAATATTAAAATTTTTACCCAAATTATGTTTAAAGGATGATTATACAAGACAAATGTTTAAAACATACATTTGCAAATATTAACTTACTGTGTTGAGTTTAAGCTCTCTGAGATTCTGTTTAATTCCATGGTAATTTTTACCTACAGGTATATTTGTCTTCAACCACTTTGGAAGTCGAACCCTGAAAAATTCACATAAATTTAGCATACAAAAGATCTATATATAAGCTAAAAACTGAGAGGTAAAGGTACACATTCAGGGTAAAATCTATCACATATCTATGGAAAAATTTAATTATTCAAAATTATCCCCAGATTTCCTAAAAATCTTTTGCTATCTAAGTATCATTATAATACAATATAGAGGGCGACATTGGTCATTCAACATCACATAGATTTTCAAGTAAACAATGGATTAACTCTTGGTTTCTGGTTGGAACAGTTTCTACCCAGTACAGTGCAGACCATTATCAGGCGGCACTATTCAGTCAATACTCAGAGGAGATCCACTGACGTCAAAATGCCTAAAAACATAAAATTTATATTTCTTACATTGAACAAGTGATACACTTAAATGGAAAAATCTACAAAAGATACATGTACTTGGAGTTAGATGAAAAAAACGATTTTTTGCACAATTTTTAGCTTTGTTTGATATAGTTACATGTATATTTTTTTGTCATTCTGCGCAATAAAAAATAACTATTCTGGGAAAACAGAGTGAGGGAATGATCTGAAATTTTGCACACAAGTTATTATTCCGAACAAATGGTATGATGTGCACATGTCCCCAAGAAATATTTCTAATCCCTTCATGTCAGAATCACTTTAAAAAATTTTGGTGTGATTAGGAATTCAAATAAGTAAATTATCTTCATTATCATAACAAAAATTCATTATCAACTTTTTTCAGACTCAATATTTCAGAACTGAAAAGGCCATCTAGGGAACTACCAAATCTAAATTAATGATTGATTTATACAAAATTTATTTCAGTTCAATTGTGTAGAAACCTATAAGTTTAAAGACACACTTTTGAATCTGTTCCAGAACCCAACCAGTACAGGGCAATGAGTGTAAAGTTTCTTGCTTAAGGAGACAACAACATGTCCCTGATGGGGTTTAAACCATGCAGCTAGCAATCATTAGATTACTAGTCTAACATGTTAACCATTTGGCTGCCAAATAAATTAATGAATAAATCATAAGAATTAATTATGTTCATACCTTTCCCCTTTTTTCTGTATAATATTATCACCAATATCTGTACCACTGAGACTTGCCTCAATGAAATCACCAAGATCGGGTCCTTCCAGCAATTTTTTCTTTTTGTCCTCGGTCAGGTTCTTGTTACTGTAAACTCTATTTGTACCACATAACTGACAGCTACACACCTGTAAGATAAAGATTTGTTTTCTTACACCATATAGTCACTGAAATCTCAATAGCTTTAATTTTAATACACAATTCTTTGTAACCCTATCCATCCAGGGAATGCAAAAGACAGCAAGAAAAATGATTTGTTAATTTGTGGTTACTTAGTGGTATAACAATATACATGTACATGGGCCAGCAAAAGCTGATTTTTTTATTTACTTGTCTGCTTCATCTAAAACATTTCTTTATTTATCAGTATGATATATAAATTAAGTAAATTCTGGAAAAAATTCACTTGTCTGTATAGGCTGTGGGTCAACCTGGACAATACAGACAATTGTCTTGACTTTACAGTCCCTGCTTGAACCATCTCACTGTTGCTGCCTTGGCTAGCAAATGGGGTGATTTGTTTAAACATCAAAGACAGAGGAAGGGGGATACACCTAGTCCAATATATAAGACTTGTCAAAGAGATATTGAGAAAAAATTTGTATTACTATTAGTTTCACAGATGATAGTCTATAAGAATAGGAAACTTACTCTTTAAAAGTTATTTAAGCTAGGTTATATTGAATCTCCACATGGAAAGCATATCAGACTGACACTGTCACTACTGAAATTTTTTTACCAGGGATACTTATACATGAGAATTTTATCATTAATTCATTGTCCACTTGATTAGATTCTTTATTTCCAATTATGTTGACACTTTTTTTTGGGTCAATGCAGGGGGAAATCAAAATTGCTTGAACTGTTCACTACACTACCATGATTGTGTCCCAACAGAATTTGAGATATGCTATGACTTTTGTTTAATCCAGATAATGGCTCGGGTGTTTCATTTTTTATTCTAACACTGTCGGAAATTTTTCTATATTAACAAAGAAGGCCCGAAGCGTGCATTATTCTACAACAATGCACTCGCCATTCTTATTATCTCCCTGTGTATTTTCACATTGAAGGCGCCATTTTGTTTGAAAAATTTGATAAATAATAAACATTTTTTGTCGAATTTTGTTGTGAAAACTATCTAGAATGAAAGACAAGAGCTGTCGGTAGGACAGCAACGCTCGACTATTCTTAGTGCTTGATAGTACAAAGAATGCTTGATACAGTTACCTCCTCCTGTTTACAAGTTGGGGTCATGATGGTGAACAAGTGTGCAAAGTTTCAAAGCCATATGTCAATGGACTTTGAAAATATTTGAACTATTACAAAAACTTTAACGCAAAATTCTAAGTCGAAAAAGGGGCATAATTCTGTCAAAATGCTTGATAGAGTTACCTCTTCCTGTCTACAGGTTGGGGTCATGATGGTGAATAAGTGTGCAAAGTTTCAAAGCCATATGTGTATGGACTTCGAAAATATTTGAACTATTACAAAAACTTTAACGTAAATTCTAAGTCGAAAAAGGGGCATAATTCTGTCAAAATGCTTGATAGAGTTACCTCCTCCTGTCTACAGGTTGGGGTCATGATGGTAATTAAGTGTGCAAAGTTTCAAAGCCATATGTCTATGGACTTTGAAAATATTTGAACTATTACAAAAACTTTAACGTAAATTCTAAGTCGAAAAAGGGGCATAATTCTGTCAAAATGCTTGATAGAGTTACCTCCTCCTGTCTACAGGTTGGGGTCATGATGGTGAACAAGTGTGCAAAGTTTCAAAGCCACATGTCAATGGACTTTGAAAATATTTGAACTATTACAAAAACTTTAACATAAGTGGTTACGCGGACGCCGACGCGGACGCCGACGCTCCGGTGACTGCAATAGCTCTACTTATTCTTATCGAATAGTCGAGCTAAAAATTAATCCGAACACCAATATCTTTAATTCAGTCGTTATTGCTGTACTGACGTTTAAAGTGTTGTTTACGTGGCGTCACAATGTAGCGCCAAACAGCACGTGAAAAACAATCAAATCGATAACGCTATTTTTATGTCGCAAACAAGTTAAGTTTTACATTTGTATTTCGCTTGAAAAATTAAAGAGTGAAATAAAATAAACAAACAAAATTTATAAAAGTTTTCAAAATTAGTTATTCTCAAAATGTTTCTACACAGGGTAGAGTTAACGACAGTTTTTTTCAACCCACTGGAACAGCCTTTAAAGAACGTTTCTATTGGAAACTCTGAGGCGAAAACAAATTTAACCACCAAACATAAAGTCCAACTTTATAATGATAATTATATTTTTTTCTTGACGTGTTAGAATGAAAATAGATATTAATTCTTCGTGCATTATTGTATAATAATGCACGTTTTTCGTTCAAATGCTTTGTAATTAATCACTCAGGCCTATCAACCTTCGTGATTATATTATTACGCATTTGAACTCAAACCGTGCATTATTCTACAACAATGCACTCAGAATTGATATCTATTACCTAAACATAATATACAATATTCCAGCAGCATATGCTGAAATTTTGAGTATTCTACTGCAAATGATTATAGTTGGTGTAATAAGTCAGTATTATTGCAATCCTAACATCAGAATTTTCAATGTCAATGTTCTTGTAATAGACCAAAAACTGTTTAATTACCAAAAATTTAATTACTTAATCATAGAAGAAACACACATTATTTTAATGTTGATAACATAAAGATTGATTGGCAAACAATAAATAAAGAAAACATATACAGTCCATATGGTTTTGGTGGTCTACATACATGTATTAAACTTTATAATCATAATAATGTCATATAATAACATAAAATGTTATAATCGCATATGAAATGTTTTAATCACTTATAAACTTATAAAATGAATGTTACGTAACCATGATGTTTTCTAATATTGGACATCAACTGTTGTGTACATTTTGATGCTATCAACTATCAGGCGATTAATTTGGATGAATCGCTCAGCAAACTTTTACCTTACACAGATTGCAATACAACTACAAAATGAAAAGCAAAAATATTGAATCAATACCAGCTGCTAATTTACTAAGTTTAAACCTGAGGTTTCATTTTCAAGGATGGCTAAAGAGACCCCTATGTATTTTTCAGGAGTAAAACTTTTATATAGTAAACTAAAAAAACGGAATGAACCTTATAATTATATATACTCCTGGTTTAGACCCAGGGGTCTATTCCACGATATATAACCAATCAATCAGGCCTGTTTGTGTTAGTGAAAGTCTGCTATGCATACCGATAATTATGAATTAGGTAATTTACTTCAACAACTGAGTTGTTGTACACTGAGATTTTAATTCATTTGAGTATTGGGATGACTTAAATTGTGTATTTATGCAAACACACTGCTTGTGAAGGTGGCGCGATAGCTCAGTTGGTTACACCACTGGCTGTCACTCCTGAGGTCCTGGGTTTAATCCTGGGTAACACCCTTGGGATTTTTGAGAGACACTTTCAGTGTTTCCCACCAGTCCTAAAGCTGCGGTCTCACTAACTCCCGGCAGAGCCCAGGGCCACACCGGTAAGTTACTCCGATGATCCGAGACGATCTGGGTGAAATTAATAATTATTATTGTTGCGGTCACACATACCCCGGCAGCACTACGGTAATTCCCAACTAACCACCCAGGATGCGCTCCTGACCATCCAGGCAGAGCCCAGGTGTAGCTATGGTTCATGCCGGTGCTTCCCTGGTCGTTACCCGGATGACGCCTGAAGAGCCCCGGTTGACCCAGGCAAAGCCCTGGTCGATCCATGCAGAGCCCAGGACGATCCAGGCAGAGTCCCGGTAGAACCTTGGTGGATTGAAAATGCGCGAAAATTATTACATATATACATAATTTTCATTTAATATTATATCTTTTGTAATTCATGATGATTTTCTGAAAAATCCTTATGCAAGACTGCATAAAAGGAAAATGGGAAGGGTTTTAATACAAACCGTCGTGATTCTTTTGAAATGAACTGGGCTTTGCCGGGGCTCTACCGGGATCAACCGTAGCTCCATTGTCATCTTCCAGGGCTCTGCCTGCATTCACCGAGACTCTGCGGGCCTTCAACGGGGGCTCTGCTAGCATTCACCAGGGCACTACCGTAGCTCTACCTGATATATCATACCCTGGATCATCCCCTGTTTGTGCAGGCAGAGCTACGGTGCTTCCCCGGTCGTTCACGGCTGAGCTAAGGATCAAGCCTGCTAAGCTATACTTCCCTGATCATCCTGGACCACCCCGGTGATATTAAATATTTTATTCCATCCGGGGCCGAATGTCGGATGTCTCAGATCATCCCGATGTTGCCGGCAGAGTTACGGATGTACTCCGGTTGTTCCTGGTCGTACCCTGGTTGTTCCCGGATCAACCCGGACGTCTACCGGGGCTCTGCCGGGATGTTAGTGAGACTGTAGCTTAACTAGAGGTGTACTGGTAAGAGATCTAGGTAATCCTCGCATGTATCAGTGCTATACACTGGGCATGTAAAAGAACCAAGGGGTCTTTTCAGTAAGAGCTAGGGACTGGTTCCTAGATTCCTTTGTATCTCATAGCTGTCTCTGAAGTGACTAGAGTCATGTCTACGTCCCCAGGAGGGGTTTGACATTAATGGAAGATAGACTAGCTAAGAGATACACTGTAGATATCTCGGACTCTGAATTATTGTTTAAATTTTAATTTATTCAATTCTACTATTAGTTTTAACTGTTTATTTGATTTACTGATATGTACGAAGTCAACATAATTAGTGCAAATATGTAACACGAATAAGATTGCCCTAACACAAGTTTCATCATTCAAAACAATGTTTTAAAGTGATTGAATAATGCATGTAAATTGTGTGTTTACACCCATAAATGACATGACACTCGAAAGGAAATCCTTTAAAAAAATTGTATGATAAAAATAAAATGAATTTTAAAATAATATTACTTTTAACACCTCTCTAAACGCCTTAGAGTGTAGATTTCTTAGATTTGTTTGTAAAGCCATGTTCATCTGTCAAAAGGTGAAGGTCGAAAAAGTAGAACACTAAAAATGCGTATAAATATTTCAGAACATGACTATTGTAATTCCTGCAAATCTCGAACTAATAAAACTGAAATGGAACTAATATATATTCAATGAATATTATCAAATAAAGAACATGTTATTGTCAATTTATTCAGTACGATTCTTTGTGTTTAGAACTACATTTTACCGCGTAGTTTTGTTTTGTCATCTGTTGAAAGGCACTTCCGCCGGCAATTTTCGCAAAAATAAAGAGAATTTTCTGACACTTTTTATTGCAAAATTACGTAAGTAAACATGTCTTTTTGTGCAATATTGTGCCACACTTTTTATGATTCATTTCAAAATTTTGTTGCAATAATTCTTCACTAGCAACATTAGTTTGTTGTACAAAATAAAATATCCATGTCTTGAACGGATGTATTTTTGCATCATCAGCTGATCAGTATCAGTAATCACGCCTCCAAAATATGACTAAATGTCATAGGGAGATAAATGTACAGTCTTACAGGAACTCGAACCTGGGATTCTTGAAATACTGCTCTACTGTCTGGGCTCTCTTGCCACTTCAATTTAAAAACTCTACTGGTCGGAGACTAGTCAGAGACCATCAACCGGACACTTTTGGAACATTTTTCCGTACAGATTTTATATTATTTTATCTAGAGACCAAAAAATTTGACACTGTTCAGCTAGGTTCTTCTCCTAACTAACAAACTAGTTTGTTTATTTCTGATTGTATTGACACTTATAAATATCTGAGGCTCGACAAAGAGGGTATCAAAATTACCTAAATTGTCTACACTACAGTACCATGTGTCCGGACAGATATGTCTTGATGCGATTTAATTCAGATAAAAGCTTGGGTGTTTTGATTTTTGATTTGTAACATGATATATAATATGTCAGCAACAAATGCTGAAGTTTTGGATATTCTATTATTCACTCTGCAAATGATTATAGCTGGTTTTATGAGGTCAGGCAATGCTTTCTTGACCCCTGAATTTCAACGTCAACATTCTTGAAATAGACATTAAAATATTACCATTTACGGAGGTTGAAATAAATTTATTTACTTAATTTTAAAAGAAACATGCACTTATTGCTGATAAAAAAGTGACTGACAACCACTGAACAAAGAAAATACTAAATTAAGCATTTTCGGGGCCGTCCGGGTTTGGTGGTTGTCCGGTTTTGGTGGTCCCCAACCAGTAGTCCTATAAATATGACGTTGCTTTGGGATATTTTTGCTTCTAGGCTTGACCGACATAAACTATAACAAGCCTGTAACGTCTAAACTCTAATATATTGGACTATTGTAAACCCATTCCTCTAGCATCATTTGTGAATGGTTGATACATGTACATGTATCACAGGGTCCAGCCGCTTACACATGTCACAGTTCAGAAATGTTCACTATTTATAGGGGAGAAGATGTGTAAGTGGCAGGATAGCTCAGTCGATAGAGCCGTGGAACGGTACTGAAGGTCCCAGGTTTGAGTCCATGTCAGGCTGAAGATTTTCCCCACCCTGTGACATTTGGTGCCCAACAGGTGACTGTGACTGAATATAGCTCAGAGTTTAATTCACATTGCTCTGTAACTGTAATTCGAGGACAAATTTCAATATTGTAGGGGAGTATGTCATGGTTCAGAATTGTTCACTATTTATAGGGGATAAGATGTGCATGTAAGAGACCGGATAGCTCAGTATGTACATTCGGAGGGTCCTGGTTCGAGTCCTGGTTATCCTGGAATTTCTCAGGGTTTCAGAGTAGTGTAGATTAAACTTTTAAGCTATAATTATGCAGTATCGGTCCTCCGTTGGGCGCAAAATGTCTGAGGTTGACCCATACTCAGACCTGCACCCTTGGAATACAGTACCTGGGCTATCAGGCCATTTATTCACTTTCTCCCCTAATTAGTGAACAGTTTTGAGTTGTGACACATGTAGATCAGTGATTTAAAAAAAAAAATTCGCAACAACCCATACCCCTAAAATTGTGAATTTTTAGCGGGATATTCTGTCAAATTTTGAAAAAATAAACAAAAAAATTGAATCATCACCTGTAGTTACTTTATTTATACATTTAATAATTATGTTCATAGTTTAAGCTTTCTTCATTTTATTCCCTCAAATATATCAGTCAAATGCTTAAGATTGTCATTTGTCAGTTCATTATTTTGTTGTTTTTTTAATGTCTTTTTGCATTGTGGAGAGGCCTAATTTCAAGGTCAAAATAAACCAAAAAAATCACTGATGATATATATAGTACTCTCGGTGGGCACTCCTAAATAATAATATAAGGAGTTAACCTGTTACTGCACTAAGATAACAGTATGATAATTTCCATACCATATTGTCACAAAGTGGTTTGGTTTAAACATATTTATTTAAGCTTGATTGCGAAACAAGTTCTTGCAACTTATATTAATCACTTTCGAGTCCGCTTCCTGGAACCAACCAGTACTGGTGTCATATGAAGATACATGGTCGTGACCCGAGTAGGGCTCGAACCCATGATCTCTGGGTTGAGAGGCAGACACCTTAACCACTAGGCCAACGCTCCCCTCCACAAAGTGGTTTAAATGTCTGCTTCTCAACCAAAGGATGAATGGTTTGACCAAGTTTGAGTCTGACCTTGGTATCAGCCAAGCATTCCTCATATTATGGTAAGGTCCAGGAAATTGACTCAGGAGTGATTCAAATAACTTTCAAGCTTTATCAGTTAAAAAAATTGTTTGCTAGTCTACTACAAAGAGAAAATTACAAAATGTTTGTCTTGTAGATTTTGCAATATCAACTCTGGTACCTTGAGCAAATTGGTTGAACAAATACAATGTATATTTCAGTATGGTTTATAAAGTGATAAAAATTGATCTAATTTTAAAGTAATTTTAGATTTTGGTATGTGTTCTCAATTAAGTACATTGTATAAAGGAAAACAGAATAGTTTTAATATTTTCCACAAAAATTACAATATGAGGAAATGTAATCATTCTTGCTGTAACTCAATTAAAATATTTGTTGAAATTTCCTTTCTTTTAACGTGATTGTCTAGGCTAACTGTTATTTTATGTTTAGTTCAATTTAAATTTTAAATTGTTCTTAAATTATGATTTCCTTCCTGCTTTTAAAGCTTAATTATTAAAAGTCAAAATTATTGACTCCACTAGATTTACATGTATTTCTTGCTGTATTTTCAAATTTCATGCTACATTAATTAGTTTACATTCTTATAATTCATACTAGGCAGTCATGTGACAGACATGTTTTGGCTAAATTTTAAACTGTCTATACATAGCTTAAAATTATGTCCTTAAAACCTCCCTTTGAGAATGTCCACTTACAATACAGATTTTATTTGGATAGTTTCAAGTAGGTTGCTGTTTGACATGTTTTCAAGAGCAATTAATATTATAACTTTAGAATTCTTCCTAATTTAGATTGCAGTTGATACTAAATATTAATGTCGATTAATATTTAACATGTTGGAACCATTCTTGATTACTCTTTGTCATCAATATAGAGCTAAGTCAGTTGACACATCTGTGCAGTCTGACCAGGCTCTATAATGTTGTGAGACTAAATTTAAATTTTCATAAACTTAAAACCCTTTAAATAATTCTAAAAATGGAAGCTGAACTAGTCCATTTAAGAAAATCAGCTGGTTAAGAAACTACTTCAGATTCTTACTTCTGAGGATTCATGTATACATGTACCATATAATTTCTCGATTAATCTCTTAAATTGTTATCCAAACATTTCTGTAGGGGTTATATCAGTGAAAAATGATATTTTGAGAATAGATTGGTTTGCTGTCTCCCTTACTGTCATATTGTATATATTTATGTGTTTGTTTGACCATCTGAACTGAGATGGATCAAAATTAAACCTGTGCCATTACTCACCAATGTCATCAAGTAAACAAAAGATTGCACCCTACTTCTTTGAACTTATTAAACCCAGATCTTGTTTTGATGTTAAAAAATATTCCCTTTCATTCTGAAATAACAATATCCAGCATTTAAATCTTTGGTTTGTAGCATGTGGTTGTATGATCCTGGTGAACTGTCAATTATAATGCCCCCTTCGAAGAAAAGGGGATATATTGATTTGCTAATGTCAGTCCGTAGGGGGGTCCGTCTGTAGACCACATGGTTTCCGCTGATAATCTTAAAAACTATTTATCACAAAGTTTTCATATTTCACATACGAGAAGTTTTAATTTTATGTTGTTGTAAGAAAATCCTAAGTTACAGGTGAAATGACTGATATTCCGATCTAAACTGCAAGATATGACAGATATTATCAATCTGTTTCTTGTAAATCGAAATATTCAAAACTGTTGATGTCTTAAAGCAGTAATATTGTTAGACAGAACTGACATTTACACATGTATATTAATATGATAGAAATTATGATAGTTTCTTCCCTGAAGAAAAAGAAGGAAAAGACAAAAGAAAAAAAAAACACCTCATTTTCTTCCCAATGGAATAGAATTACTAAAGATAATAATTGGTTACCAAAAATATCAAAGCAATAGCTTTAAATAATGAGTGTCTCTAAGGGAGTAATTTAGGTATAATTTGGACGTTGCTTCTAGGAAATACTGAAAGGCAATCATTAGAAACATATTTGTTGCCATAGTAATACATCACAAGTAATAATTTTAAAAGGATTAAATAGGTATCTTGCATTATTTGTGATTTTTAAATCTGATTTTCTTTTATCTAAAAGCATTTATTTTCGTTTCATCGTCTTCGAAAAAAACGTAAGTGGAGGTACTTAATTTGTAAGAAGAAATTTAAAGGAAAAGTCAGGAAGAATTACGAGACAGACAAAAGAATTACTCGCACATTAGATTTATTAGAGATACGCGGGCTAAGAATGTAATGAGATCCTATATTTTAAGTTAATATGTCTGGAAAGATTCTTCATTTGTTGTGTATCTGAGATTGATAGTTTGCAATATAATGTCGTACTGTCGCATCTCGATATAAAACGTAAAGAACAAGTTATGAACTCATTGCTTCGGACCTGTTTTAATTTCTCTTACAGACTTGATTAAAATCTATCCGTCTTAATATTGACAACTCTTTATTGACAGCTTTGTTTACTGCGGTTAGTATAAATGTACAATACATTTTAATAATATGGAATCTTTTCATCCTTTCAATGAAGTTTGCTTTGCGGTTTCAACAGTATAATGCCACTCCTTTCCCATCTAAGCTGACTTTAATGCGTTTCTAGAAACAATTAAATATCTGACGTCTGATTGGTTGGTTTTGAGGTGAGAATTGAAATTGGCCAATGGATAAGCAGTTTTGTGAGAACAATTCCCTATATTGGTCTCATTACTTAAATGTCATTATCTTACAATTCCATTATTAAGATGAATCTTCACCAAATCCCCACTAAAACATTCTCCCTAAGGCTGCATTATTTCCCTGCAAAAAAAACAGTGTGGGGACAGGCAGATATTGCACAGTATTTTTACGATTTGGTTCATGATGCGAATAATCCAAGTCACTCAAGATAAACATGTAATGATAAAGAATTCGAACTTCTTTATGTTAATTTCAACTTTTTTTTCTTGATATTGGTATTCTCAATATTTATTTTCATTTTGCAATTTTCCATTTCATTTAACATTTTTGTTATAAACCTCAGCTTTTTCTAGAGAAAAAAAACAACAATTATTTTCCAAGCGCTATGCCCCTGAGGAAAACTATGCATTGTTGTGAAATTGAGAAAATTTTCCTGGAAGTGCTAATGCATGTTTATCTGGGTAATGGCTGTAACCCACGCACTTGATTGACAAAATACATTATGTGGTAAAACAAATTAAATCGTCATGTGGCAGATATTACTTGTTTTAAATTTTTTTTTTAGTTTTAAATTTAGATTTTTGATCATTAAAGTTTACAAGTTTACTTATAATGATTGTTTCCATTATTGGGTTGTGTTTTTTGTGCCCCCACGTTAGTGGCGGGCATTTAGATTTACCCTTGTCCGTCCGTCCGTCCGTCTGTCCGTCCGTCCTTCCGTCCGTCCGTTCACTTTTGTGTCGCACGTAACTCAAAAAGTATTTGACATAGAGTCATGAAACTTTACAGGAATGTTGATCAGCATGTGTAGTTGTGCACCTGGGTATTTTCGTCTGGATATTTTTAGTATTTTCAGAGTTATTGCCCTTGACTTAGTAAAATTTTGCAATTTTCAACTTGTGTCGCACGTAACTCAAAAAGTATTTGACCTAGAGTCATGAAACTTTACAGGAATGTTGATCAGCATGTGTAGTTGTGCACCTGGGTATTTTCGTCTGGATATTTTTAGTATTTTCAGAGTTATTGCCCTTGACTTAGTAAAATTTTGCAATTTTCAACTTGTGTCGCAAGTAACTCAAAAAGTATTTGACCTAGAGTCATGAAACTTTACAGGAATGTTGATCAGCATGTGTAGTTGTGCACCTGGGTATCTTCGTCTGGATATTTTTAGTATTTTCAGAGTTATTGCCCTTGAGTTAGTAAAATTTGGCAATTTTCAACATGTGTCGCACGTAACTCAAAAAGTATTTGACCTAGAGTCATGAAACTTTACAGGAATGTTGATCAGCATGTGTAGTTGTGCACCTGGGTATTTTCGTCTGGATATTTATAGTATTTTCAGAGTTATTGCCCTTGAGTTAGTAAAATTTGGCAATTTTCAACATGTGTCGCACTTTACTCAAAAAGTATTTGACCTAGAGTCATGAAACTTTACAGGAATGTTGATCAGCATGTGTAGTTGTGCACCTGGGTATTTTCGTCTGGATATTTTTAGTATTTTCAGAGTTATTGCCCTTGAGTTAGTAAAATTTTGCAATTTTCAACATGTGTCACACGTAACTCAAAAAGTATTTAATCTAGAGTCATGTAACTTTACAGGAATATTGATCAGCATGTGCAGTTGTGTACCAGGTATTTTCGTCTGGATTTATATAGTATTTTTAGAGTTATTGCCCTTCACTTAGAAAATTTTTGCAATTTTCAACTTAAGTCGCAAGTTTCTCAAAAAGGATTTGACATAGTCATTAAACCTTATGGGCAGGTTGCTCAGCATATTTTAGATTTGCACCTGGGGTTTCGCTTGTGGATTTATCCAGTATTTGTAGAGTTATTTCCCTTGAATTAGTAAAAAGATTGACAGAACAGTGGTGCGGTGGGGGCACCCGTGTCCTATGGACACATTTCTAGTTTTTTGTCCTTTTGGTTGCAACATGAAGAAACTACAAGTTAATGTTGGGAATTGATCCTTTACCTGCTGGAAGCAAAGTAATTATATGCTAGTCTGCTGAATCCTAAAACAGGCTTAAGCCGGACAAAATTTAAGATGTAAGATAATGGTTGGGAAGTAAGAAATGGGATGGCTGATGTAAGATAATGGTAGGAGCCAGAAACAAAGTAAGGCTAGTCTGCTGAAACCAGAAACAGACTAAACCTGGACAAAATTGGCACAGAATTGAAACTTATATTTTCTAAAAGATTGTAGCCTGTAGATTCTAAAAACACAAAAGTTCCCCAAAATTCCCTCTTTAATGCAGGAAACTCAAAACTACAAGATCATGGCCACCATGAAATATGAATTTTAACAAGAATTAGCCTTTTCGATCAGGATAGAGCCAGTCTCAGGCGAGCCTGTCCATTGGTGCTGACATGTATATTGTTGGTCGCTTAATATTTAGCTTGTCTATTTCGAACTTCATAAAAACTGTTTCAAATTCAAAGCATTGCAAATCCATAACAATAAGAAATACATTGTCTTCTATTCTTCTTTTGAAAATCTCTTCAAAGCAGGGTTTTCTTAGTTTTTTAGCTCACCTGACCAAGAAGTGGTCAAGGTGAGGTATAGTGATGGGGCTATGTCTGGCATTCATCGTCGTGCGTCATCAACAATTGGGTTGTTAACAGTCTAGCAGTCACAGTTTTGATTGGATCATCGTCAAACTTTGTCAGAATGTTTGTCTCAATGAAATACAGATCAAGTTCGAAGATGGATTATCTTGGGTCAAAAACTAGGTCACAGGAGCTAAAAATAGAAAAAAGCTTGTTAACACTCTAGTGGCTGCAGTTTTATTCAAATATTCTGGAAATTCGTCAGGAATGTTGTTTTGATGATTTCTAGGACAAGTTTGAAGATGGGTTATCTCCGGTCAAAAACTAGGTCACAGGAGCTAAAAATAGAAAAAGCTTGTTAACACTCTAGTGGCTGCAGTTTTGATTCAAATATTCTGGAAATTTGTCAGGAAGGTTGTTTTGATGATTTCTAGTGCCCCCTTTATTTTCATTTAAAGTAATATGTGATACTCAGTCGCCTTTTCCTTTGGATCGAAAGATATATTAGATGGCCCAAATTGCATTCCATATAAAACATGTAGTACTTATACTAAGAATCAATTTTTGGAAGGGAAAAATAGCCATCACAAAAGTGCGAATGAGTTTCTGCCAGAGGTTAGATAGATGTTATTTATTATTCATAGGAATAAGAAGTCTCCTGCCTTTTCTTTTTGCTGTATATAGAGAGCCACTTAAAGAAGAACCACTTAAAGAAGCATGTCTGCAGATTCATGCTAATTTGTTTTGAACATTTTAAAAATGTATATTAAAAAGTAAAATATTGATTGTCAAGTAAGCAAAGAAAGTAATTTACACATTGCAAATGGCACTTTCAAACAATGTAAATTATGAAAAAAAGAGTCAAAATATGCAAAAACAAGCCTTACTGTGTTAGTAACACATATAAATATGGTGATAAATACTGCAAAAACAGTTATTAATTGCATATAACATGTAAATCATTACTTGAATTGAGAATATTTTAACTTTTTTTAACATCTTAATACATTTTTCTCAAAGTTGATTTCCTTGGAATTTTTTGGCTTATCTTAAGGCTGACAGCTTTAAGGATACTATATTATAATTACAGCTTTATCTTTATTATGATTTGTGATGTACTTCAGAATTACTTCACTCAGCCATTTAAGGGGTTATTATTCTACTTCCTGAATAAGGAGAAATTTGTCTGTGATATAAATTAAGTAAGCGTTTGAACATAATAATCTTTTTGATGATACAAATTACAAAATAAAGATAATATTTTATAGGAAGTTTTTGATATGAAGGAAAATTTCATTCACTAAACTTGTACTTGTCAGCAGCTTCAAAGAATTTTTTTCTCTCCAGGAATGGATTGAATTTATATGGAATGAACCTTTACTTGTATTCCATATTTAATTTTATTGGAACATATCAACATATTAATTTTGAAAAGTGTGTTATAAGCAACTTCTTGAATACTTAGAGAGGGCTTTGAATTACATTGCATAGTTCAAATTTTATTAAGAATGTTAAAGACTTTATTATGAAATGTTATGCATACCAAAGGTAGAGGGTTTTCTTGCGTGTTTTTGTCCTGCTCAGGTCAAACTACAAGAATGCATTGAGCGACAGCTTGATATCGTGATAAGTTGCCATTATGATTGGTACACCAGTGAGTTAATCTGAATTAATTCACCCCCCCCCTCCACCCCCCACACACACACAACCCACTTACCAACCTCACCAAGACAAAAAATATGTGTTTGAATTTTAGTAGCAACAAAAAAAATTTAGCTTAATTTATGAGAGTATAGTTTTCAATGGCTGAATGCACGAGAGTTCTTGTTACATGTAGCCATAAATGTTTGGAAAATGTTGCGATTTTGCTGTATTGTTTACTATCAGCTGATAAATCCGTAGTAATTACCTACCACTCTTCCCAGAGCAAATGTCAGCTGAATGTCTGTAATTGACAGTAAAACATTTTTATTACAGGAATATGTGACATCTACAGAGCCTGGTTGCAGGTCTGACGGCATCACAGTCTGTCATTGTGTGACACTGACAGACTGGTCTGCTGGTGTGGAAGATTTGTTTCAGACTGGTTCACTGACTTTTTAAAGACTTGTTCAGTGATCTGGATGAATTTACAGATTGGTTTACAGAATGAAATTGTAGCAGTCTGCAGAATAGGGAGGGATGTTTGATATTGACACAGGGTATGTGAAATTTTTTTTAATTTTTTTTTCTCATCTGAAAAATATTTTATTTTAATGTTATTTAAGAACCTAACATCAAAGAAATTTTAAAGTAACTTTCTGTCCAAAGAAATTTTTAAGTAACTTTCTGTCCAAGTTTTATTTTATTTTCTAGACTCCCAAATTTTGTTTTTCAATGGAGCACAATTCTTTGCTTTCTGTTTGTTCTTGACCTTAAGCTTCCATCCTCAAAATAGAACATGTTGAGAAAGCCTGGCTTTTACTAAAGGCTAAATCTTGACTTTTTATCATCCCATTTAAACTTAATTACGTTTAAAAGACCAACATACAATATAATTCCTTGGGCTGTAAATGTTTTCAGCTTTAAAAGTTTTTAGCGGTAAAAGTTTTAAGGCAATAAAAGTCAGAGCATTTTGAAGTGAAAAGTTTTACTGAAATTGTTTAAAAAGTGCTGACTACCTCAGTAACAGTATGCTTTGTCTAAATGAGAGATTTTTAAGAATAATTGGTAAAATTAAACATACATGTATGTTATACAGGATTATCTACCATTTACATCGGTTCTGCAATAAGAAAAAAGTGCTAAATGAAAATACTAGTTTTTTGTAATTTCTCTCCAAAAGATTATTTTTATGTCAAAGGCAAGAAAAAAAATCAAATATCAGCTGTCAATACAAACCGGAAAATCTAGCTCTTGGGTAACAAGTTGATTTAACTCAGCTGAGCCTCGTAACTACGATTAACAGTTGGTTAACTTGAGCTACACACTCGGGTCTGTACTGGCAGCCGGTGTAAGATTCTTGTCTCTTCCTTATGGGTATTCGGAATGTTTTTATACCCCCGCACAACAAAGTTGTAAGGGGGGTATACTGGAATCAGATTGTCCGTCCGGCCATCTGGCCGTCCGGCGTCCGTCGGTTTTTTCTTGTCCGCCAAATAACTTAAGATTCCTTTGACCCACAGTCTTCATATTTGGCATGGAGGTTAGTCGTGATTAGTAGATGACCCCTATTGATTTTGAGGTCACCAGGTCAAAGGTCAAGGTCACAGGGGCCTTGACTTCAAAAAGCTTGTCCGCCCAATAACTTAAGATTCCTTTGACCCACAGTCTTCATATTTGGCATGGAGGTTAGTCATGATAAGTAGATGACCCCTATTGATTTTGAGGTCACCAGGTCAAAGGTCAAGGTCACAGGGGCCTTGAATTCAATAAGCTTGTCCGCCCAATAACTTAAGATTCCTTTGACCCACAGTCTTCATATTTGGCATGGAGGTTAGTCATGATAAGTAGATGACCCCTATCGATTTTGAGGTCACCAGGTCAAAGGTCAAGGTCACAGGGGCCTTGACTTCAAAAAGCTTGTCCACCCAATAACTTAAGATTCCTTTGACCCACAGTCTTCATATTTGGCATGGAGGTTAGTAATGATAAATAGATGACCCTATTGATTTTGATGTCACCAGGCAAAGGTCAATGTCACAGGGGCCTTGACTTCAAAAAGCTTGTCCGCCCAATAACTTAAGATTCCTTTGACCCACAGTCTTCATATTTGGCATGGAGGTTAGTCATGATAAGTAGATGACCCCTATCGATTTTGAGGTCACCAGGTCAAAGGTCAAGGTCACAGGGGCCTTGACTTCAAAAAGCTTGTCCGCCCAATAACTTAAGATTCCTTTGACCCACAGTCTTCATATTTGGCATGGAGGTTAGTCATGATAAGTAGATGAACCCCTATCAATTTTGAGGTCACCAGGTCAAAGGTCAAGGTCACAGGGGCCTTGACTTCAAAAAGCTTGTCCGCCCAATAACTTAAGATTCCTTTGACCCACAGTCTTCATATTTGGCATGGAGGTTAGTCATGATAAGTAGATGACCCCTATCGATTTTGAGGTCACCAGGTCAAAGGTCAATGTCACAGGGGCCTTGACTTCAAAAAGCTTGTCCGCCCAAAAACTTAAGGTTCCTATGACCCACAGTCTTCATATTTGGCATGGAGGTTAGTCATGATTAGTAAATGATCCGTATTGATTTTGAAGTCACTGGGTCAAAGGTCAAGGTCACAGGGACCTTGTCAAAATAAAGCTTTTCCCCAATGCCTGTCCAGAGTGTATTGATTTTGACATTTTCACATTTGAAGCATGTAGAATACATAACTTAGCAATGCACTGGCTTAGTCACCTCAGATTTGGCAGGGTGGTTGTCCTTGGGTTCTAAATGGCCACTGTTGATTCTGACAAAGTGGTATGCGGGGGTATTCACGCCATGATAGTGGCAGTTCTAGTTAATTTTATTTATCAGATGTTTATTTATATAGAGGAAAAAGACCTATTTAAAATTCTTATACTAAAATTAACCTAAAACATAATTTAAACAAATTGCTCCAGCAAATTTTGGACTAGCTATCTGCTGATATACAGTTAAGTTGTACAGATCAATGCACGATACCACTGTCTGACAAAAAACTGCATACAGCTCAGCTATTTTGTAATCAGAATCTGTCATCCTGTGCTTAGACATTGACAGAATTATGTGATGAACCGAAACTATTGTCAATTAAAACAATGCTTTTCATCTAGCCAAGTCTGAGTTAGGGTTTAATTGCTTTTTAGTTGGCAGGAAATTTGAAGAATGGGCTTGTGGTTGTAGAACTAAAGATTTAAGTATGGAGTTAAAGTAATAATGTCTGTCTCACATTTGAAACTTTATATGGTAGGGAAAGTACAGAAGGAAGGCTGCTGGGAAATATATAAGGGAAGTAGGATGTAAGATAAAGGAAGGGAAATAAGAGAGTAAGGTAATGGCAGGCAAATAAGAGAGGGAAGGCTGATTAAGATAATGGAAGTGGAATAAAGGAGGGAAGGCTGATGTAAGATAATAATAGGGGAATAAGAGAGGGAAGGCTGATTAAGATAATTGTAGGGGAATAATGGAGGGAAAGCTGATGTAAGATTATGGTAGGGAAATAAGAGAGAAGAGGCTGATGTAAAACAATAATAATAGGGAATGAGAGAGGGAAGATTGATGTAAGATAATAATAGGGAATAAGGAATAAGAGAGGGAACGCAGCTTTAAGATAATAAAAAGGAAATAAGAGAGGGAAGGCTGATGAAAGATAATAATAGGGAAATAAGGGAGGGAAGGCTGATGAAAGATAATAATAGGGAATAAGAGAGGGAAGGCTGATGTAAGATAATAATAGGGAATAAAAGAGGGGAGACTGATGTAAGATTATAATAGGGAATAAGAGGGGGAAGGCTGATGTAAGATTATGGTAGGGAAATAAGAGAGAAGAGGCTGATGTAAAACAATAATAATAGGGAATGAGAGAGGGAAGGTTGATGTAAGATAATAATAGGGAATAAAAAGAGGGGAGACTGATGTAAGATAATAATAGGGAATAAGAGAGGGAAGGCTGATGTAAGATAATAATAGGGAATAAAAGAGGGGAGACTGATTAAGATAATGGTAGTGGAATAAGGGAGGAAAGGCTGATGTAAGATAATAATATGTGAATAAGAGAGGGAAGGCTGATTAAGATTATGGTAGGGAAATAAGAGAGGGAAGGCTGATGTAAGATAATAATAGGGGAATAAGAGAGGAAAGACTGATGTAAGACAATGGTAGGGAAATAAAAGAGGGGGAAGGCTGATGTAAGATAATGGTAGGGAAATAAAAGAGAGGGAAGGCAGATAATGCTGGGAGAAAAAGAGAGGGTATACTGATGTTTTTTTTTGGTTTTACGTCACATCGACACAGTATAGGTCATATCGCGACGTTCCAGCTTAACTGGTGGAGGAAGACCTCAGGTGCCCTTCCTTGCATTATTTCAGGGATGAACGGGCACCTGAGTAGAACCACCAACGTTCCGTAAGCTAGCTGGATAGCTTCCTCACATGAAAGAATCCAAAGTCCCTATCGGGATTCGAACCAACAGCGGTGAGTGGCAAGTGGTTTGAAGTCAACGACCTTGACCACTTGGCCACGGACACCCCCGAATACTGATGTAACACAATTGTAGGGAAATAAGAGAAATAAGAGAGGATAGGGTGATGCAACATGGAAGGGAAATACAATCCAAGAGAAGAAAGGCTGGTGAAAGATAATGGTAGGGGAATACTTATAAAAGAGTGAAGTTGGCTGTGTAGTAATGGTAGGGAAATAAGAGAATGGGAAAAATAAGGAAATATGTGAGTAAAGTTGGCTGGAAAATAATGATTGGAAAAATAAAAGATTTAAGAGGACTGTTAAATAATTTTCAGAAACTAAGGGAAAGTGATGGCTGAAACATAATGAGTTAAGTTGGCTGGAAAAAAATGGTGGGGGAAATAAGCTTAAGAGTTAACTTGGCTATTAATAGGGCACATTTAAAAGTGTTGTTATACATGTAGGTGCTGTTCAATAGGTAACAGCTCTCTGTTGCTCCAACAAAAGGGTTACTGGTAACAGATTGTGGAAACCTTTAATGTAAGGTCTGGTGTATTAAACTCAGCTGTTGAAAGTCATAACTTTGTGTTTCTTGACATGCTTTTTCTACAAGGTTAAAACAAATTGTGAACATATTCATTTTGATAGTGGATTTGAAAAAAATGTTGTTGAACTTTGGACTGGAATTGAAATTTTATCAGATTTTGTATAATCAAGTAAATTGTGTGACTTTTTGTGAACTTTGGTAATGATGTAAGTGGAGCAATTTTAGTAAAATTGTCAGCACAGTACAATATATGATTATATATTTATCTATGTTATATCTATATGCAGAAATTATTGCAACATGCTGACATGATAAAAGTGCTAGTTGGCTAAGTTTATATACAATAATATAATATGCTTGGTTTTGAATAAGTGTTGTTTAAAATAACATTTGTTTTGTTTTTAGTTTATTTGTTGTTGTTTTTTAGGGGGAGGGGTTAGGGTTGTTTTTTTATTTCAATTTTTTAATTTATGAATATTTCTTGTGGATTTAGAAGAAATATTGATAGGAGCAGTCAGTAAAAATGTGTTAAACAAAAGATGTTATATAATATTGAATTTTTTAATGGAGGTACATTTGTTTTTTTGCCAGCAAGGATTTTTCTGAGTACTCAAGTTACAAATAGAAATATGAGGTTGTTAATGACATTGTTAAAGTATTGACTTCACCTAGATAATAGACTGGTTCAGGTGAACAATGACAAATATCAAGTTTTCTAGAAAGTTAATGAAGAGCAATGTTCAATATCTGTCAAGAATTATTGTGAATTTAAAGCAGATAAATGGATGTTGGTGGCAAAGTGGTAAAGGTCACTGATTTCAAATCATTTGCCGAAATTTCCACGCTCTCTCCCGTACTGCCTCATTCTTCCCCAACTTGCTTTGCTCTCCCCCAAACTGCCTTGTTCTTCCCCAACTTACCATGCTCTCTCCCAAACTGCCTTGTTTTTCCCCAACTTACCTTGCTCTCTCCCAAACTGCCTTGTTCTTCCCCAACTTACCTTGCTCTCTCCCAAACTGCCTTGTTCTTCCCCAACTTGCCTCGCTCCCCCCAAACTGCCTCACTCGCCTCCATTTTGCCTCGCTTTATTCCAAACTGCCTAACTGCCTCGTCCCCCCAACTTGCCTCACACTCCTCCCAGATACTTGCCTAGCAGCTGAGTCTCCCATCTTGCCTGGTTCTCTCCCAACTTGCCTCGCTGACCCCCAAACTTGCCTCGCTGACCCCCAAACTGCCTCATTCTCCTTCAACTTGCCTTGCTCTCTTCCAAACTGCCACGTTCTCCTGTGGCTGTGCCTTCTTATATGTGAAGTTTGTGGATAAATATATCCAATACCAGTCCGGTCCTGTAGCACTAATTGTACTAAATTATTTAAATGTACTGAAAGCTAGTAGCAATGAGGTACTCTAATAGAATCACATGAATATATATGAGCCGCGTCATGACAAAACCAACATAATGGGTTTGCGACCAGCATGGATCCAGACCAGCCTGCGCATCCGCGCAGTCTGATCAGGATCCATGCTGTTCGCTTACCAACCCTATAACAAGTAGAGAAACTGATAGCAAACAGCATGGATCCTGATCAGACTGCGCGGATGCGCAGGCTGGTCTGGATCCATGCTGGTCACAAACCCATTATATTGGTTTTGTCATGACACGGCTCATTTCTTTGTGTCTTGACAAAATTATTACAAAAAGTATTACAAGTAGAGAAACTGATAGCGAACAGCATGGATCCTGATCAGACTGCGCGGATGCGAAGGCTGGTCTGGATCCATGCTGGTCGCAAACCCACTATGTTTGTTTTGTCGTGACACAGCTCATATATATATAAACTTAAATCTATAAGTTCAGGTAGCTTGAAGAAAACGCAATGGCCACAGTAAATGTGGTGTTGTGGTGAGCATACTGGACCGGCAATCCAGAGAACTTTGGTTTGAGTCCTGGCTGTGGTGTGCAGATTTTTCGTGTGATTTTTCTGTGTATTATTTCCCGCTCATGACTTTTTTTCATTCATTTATATATATAATTACAATTTGATACATTTCTAAAAGTTGAACAAACAAGCACTTTAAATACACACAATTTTACTGAACAAGTGTTTTAAATGCGTAATTCTGTTTTGTTTGGTTTAAACCAGCTGTGTGGAACTTGTGAAAGTCTTGTATTTGTTTAGCTGAAAATGACAAAGCTTTGGATGGTACAAAGTTGCCAGAATCAATGGTCATGTCACTTTAGTTGGGGGGAAATAACTAATATTGGACAGTGTGTGATTAATGAAGACTTTGGTATTTGATCAATCAATTTGTTCCAAATGTTGTTTAAATACGCCTGTGTAAATATAACAAATGTTTCTCTTATTGGATGTGAATTTTCTAAGAATTAGGTGAAGACTTTATTGGTCGAATTTAAATAGTACTAAGGGTATCTTTGTAGGAGAGTTTCTAAATTAAATGAGAAACTTTGACCTAGATGCTTAAGCCCAGCAATTAATCATAATTGGTAAGAGCCCTTATTTTACTAGGGGTATCAAGGTTAGCAAAAATGCAAACAGGTCCCTAATAAGGTGTTATTTTAACGTTTAACGCGCCATACTAAAAGATATCTTTAACATTAACTTTGTTTTCTTAATGACAAGATATGACATTTAGTTCACATTTTGTTGTACTCAACAACATCACAAAAGATATCCAATCAAGGAGTAATTATTTTCTGCTTCTTCTGTACCGTATAAGGTAGCATGCAATTGTACAACTTAATTATAAAAAAAAATGTCATATCTTGTCATAGATACATAAAGGTAATGTGTTAAATGTGTTGAACAATTCATAAACTTCTTTGGCTATAGGTCTTATTCTAACCTCGCTTACTGCTTATTGAATTTTTTAACTGGTTTTGGCTAAAAAACAACCGAACCTGCTTTTACGGATAAACATGACACCCCTGTGTGTTACTCCTCATGTTGACTCCAATAGTGGTCTAACCAAGAATGACTTGAAAGTGGTAATGATATTTTGTAAGATCAGCCTTTTAAATAAATAGATGAATATCATGTTTAAAGTAACTATTGAATCATCAGAAAGAGTTATTATAATCATTATTATTTTGCAATAATTTTCATAATTACCCTCTTAAAACTCTTTGGGTATAGACTTTGTATTGCTCAAATTAAGGCTATTTTGCATTTTTATTGAATTTTCCTCGCAGAAATCCATTTCATATGTCGTGCAACATTCCAATTCATATTGCATCTCTTTGTTTCTGTTTGACGGCTTTGATCAGATCTGAAGACATTAGCCAATATTTATATGCCGCCCTCTGAGAAAATAATCTAGATTTTACCGAAACAATATCGACAAATATTATTCTCCTTTAAAAAATGGATAGATAATAAGTGTAGATATTGGATCAGCAGCAAAATTGACGTTACTCGTTTGTTTTATTGACGAAGTTACGACTGTTTTGTAAAGAGATTTCGTTATTATTGGTAAAACTTTGTTGGGGAGCAAAATGTTTCATTTGTATTTACAGTTACGCTACCCCTTGTGGTATGAAGTACAGTGCCGGTGAATGAAAAATCCATTTTTTGTTACAAATAGATTCCTATTGATTATTCGCAACATTTTTCACAGGTTTTGGTTACTTTGTGAATACACCAGCATTGTGCCAGCATCTGACTTCAGGGATTATGGTGGAAAGTGTGTTTGTGTTTGGGTGTTTTTTTCCTGACGGTTTTCTGATATTAGTTGATTTCTGGCGGTAGCTCAGGATTTGCGGAATTTTAACCAACAGGTAATTTATATAATAGTTTACATTTAAAAGTTTTTAATCAATTTTACACTATCATCCTGGAATGATTCCTGTAATATATAACTGAATTGTTTATTTTCTAACTATTTTCGGATATATTTATTTCTTTAGAATGTTTTATTTGTTCTTTTATCTATATATATCTTTATTGAGGACGTCAGAAGTTACCAGTAATTTGATATTAAAAAATTTAGGTTTTACTATAAATTTAATTTTACAGTTGTAGAGAAAAAAAAATTGTTTTACCAACTTTTATAGCTGTTATATAATTAAATGTATGTGGCCATTGTTTCACTTGTAAAAAAATAGATTTTTACTATTTGAAAGTGTTTTGTTTTTTATCTTATCGAGTTACCTGACTGTGATGTACTGTCTAAATAGATAGAAAAAACATTGTCTGAATAGATAGAAAAAACATGTCTTCATATTTAAACACTGCATTTTTGTAACATCAATTTTCATTGGACAAATGTAATGTTTTTATTATTACATTTGTATAACTACTATTATTATTTTATATGTTGTAAGCAATTGTAAAGTAAAATAAATTCATTATATAATTTAAGATTTTTTGCAGATTATATGGCTGCGTGTATAAATCTCGTGGTTAAATATTACTTGAACAAGCATTTATACATGATTGCATGAGCATATAAATGCCTATCATACTATCAAAAATCTTGATAAATAATTTATTTTCTAAGTTTGATTCATAGATATAATCATAATAATGATGAAACACACCATCTGGATATACATATATGTCCATGTATATATATATATTTTCAATGAAATCTTCATTATTAACTTTCCCATGCTTGATGTGTACTTAATTAATTTGCCTGCTTTTAATTTAGGACCATCCATTTTTTTGTAAGAATTTCTTATATCAGAATGCTTTTAAGTACCCTCCATTTTAGGAAATAATGGCAGAAAATTGAAAAGAACTCCTAGCTGTTCCCAAAAAGGAGAGACAACAACTAAAAGGGTCATTATTAAAACCCAAAATCACAGGAAAACCACTTTTATTGTGTTGTATTATTTAACTCTCAGCCGGCTGATTCACCAGATGTAATTAATATTTAGCCCTTGACCCCAGGCCAGTCTGCTTATCCGCCATTCATGCAGTCTTACATATAAGACTAGACTATTTCTTTAAATTTTCATCTTGATTTCCCTAAAATTGATAATGAAATGTCCCAAAAAATGGAAGTTGGACAAGTCCATTTTAGAAATTCAGGGAGTTATGAGTGTTGGTAAATTTAATGTGACTTTTGTAGATTGTAATCAACATGAATATTGATTGATAATGGATCAATTTTAAATGACAAGAATCTACGGAATTAAAGCAACATGTTTTATTTTCAGTTCTTAAAAGTCAAATCATATAAAAGTTGATTAAATGTGAAGTTCAGTGTGCATGATGACATATGTTATTGATATTTTTTAAATAAATTCTGAAAATAAAGTTAAAGTCTTGAAAGACAGAAGAAAATACATGCATGCAGTAATATATGGTAATGTAATATAAAGTAAAAGTCACTTTTTTAATTTTTTTTGGCTGGCAACTCTGGGTAAATAGAAGTAACATAATACTTTAAAGCTTACTTTTGATATGAAAATTATTCCCCCTTCATAAAATCATTATTAAAAAACAATTCACATTGATTGGTTTGAAGAAATTTGCTTTCATATTTGAGCCGCGTCACGACAAAACCAACATAATGGGTTTGCGACCAGCATGGATCGAGACCAGCCTGCCCATCCGCGCAGTCTGATCTGGATCCATGCTGTTCGCTATCAGTTTCTCTTCTTAAGCGAACAGCATGGATCCTGATCAGACTGCGCGGATGCGCAGGCTGGTCTGATCCATGCTGGTCGCAAACCCATTATGTTGGTTTTGTCTTGACGTGGCTCATTTGTCTAATGTAACATGAAGAAATTCATTGTTTGCTCCTTAAAATCAAATGAAAACATTTTGTACAATTTCACATAAAGAAATTCTCCTTTGTTTTTGTTTCATATGAAGAAATTTCACAATTGCATTAATTTTGTATAAAGAAATTTCATAGGTGCTCCAGTTTCATCAGATGCATTTTGTAGAAATTTCACATTTGCTCCAGTTTCATATGAGAAATTTCACAATCACTCAATTCCTAACTTGCATTCACTCAATTCCTAATTAACATTCACTCAATTCCTAACTTATGTTCACTCAATTCCTAATTAACATTCACTCAATTCCTAATTAACATTCACTCAGTTCCTAACTTACAATCACTCAATTCCATTATGTAGATTATTCACAATTGTGCCAATTATTTTTTCATGAAGAATTTCACAATTTCTTTCTGTTACATTTAAAGAGGTTCACATTAATTTTGTTTCTGTACATTTCAGGTCACCATAATTTATAATCACTTCATTCCCTTTATTATTTATGTATTAAATACAGCCAATATTAGATTGCCCGCCCAATCCCATTCTGAAACAGAAAGGCAATAAGTTTCAGGGGGGAAAAAAGCCTTCAATAATTTAAGATAATCATAACAGATTTGAAGATAACAGCCTGTGGTTTGCAATATATCTCATATTAAATCTTTGAAATTGGAATTTCAGTACTAAAAGGTTGCAAGTAATGAAAAGTGGTATTGTGGGGTAATATCAGAATATTTTAAAATCGGTTTGACAGCTTTAACCGATTTATATAAAAACTTCAAAATAATGAAAAACAATTTACAGTTTGATAGTTGATATGTTGAAATAATAGAAATAATGTTGATGTTTTGTTGTTTATTAGAAATCATTTAGTTATAAGTATGCTCACAATTTGTCTATGCCTAGAGTATACTGTAATACCTCATTTCAGCCTGTACAGTCAAACCAATGACCGTACCTATGATTTGAGCATATTTGTATTTTGAATTAACTGCCTCCGTAGTCGAGGGGTTAGAGTCGATGACTTCTAATTCAGTTACCTCTCTGGCGTGGGTTCGATCCCCTGGAGATGCTTTGGTTGTTTAGCGAGGAGGAAGGTAGTCTAATACTGATGTAACTCTCCAGGAGCAATGGTTAGGAAACTACTCGACTATATGACTGAAATACTGTTGGGAAAAGGCGTAAAATGAAACAAACAAACAAACAAATTTTGAATTAAAATACCATGTATATTTATATAAGGAATAAGGGAAATATATCAGATTTATTCACCATAAGTCTCTGGGTAGTAACATACCCCTCTAACCACAGGTGCAGACCCCTGCAATCACAGGGGCGAACCAAGATAAGATGGCATGGATCATGTCTGCACTGTCCTCATTCCAGTCAGTCTTTTCTTTTTATTTCAAATTTATCTTATAATTGAATGGTTTTGTGTAGGTTGACATGTCCATTTAGGATATTTAGCATGGTAAGTGCAGGCTGGCATGGCTTTTTAGTTAAGTGGCAAAGGGTAATCTTTTTCAGTTTCAGTAGGTCATGGTTTAAATGCAAGAATGATGTTTGCAAGTCTCTGAAAAAGATAAACTTCCATGTAGCAGTTGAATGTTTTGGTAGGATAGATATATTCATGTATATTAAATTACTGAAGGCGATCTTTGTCAAAAATTTTAAAGAAGTAATAACTTTGAATTTTTTGTAGTTATTTTTTCTCACCAATTTTAACTCTTTTAATTTCAATTATATGTCTATGATAACTTATTTCCCTAATACAGAATTTTGATTAGGAAAACCTTTTCAAAAATTATTAAAATTTCTTAATTTGCAGTTTTTTGCCAATCAGCTCATTTTAATTTTCAGAAATTTTTTTTACGTCTCTGGATTCAAACAAAACTTAGTAAAAAAAAAAGTATGATCCAGAATAGATAAAAATACTTCTATACAAATTATGTGTTATTTTATCTAAAAGCATTTTGATTAATCCCACAATGTATCAGTCATATCAAGGGGGATTACTTTGGTATTTTTGCTCCTTTACGTCAGATCAATTGTCAGCGTTTGATGTGAATTCCTTGTTAAACAGGCTTAGATGTGACCGAAAACAAATTTTTATCGATTATTTATCTCGGAAATGACCATTTTAGCCTTTGTTTACAGTTGTTGTTTACATCGACCTTTGACATTTAAAACCTAATGTCAACAAAGTCAATACCATATGGTGCCGATTTGATCGTGGTCAGTTTAATGGTCAGAATTTTCATTGGGCATTAGATTTGTTAAGAGCAAATGTAAATTGTTCAACAAATATACATAAGTTATATTTATTATATGTTGAGCGTGTCTATAATGTTTGACTAGAGGCTCGGGTTGTCTATTATGCAAACATTTATGTATACAGAACCATATAACCTTGTCAAAAATAATGTAAAGGGTTGTTTGTTATATAACTGGGCTTTTCCTAACCATATAACCAGTAAGAATCTTTATGACTTCAATGCATTAAAGGAGCTGAGGGTAATACTCCTTAGTACGTAGATCAATTGAGGCACTTAAAACGCAAAAATATGAAACTTTTAACAAAGAAGTATATTCAGAGTTAAATTCAAAATCAATACTAAGTGCAATTCGATTTAAGTTTAAAGAGTCTATTAAATGCTTATCATATTAGGTCGTTTTACACAATAAAAATTCCTATTCTTGAAAAACGTAGAGAGCCAATGATCATAAATGTAATTTCGCACACAACTTATATAATACTGGTATAGACCAAAAAAACTCAAAAAAAAGTTTCCAGTCCCGTCATGTCAAAAAAAATTATTGGAGTTTGTTTAAAATACAGGGTTGGCAATTTATTTTAACATAGTTATTTTTTATATGGAGTCTACATTGAAAAAAAGATGACATTTAATAGGGCTTTTTTGAGAGCTGTCAACTGAGTATGGTGGTGGAGTTGATAGTTTTCAGTTCGGATCACAGCAGTAAGCCACATTGACTTCACCAGAGCCAGTTAGCCACCGCATCGTTCCTTGGCAAGCTGTCAAGCAGTTTCACAAGTATTAGCCTGTACTTTCACAAGAACTTTATTTCTGTACATGCAGTGTGAATGACTGAAGAAAGGATTTCATGATCTGAATCACAACAGAAGTGACCTGCACCGTCCTGGAATCCAAACCGGGTTGCCCGTTTCACAGTCCAACGCTCTACCTATTGAGCTAACCTGATGGCTTAGAGCTGTCAGTATGTGCTTTTGTTAATTAATATAGCTGAAAGATATTATTTAGTGCTGGGAAGACTTAAAATGCCTAAATTACCTCCCTTTAACATACAGATTTATATATAATATGTATATCATTAAAGAAACAAAACACTTGAAGGCTTGAACTATATCTGACCTTTGTTTTGTTCACCACTGAATGAATTATTGTCACAATTTTTCTAATGACATATATCAAGTTCATTTTGATTCATATTACATACCATACCTAGAATTACAGTTGAAATAAATGTGTGAAACATGCTTACATAACTATATGATTATAATTTGACTCTATGATAAAGTATAGTTTAGAAAAATTCAAAGGTCAATTCTGTGAATACTATATAATAAGAATTTATGATATTTATATAAAGTGATGAAACTAATATAGTGACAGTGTACTGTAACTAATAAGTAAATGTCGTCAACAACTAAGTATATCTTTTTTCTAAAACTGTTGCCACGGTAACATACATTGATTGAAGGAATGGTTACAAGTAATATGTTGCAAATTACTATTTGACCTTCCCTTCACTGTCAAACAACTATAATTATTACTTTTTTTTGTATATATGCGTATTTTGTATAGAATATTTTTCATTGATTTACGTTTTTTGTGCTGCATGTTGAGTATTTGTGGCCTATAAGATGTCGGAGAATGTAAACCTTGTAATAGTGATTATCCAGAACTCGGCAAATCATGGTTTTGCTAAGCTTATTCCTCAGTACCAACAAACTTTGACCATTATAGCTTCACAGTAATTACCACCGTTGACTTGTTAATTGATTATTCAACCTGTTGGGCTTGTTTTTAAAGTTATAAATGTAAAAGTTTGTTTGTACCCATGGACTAGCTGGGAAAATCCAAAATATTCTTGATTCTGAAGTAAGATTTTTACAAAAAAAGATTAGTTTGAAAAATGTTCTATAGAAGTTTCTTAGTGGCATGTCCTCAGCATTGCTTTTAAACTTCTAGAACTGGTCAGTGAGTAGGATTTCAGTATAACACAGGGTTGCAATGATATGTGGTCAAGCCATAGCCTGTATTGCCATTTATTATTTCTATATATATACGTCATTGTTGAAGATGTGTTTTGTTTTCTATTTTCAGAATAGAGGAAGAGAATGGCAAATCTTGTTGTCACACCTCAAGTGGCCAATAATGGGACAAACTTTGAACAACAGCACGTTCAGCACGTGTACGAGGAGATAGCCGCCAGTATGAATGATATTCAACATAAAGCATGGCCAAATGTTAAAAGATTCTTAAAAAAATTCCCGCCTGGGGCTTTGGTGGCAGATATTGGTAAGATAAAAATCGGTTTTTTTTGTTGTTGTTTTTTTTTTCAAAAGTATTTAACTTTGTTTAAAATGAATTCTACAGTGTGGAAACAATCCTGCAACTTGTAAATATTAGTTTGCATTCATTTGCCAAAAAAAAATGTTGGTTTTTTTTTTTAATCTTTTTAATTATACAAAAGATATTGTCATTTGCTTGAACGATTTTGTCATTATGGCATTATTTTTTTTCATACAGTAAAAGAAATAAATTATTATTTCCCAAACAAAAAGCTTGCCGAACTTTGATTCAATTTGGTCATATAATTATGTTTTGGTTATAAACCAAGACTCTATTACATTCTAGAAACAATTTTTCTAATTTCTGTAGGGTTCGTTTCACATCATTGGCTTTATTAAATATCTTTGTCGTGATTAACTTGTGTGATTAACGGATAAGACCCAGCTTCCGGTAATTGATTTTACTCCAAGGCCAATTTCCATGCATTTAATTGTTTACAATGGTTATGTAATTCTGCCTTATCAGCGTGCTGTGATGTAATCCCCGGCTTTATTAAGGTAATGAATAAGATTTATTGATGACTGGTGAAGTAATACATGCATTTATACCTGTCATAAAAGTGCGATATTGAACATTATTGTATGATTTCTATATATAGCAGAATCTGGTAGAATATACCTATAATGGTATTTAACTGAGACATCTGCTCTGTTGCATAACATAATGCAGAAACATCTGTTCTGCCATGTAATATAATTAATATTAGTGCCAATTAATGGCAGCTTATTAATAGATAGATAATTAGTTTTAGTCATGGGAATAGCCATTACAATTTCACGCAGTATAATGGTATGATAAATGCAAAGGAGTACCAACTGTATGTGGGATTATTTTGCTTATTTGACCATAAAATGCTATTGCCTGACCCATTTTTGCCTCACCAGTAATTACCACAACATTTAGAATTGCTTAGCTAGCATGGATCAATCGCTAGCTGTGTTTTTACAGAATAATTATTTTTACTGTGAAAAATGATCAAATATTCAAAAGTGTTGCAACACTAATTCAATAAAATTGGACTAGGAATAGCACAAAAATAAGTTGTTTTTTTTTAATTTATATCCAAATATTTCTTAATTATCTTTTGCATATCTTTCTGTTTTAAGTGACCCAGCTGATCCATGTAAGGAATTCAAATTTTATGTATTTAGGCTTTTTAACCTCAGAGATGTTCCTTCAAAAGTCCCTTTTTTTTAAATTTAAAAAAAAAAAAATAAGTACAATTTTCAGCATGCAAAGGGTACATCTTAGAAAATCAACAACAACAATAACAACAAGAGAACAAAAGTTACTTCAGTCTTGCTAAAATCAAAATAGATTAAAAGATTCTTTGCTATTGGTAATTTTCAGGTTGCGGTAATGGTAGATATTTGAATATCAACAAATCTACGTATAAAGTGGGAGTGGATGTATGTTCCGGGCTTGTGGACAATGCCAGAACTAAAGGTATATACCTGTATATTGTGTTTACCTTTTATCCTCGCCCTGCTTGAACCAGAAGTGATTAGCCTTTGTCACCAGTATAGAGCCAGGCCAGCCTGCACATCTATGTAGTCTGACCAGGCTCTATACTGTTGCCCTACCAACATTGAATTTTCATGTTGATATCCTCAAATTGATAATTGGTAATTCAAAAGTCAAAGTGAAAAATGATGGAGAAATCCATAAAAGAAATTCAGCAGGTTTAGTATTTTATACTTAAATCTGGCCAAATGGATAGAGTTTAATATTAGAATCTGGCCAAATGGGTAGTGTTTACTATTAAAATCTGGCCAAATGGGTAGTGTTTAATATTAAAATCTGGCCAAATGGGTAGTGTTTAATACTGAAATGTGGCCAAATGGATAGTGTTTAATACAAAAATCTGGCCAAATGGATAGTGGTTAACACTGAAATCTGGCCAAATGGTTAGTGTTTAATACTAAAATGGGACCAAAAGGATAGAGTTTGGCTAAACTTCATGCACAGTGGCACACTGGTTTGGTTCGACAATGCTGGCAGCTTTTAGCATTTTTATATTGAAATGTCTTCAATTAACAAATGATAGATCTAACTTCAAAGCAAGGCAAGAACAAGTGTGGTATTTTTAAAACAAAGCCAGGCATGTCTGAAAGAGCAAGTGATAATAGTGTTGTGATGAGAACTTGATATGTGCCAGCTCACTAATTACTTTGTCAATACTATATAGTTTGATTGAAATTTGGTCTCATCTGATAAACAATAGATAATGAAGTGATCAAAGTTATCGTCAATGCAGATTGATTTTTCGGTCTCTGAAATGTGAAGGTCAAATATTAAGACTATTTTAGAAGATATTTGATCAGAGGTTTATTTCTGGTTATATTAGATATTTTTGTCAACCTAAGTTTCTTATAAAAAAAGAATTAATCCCTCAATTCTTAGAGTACTGGCGGTTACAGAATCTGCCCGTGCGATCATTGCAGACGGAGGTCATGGTCTGCACTGTTTGCTTTTTAAATTGTTTAAAAATTTTCCCTAAACCATTTTTGAATGTTTTTTGTCCATTTTTAAAAAAATATAGACTCCATTTAAGGTTTTTTTAGCATAGAAATTTGGTTAATGTTTAAAAAAATTTTGCAAAAAATTGTATGTAAAGGGAAAAATAACTTATTTTTAAAATGTTGGGGGAAGGAAAAATGAAATACACTATGTTAAGTTTTCTTGTTTTCTTATCCCATTCATCCTTACAGCACTTAAAGGGTTTTGTCATGGCCCTGTTAAATATTACCTTATTTCCATCAGTTAAGATATAGTTTTGTTATTTCTTTTAGAAAACAATTATTTCTCATGTCTGTTTAACTTATTATGTCTCCCCCACCTCGGGGGAGAACATATTGTTTTTGCCCTGTCCGTCCGTCAGTCCGTCCGTCAGTCCGTCAGTCCGTCCATTCTTCGTTTCCGGACGATAACTAGAGTTCCTTTTGACCTACAGCCTCAAACTTCATAGGATGATTGGTCTTATAGAAGCTGATGATCCCTATTGTTTTTGGGGTCAGTAGGTCAAAGGTTCAAAAGGTCACACTGACCGTTGGTCAATTTCTCGTTTCCGGATGATAACTAGAGTTCCTTTAGACCTACAGACCTCAAACTTCATAGGATGATTGGTCTTATTGAGCAGATGATCCCTATTGTTTTTGGGGTCAGTAGTTCAAAGGTCAAGGTCAACAGTGACCGTTGGTCAATTTCTCGTTTCCGGATGATAACTAGAGTTCCTTTTGACCTACAGCCCTCAAACTTCATAGGATGATTGGTCTTATAGAGCAGATGATCCTATTGTTTTTGGGGTCAGTAGGTCAAAGGTCAAGGTCAAAGTGACCGTTGGTCAATTTCTCATTTCCCGGATGGATAACTAGAGTTCCTTTTGACCTACAACCCCTCAAACTCATAGGATGATTGGTCTTATTAATCAAATGATCCCTATTGTTTTAATGGTTCAGTAGGTCAAAGGTCAAGGTCACAGCAAACCGTTGGTTAATTTCTCCTTTCCGGATGATAACTAGAGTTCCTTTAAACCTACAACCCTCAAACTTCATAGGATGATTGGTCTTATTGAGCAGATGATCCCTCTTGTTTATGGGGTCAGTAGGTCCAAAGGTTAAGGTCACAGTGACCATTGGTCATTTTCTCATTTCCGGATTTCTCCAGTTCCATTCCTGTTTCCATTCACAGTTATTCTCCAGCAGTGGGGGGAGACATGCGCTTTTTACAAAAGCATCCTCTAGTTATAGTATTGCCATTACTTAATTATGCCCCCATTTCGAAGAAAAAGGGGTATATTGCTTTGCACTTTGTCGGTCCGTCGGTCCGTCGGTCTGTCGGTCCGTCGGTCCGTAGACACAAATGGTTTCCGAGTGATAACTAAAGAACCCTTAGGCCTAGGAACTTCAAACTTGGTATGGTGATTGGTCATGACCAGTAGATGACCCCTATTGATTTCAGGGTCAAGGGGTCAAAGGTCAAGGTCACATTGACCTTGTAAGCAAAAAACCGGTTTCCGATCAATTACTAAAGAACCTTAAAAGGCTAGGAACTTCAAACTTGGTATGGTGATTGGGTCATGATCAGTAGATGACCCCCTAATTGATTTTGGGGTCAAGGGGTCAAAGGTCAAGGTCACATTGACCTTGTAAAGGAAAAAATGGTTTCCGATCAATTACTAAAGAACCTTAAGGCCTAGGAACTTCAAACTTGGTATGGTGATTGGTCATGATCAGTAGATGACCCCTATTGATTTTGGGGTCAAGGGGTCAAAGGTCAAGGTCACATTGACCTTGTAAGGAAAAACGGTTTCCGTCAATAACTAAAGAACCTTAAGGCCTAGGAACTTCAAACTTGGTATGGTGATTGGTCATGATCAGAAGATGACCCCTATTGATTTTGGGGTCAAGGGGTCAAAGGTCAAGGTCACATTGACCTTGTAAGGAAAAACGGTTTCCGATCAATAACTAAAGAACTTTAAGGCCTAGGAACTTCAAACTTGGTAATGGTGATTGGTCATGATCAGTAGATGACCCCTATTGATTTTGGGTCAAGGGGTCAAAGGTCAAGGTCACATTGACCTTGTATGCAAAAACGGTTTCCGATCAATAACTAAAGAACTTTTAGGCCTAGGAACTTCAAAACTTGGTATGGGATTGGTTCTGACCAGCAGATGAACCCCTATTGATTTTGGGGTTAAGGGGTCAAAGGTCAAGGTCACATTGACCTCTTGGGTAAAAACGGTTTCCGATCAATAACAAAAGAACCCCTTAGGCCTAGGGACTTCAAACTTGATTATGGTGATTGGTCATGATCAGTAGATGACCCTATTGATTTTGGGTTCAAGGGGTCAAAGGTCAAGGTCACATTGACCTCTTAGGTAAAAACGGTTTCCGATCAATAACTAAAGAACCCTTAGGCCTAGGAACTTCAAACTTGGTATGGTGATTGGTCATGACCAGCAGATGACCCCCATTGATATTGGGGTTAAGGGGTCAAAGGGCAAAGGTCACATTGACCTTGTAGGTAAAAATGCTTTCCAATCAATAACTTAAGAAACCCTTAGGCCTAAAAACTTCAAACTTGGTATGGTGATTGGTGGTGACCAGCAGATGACCTTTTGATTTTGGGGTCAAGGGGTCAAAGGTCAAGGTCACATTGACCTTGTAGGTAAAAACGGTTTCCGATCAATTAACTAAAAATGCTTAGGCCTAGGAACTTTTCAAACTTTGTATGATGATTGGTTGTGACCAGCAGATGACCCCTATTGAGTTTTGGGTCAATGGGTCAAAGGTCAAGGTCACATTGACCTTGTAAGTAAAAACGGTTTCTGATCAATAACTTAAGAACGCTTAGGCCTAGGAACTTCAAACTTGGCATGGTGATTTGTCATGAGCAGCAGATGACCCCTATTGGTTTTGGGGTCGAAGGTCAGGGTCACATTGACCTCGTATGTTAAAACGGTTTCCGATCAATAACTAAAGAACCCTTAGGCCTAGGAACTTCAAACTTGGTATGGTGATTGGTCATGACCAGCAGATGACCTATTGATTTTGGGGTGAAGTGGTCAAAGGGCAAGGTCACATTGACGTTGTAGGTAAAAACGGTTTCTGATCAATTAACTAAAAACGCTTAGGCCTAGGAACTTCAAACTTTGTATGATGATTGGTCGTGACCAGCAGATAACCCCTATTGAGTTTTGGGTCAAGGGGTCAAAGGTTAAGGTCATGACCAGTAGATTCTTGATAACCCTTATTAAATGTTTGATCACTGGGTCAGAAGTCATGCATAATAACCTTATCACATGACTAATTGTCTGCTGATAGGGGGCATACATGTTTTACAAACATATCTTGTTTTACAAAAGTCATAACAGAATTTTGTCATTTGTGGTTACAGTGGTGACAGACGTGGGAAACATTAGATCTACAGCACCCTCTTTTTGTTCTCCAATTTGTTTTTGTTCAATTAACAGTAAAACTGTGTGAGAAGAAAATCGTAATATTTATGTTTATGATCCCATGTTAAGACTTTCTCGTCAACAAATTGAATCAAGCTCTCGGTTTTTAGTCACTCGGTGTAATTAAGTACCGGCATAACTCAATTATTACTCTTAATTAAGACCCAGTATGATGATTTATTTCATACCGGTTAAATTCATACAGGAGCAATAATATTTCTAATTTTATCATTTTTTCCAAGCGAAGTTATCTGTGAAAAATTCAGCCATTCCCACTATGGCTCTTAATTAGGAAAGTATTGTATTTCCACCCTATTTATGCCGTAGGCTGTTATTAAATTGCTTTTATGGTATTACATAAATTCGTAATCAGCTTTTATAATATTTATGTCAGCTTAAAACTGTAATGAGAAAACATAATGTAAAATAATGTGTCAGATTTAATTTCAGCGTTAGTTGAAAATGTTCAAAATATCAAAGCTCGTTG